CTGTGGTCATACAAGAGGAGCAGGATAGGAAAGATGCAGGGCGTTTCACTGTTCTATCTTTCGTTTTTTTTTGTCATGTAAACATGTTTGTGTTTGGAGAGAAGACTCCATGTGTCCATGAAGATGATTCAGCATGAATTGGATGCTGTGCAGTTTGGACAAGAAGTCGTTTGAACAGCTTTATGTTTAAACTTATTTAAGCTTGTGTTTTAAATACATTTTAAGGATGCGTTTTTAACGCATATGTTCTATATTTCAGTCAAGTCATTTCTGTTCAGGCTTCTGCAGGGCAGCACATAAAAATGAGTGCTGCATTTAGCTTCCAGCTGAAGCAGCATTAGCCTCTGAATCTCAGCATGTAGCCCTGTACACACCATTACATTATGCTCCCAACATCTCTGTCTCTCTCTATCTCTCTGTGTCTCTGTCCATTACACTCCTTTCCCCCTCTGTCTTTCCTTCCGCTGCCTCCTCACTGGCGCTCTCTTTTTCTTTTTCTTTTTTTCTCAGGGTGTAGTAAATTAGAGCGAGGGCCAGGCTTTAGTGCTCTGTCTGAGTCCTCAGTCTCTGATGACACAGCATCCTCCTGCGCTGGGCTGAGTGAAGCAGGGAGGGGAGGGGAGGGCTGGTTGCCTTCAATGCTAGCCAGGTTTGTATAAAGAAGGAGGGTGGGGTAAGGAGGGGAAAATGGGGTTTTGCAGCACAGCAGACACATGAAGCAGAGGGATGACGCATTTTTTGATATGGTAGAACATGCAGGAATGTTACAGCTTGCAGTTGTATTTTGCTATAGCTTGAGGTCATATTTATTCAGCTTCTGACATGAACCAGTTATCTTGTCCTCACTGCAGTAAGCTGAAACAGAGTAGTACACGTTGAAAGCGGCTGCACTGATATTAAATTAAATCTCATCGCGAGATCTGTTCTGTTTAGTCATAAATTTCAAGTGGACTAACTGTAGATATTTATGCATCCCTCTAGATTTAATCAAGAGGCTAAAGATTTGGTTTGTGTATAGTTTATCTCTTCTTTCCAGTTTTGCAAAGAAGCTTAGAAAATTCAGATATGTTTTTACTAATCTTTTGTGAGAGTTCCTATTTCAGTATGTTAGTGTTTATGAAGGTCACAACACATACTTTAGCAAGCAATTCTGCTCTCTGTTAAAATGATACAAAAGCAATGAAGTCATCATATTTATTAACTCCACATGCTGTTTTGCAATTCCTGCAAATAACAGAGGGCTTTGTCGAACAAAAAAAAACTAAAAACCCTTATTAAAATTCTTATTGTTAAAACCTTGCTGATACCCTTACGATACAACATGGAAAAGAAGCGAAACATTCAAAGAGAAGCTGAAGCAGGAGAGGGTTGCTTAAAAGTGTAATAAATGATTGATTTATTGTCAAATCTGCAAGTTTTAATGTTTAATTGATTTTTTTTGCTAATGTTTAGATGCTAAATTCACAGCCATTTGTGAAGTCATCAGCTTGATCAGTTTTCTGAGTTAATAGACCTGTTTGTGTCAGTCTGGGGTCCTAGGATTATTAAGAGCAGTACAGCATGCTCTCTCCATGATTTAGTCTCTATTGCTACCTTTGTCTAAATCTCACTCTGCTCTCTCTGGCCACCCTAACGTCTTCATTTCATTCTCAGTTTCTCTCTGCTGCATGCCTACCCAGTCCTCTTCCTCCTCCTCCTCCTCCCTCTGTCTACCCATCATCCATCTCAGGTTTGGCTCTCTCCCCTCTGCAGCTCTATGGCTTTCTGTTTCTGCATCACTCCTCCTCCACCTCCTCATTTCTCGCTCTCTCTCTCTCTCTCTCTCTCTCTCTCTCTGTCTCTCTCTCTCTCTCTCTCTCTCTCTCTCTCTCTCTCTCTCTGTCTCTCTGGCCTCTCTTTCTCTCTCTCTTTCGCTGCTGTCCCGTATCCCTGCAAGCCCCTTTCCGTATCCTGCTCCACTATTCCCCCTCCTCACTCACATACACACACACACACACACGCACATGCACACACACACACACACACGCACACACACACACACACACACACACACACACACACACACACACACACACACACACACACACACACACACACAGGCTGTCCTTGCAGCTGCAGTCTCCTCTCCTTCTGGTTTCTTGCATATGTGCCTTTTTTTAACGCTCGGCAGAGTACAAGGAACATCAGCTTCGCAGCAAATACGTCTATCTCACAGTGCAGCTAGCTCTGCTGAGTTTTTATTTTTCCAAATGTGTATGGCCAAGTACAAATGTTTTTAACTATGGGTGCACATTTAGTTTGCATTGTGATACATATGCACTATTTTGAGTTCCATTTGTCTGTTTGCTACCATAGCTGCTTTGTTTATGTCCATATGAATAGATGTTTACCAGTGCATTTAATTGAAATTTCCAGTTTGTCAAGCCCCCAATACCCCTTTTTCTTGAATGTGTTGACCTTCTGTCACGTGTTCTCTATGCCTTATAATTCAGTTATGAAATTGATATATTTAAAGGTCCATAATTTAGATGCTAACCCTTACCCTGAATGGACAATAGCAATGAAGCTCTCATTGAGAAAAAGCACACATCTAGTATTGTAGAAGCTTCAATGGTTGATAAGCTATCGATTAATGTGTCTGAAGATCAATTAGGGAAGTTGCCTGACATTTGCATCCCTTGTTGAAGTTGTGCCAGGTCGCCAAGTTTGCGTCAACAGCAGATTTTCCTGCTTCCAAATTGTCACAGTTGGATGCATAACAGATGCCTCTATTAAACTCAGATTAAACACAAGTGATAGCAGCCATGTTTTCTATAAGATGGTGTCTTCATAGCTATACTTTACAAAATTTTCATATTAACATGCTTACATTGATCTCTCATTCCTATCATAGTTATGCATGCAGGTCATCTCCAAACTGCTAATGAGCCTTTACTAATTTCACAACCTCTGCTTCCCTCTCCTTGCTGTATTCGCTGGATCAGCAGAACTTCACTTGACCTCCAGGAGAAAGCTTTAACCTTTAAACATGACTCTACTTCCTGTGTTTAGGACAGGAAGTAGCATCGAGCTGATTAGCTATAGATAAGTGTTCTCTGCATGTGACAGGAATAATAAATAGGATATTTTAAGTAGTGCAGATGCTCGGTAGACAAAAAGGACCCTGAGAGGGGAGAGGAAGGGAGAGTCTTCTGATGCAGAGAATTCATTTTGTCTTTCCCCAGACTGCAGCCGCTATTTATAATTTAATTAGATTTCAGGACACCACTTGTCTTGGGACACTTCTCGACGCTTCAACGTTTTCTTTCAGTGTTTCCTGTGATGTGAACCGTGAACTCATTATGTGTGCGCGTTTGTTTGTTTATCAGTTCAGGTACCATTATGCATAGTGACCAAATGCCTCTATCATACATGTGTGCACTCCACCAATGTGTCATTATTTGTGGATGCAGGGATTATTACAGCTGAACACAGAGACTTTGTAAGTGATATATGGTCGGCTTTTTCACCCGCCGCTTTTTAATGTATGTATTCTGCTGAATAGTGTTTTGATAGCAAGTGTTTGATTGCTGTTTGGTCAATTTGAATTCTTCTTTTATAGTTCTGAGTTTCTCAAAGCTGTAAACTGCAGTGAGCTATACGTTTCAATCTAAGACCCAAACACTGTTAGTTCTGTTTCCTAAATTGGGTGTGGTAATGCTTGAGTATTCATAAGGCTAAATACAATATTTAGTTTTGTAGTAAGGACAAATGGTAAATTGTACACCGTGCATTGTTGATGGGACAGGGTTTTGGTTCTGGCTCTGGATGACGTCTAAAAACATGATTTTCAACCCCAAAATAAATAAACAAAGGGGTATTTTTGTTTCACATTACCCACACCTAAATTCTTCAAAAGGATAAAAACAATCTAAAGGTAAAATGAGGTCTTCATTATTCTTCATTACTAGGAACACAGCAAGCAATATGTTCTCTTTAAAGACATGTCAATGTTGTCATAAATACACACGAGGGGATGTGGTGAAAAAGGGAGAAAAACATTCTGCTAACTCACAGGTATTCATCCAAACCATCTCTATGTTTTGCCTAAAAAACAGGAACAATTCAATTCCCCCGAAACCCAATTTGTTTGTAAAATATTGCTCATCTGTCTCACTGTGACTTTACATTGTCTACACAAACCCCTCACAGGTACAAAAAAAACAAACACACACACAGTGCTGCCTCACCCCAGTGCCTCAGCCCCACTTGGCCTGGGTGCTGTTTATGGGTGGGGAGTGGTTGTTGAGAGCCTGGAGTCAGCAGATCTGGCCCTGATCGATGACAGCATTTGCGGTTCTCTTCCAGTAAGAGCTTTAAACTTGGGCTAAGAGAGTCGTTTGGCCACGACGAGGGGAGAGCTTCCCCATGCACCTGTCTGCTGCCTCGGAGGGGGGAGGGGGGGTGGTTATACAACTACTGTCATGGTTTCTGTCTGATGTAACCGAGATGGGAGGGGGGTAACAAATAGACCTGGTTCTCATTTTGCTGGACACAGAGGGAGTGTTGTCAGTGTAGAAAAGCACATCTTACATCCTGTGTCTGTTTTTAAACCTTTATCTGTTTTCTTAAACTAATTCATATTTTGTCCTTTCTTTGTGTTGCATGAGAATATTACATCTGATATTCTGTACTCACCTTTCTCTCCGTGCTAGTCGGGTAAAGACTTCAAAATGTGTTAAGTGTCAAAACAGTAACTTATCAAAATGCTACTAATGCTGTAAGTAGATTTTAGTATCGTTTCTTGTGGCCGAGTAAAAACGGATGCTGTGTTGTCCCATGACTCAGAGGTAAGTTGAGGACTCACATCAGCTCATCAGTGAAGCTGCAGTCGTCCCGCACTCTTCCTGTTTTTTAGAGACAATCTTCTGAATATCTTGTGACTTATAATTAGCTCTGATTATGTCCTAACTGTTTTGTTATCTTTCTCTCTCTCTTTTTCTCTCTCCCTCTCTCCACAGACATTTATAGTCATAAACAAAGGGAAAACAATCTTCCGCTTCAGTGCCACGCCCTCCTTGTACATCATAAGCCCTTTTAATTTATTTAGGCGAATAGCTATTAAGATTTTGATACATTCATATCCTTTTCCAGAGATTCAGTTTCTGTTCTTTGCAGTAAATATTTAAACAGAAGTGTCAGTGCTTTAAACATGTGTCTTTTCTCTGGCTCTAAGATAGTAAGTGAAGCTAATGCACTGAAAGCTTTAAATAACTGTCTTCTTTCCTTTCTCTGTGCTCTTCCTCCTGCTTAGCTTCAACTCTAAAGTTTGATTTCAGTTAGGTATTTCAATACATGAAATGTTTCGGATGCCTCTGTTCAAAATTTTCCTTAACTCCTGTCTTGCACTTTATTCAGCATGATCATCATGTGTACCATTTTGACCAACTGTATATTCATGACATTTAGTGACCCCCCAGAGTGGTCCAAACAAGTAGAGTAAGTACAAGTTCATAAAGTCTTCACAGTTTTTTTTTTCACACCCTTTAATGTTCTGGCATAGTTGAACTCCGTCTCTCTCTTTCGTTTGGTACAAGGTATACCTTCACAGGTATCTACACGTTTGAGTCGCTCACAAAAATTGTTGCCAGAGGCTTCGCCATAGATGGCTTCACCTTCCTCAGAGACCCGTGGAACTGGTTAGATTTCATGGTCATCTCTATGGCGTAAGTATTTCACCATATATATTATATTATATATATATAAGTATTTCAGTCTTTCACAACAGACACATTGCAGAACAGTTACTTAAAGCTCCTGTGAGGGCTCCTTAGCTGGTTACAGTAATACTGATGCCTTCTATATGCCTTACAATAGCAAACATGACTGGCATTGACAAGATTGGTTGTGTCATGTTTTAATGTTTGGAACCAGTTCCGCAGGGTATATTTTCCACAGCAAAGATTTACAGTGCATGATTTGTTTGACTGTTAAAAGAAACCAGCAGAAGATTTTTCATTCAGACAAACACATTCAGGACAAGATAAGCAATAACATAAGAAGCACCACAGAGGGGCATCAAAATGAATGGACACTGAACGTTCCTCACAGGAGCTTTAAAGTAAGTGTTGTCAAATGTTAAAAAAATTAATCAAATCACTGCAAACGAGGCCAAAAGGTTTGATTTCAGTGTGATAAATAGTGATATTACACTGCAACAGTCAAGGATGGGAGACAGCAGGTTGAAAGGATTTATATTCACTGACTCTTTAAGTCTCTTTAAGTCTAGTGCAACAAAAATGAAAACCTTGTATGTAAAAAACACAACATTTATATTTATTTAGAATTTCATCTTGAACATAGCTTAACATTACTCCACATGACAAAAAGCTGCTGCGATTGAGTCATTTTAGACATGAGCACTATAGAGGCAGCTTAATGTTGACTCATTGACAGTGCTGCCCTCAACGATGAGGACAGGCATTTGTATAAGCAATATAACCAAAACCTGAAACAGTAGATTTAGTTTGTATTATATTCTGTCACAGACCCAAACACAATTTGACTAAATCTTAACGTAACAGGTCACATGTTATATAAAATAATGTATTTTGTTAGCACTAGGAAAACAAATTCCATCATTCATTAACGGTACTTGTTTTTGAGAACTCTCTAAATGTTAATGAATGTATCTCCCTAAAAATGTAGTTGCCTGAAACTACTTCTGAATTTGGGTTTTGAGAATCGTGTCATGACTTTAAAATCCAGTGTTTCTACTGTTTGCAGTCCTATAAAGGATACACTTAGTTATACGTGTTTGATGATTATGGTAATAAGTTATTTTTGACGTTTGGGGAAGGTGAACTTGAGTAGGTACAGAGAAAACCCCACAGCATCTTCAATCTACACTAGTCCATCCCACCGCACTGAAAATGTTGATTCAAATATTCTGTAACCATCTATTCTCTTTCTCCTGTGTGTGGGACGGCTGCTGAGTAACTGTATCTGATCCACCTTGCAGGTATATAACAGAGTTTGTAAACCTAGGCAATGTGTCAGCCCTGCGTACGTTCAGGGTTCTGAGGGCTTTGAAAACAATTTCAGTTATCCCAGGTAAGACAGTCCAGATGTTTGTGTTTGCGGGGAGGGCGAGTCCCGGGGTTGATGTTAGGTGTGGTTTTGTTTCAGTTCCTCTTCCTCTTCCTCTTCCTCCTTCGTTCTCTTCCCACTGGTCGGACAGGCGTACTCTCTCACCATGGTTTCCCCTCCTGGTCTTCGATGGTGGTGCTGGTGCTGGTGTCGTGCTCTTTCGCGTACATGCGTGCGTGTGTGTTGTGTTATCATGTGTGTGTTGTGTGTCATGGGGTTCTGTTCTGTGTGTCATCCTACCTTGTTACAGATATATAACAGAGTTTGTGGACCTTGGGAATGTCTCGGCGCTGAGAACGTTCAGGGTTCTCCGAGCATTGAAAACTATTTCTGTCATTCCAGGTGAGACTCCCATTTAAACACTAAGGCTGACCTTACTTTATCTAGTACCTGTCTTTATTTATACACTTATATTTTTCTACTTTTAAAAGCAGGACGTTTTAGATTTTCTTTTTTCTTTGTGTTACTTTTGTTTTTATGAAAATCAAAAATGGTAGCAATACATTTTTGATAGGCTTAGCAGTCTACTGGCAGTCTTGTGGGATCACATGTCTCATGATGACAGCTGGGTTTATGTAGCACCTAAAGGTCCACTACAGCTACCTGTCTGAGCATTTCTACCCAAAGGGAAATTTATGAAACAGTTTGATAAGGGAAGGGAGACTTCACATATTTAACCAAGGAGTTGACTTTCAGGATGTTACCATGAGGGGATACAATTCCAAAAAAGGAAAAAAACATTTATCAACACCTCTATGCACATCCGGTTTATGTAGAGTTTTATTTTCCTTAAATGTATCCAAATTCCCACAATCTGTGCGGGCTATTTGATTCCCAAAGACTGCCAAGCCTAATTTGACAACATATGGACGCTGCATGAAGCTTTGAGACACATGCTTTAAAGAGTTTGGCTTTGAAGGCTTTTTGGTTTGATTTTATTGTCTCTTAGTTGAAAGTAATTATATACAATCTTCAGAATATTTTTTTCTTTTTTTTTTTTTTTAAAGATCTTTGACCATCCTGGGAGTGAAAAGGAAACATAAATAGTAAAGAAACATACATAAGCAGAAATCTGTTTACATTTGTCCAATTCAACAGGATTGTAGTCTGAGGGGACTTACAGTCACAGTACAGTATTTACTGTGTGTATTTGTTCATATGTGATGAACATATTTACGCTTTCAAAAAGATTAGACAGACACTATTACGTTTTTGTATTACAGTTCATGCACGCACACACACACATGCACGCGCACACACACAAACACACACACACACACGCACACACACACAGAGGACACTTTAAATATGATCATTCAGACACTTTAAACTTGCTGTATTTCAGTAAAAGTACACACATACACATTCACACACACATTCTCACACACATTCACGCACACATTCTCACACACATTCACACACACATTCACGCACACACTATACATTCAGTCAGGTACATTCAGTCTGGCCTGCAGCATACAAAGCTCAGCTGTACTCTGAGTTTACGAAGCCTTAGGGCTCATCCATCTCCAAGAGAGTGAAAGAAAAGGTAAGCTAAGGATGGTGACGGTTCTTCAGTTGAACTAAGGTCCCCTTCACAGTTTACAGACAGGTGATGCTGACATAGCGTCAATCCCTTCAGCCTTGGAGTTTAAATGACCTGCATGCCACCTCTCATTGCCCCGCCCCCCCCCCCCCAAGCCGCCAACGTCTCCTCGCCTGTCCTTTCTTTCTGCTTTTCACTGCCTGCTTCCTTTGACTGATCCTGGTTGTGTTTGCTGTTTGTGAAGCTGACGTGTGTTAGAAAGCAGTTTGTTAGAAATGTTCCCATTGATTGACACAAAAGATAAATGGAAATACTGTATTATTCCCATGATACAGTATCTCTTCTCCAAATAAATATCAAATCCAGCTGCTTCCTGAGTGAATTAAAACCAGCTTTTTTTATTAAAAAAAAGGTTGTTACCGTATAAGGGAAGTAGTGTTTGTGTTCTTCTGATGGGAACATTCCACAAAGATGCATTGTTTGTTGTGGAAAATAATGTTGTATATAACATGTAGATCTGTGGTTCAACATGAATGCACTGTTATATCAGAATTTGTGTCATGTTTTTATGCTTATTCTTTTTATTAAGGAATGTATCTAGAAAACGCTCTTTTCAATAACCAGCAGAAGTTAAGACTAAATGAATCAGCTTGAACAAAGTTGTATCTTTAAAAGTGACAAACATCTGCTCAAACATGCCTTTAAGTGTTTCTATAACTTAGTGTAGGCTTTTTTATTTATTTTCTTAAATATTTATGCCAATATTTTTCACACACAGGCTTTTTCTGCATAAAAGATTATTAGTATGAAATTAAATGTTCCTGAAATTGAATGTCACGTATAAGGATTTACGAATGACACTTTTTTTAGGCACAAGAGAAGTGGATTATTTAAAAAACTTGACTTCTAATCTAAACATTTCAAATGTCCGTTGACCTCGTCAGGTTTGTTTGCAGGTTTGCATAGCCTGTTTTCTAACTGACGCCCACCCACTTCAAACCAGCAGAAGGAGAACAGGCAAAAAACACTGATACAAACATCTTGAGAGAAAAAAAAGTTACAAACATTAAAATAAAATGACGGAGCCCCTGAAGTCCCAAAAAGTAAAATAAATAAATACAATTTTGTGTGCACAAGTCAATATCTTGTGTGCAGAGTATCATTTCAATTTTTTTTTGGACTTCAGGTGCTCCGTGAAAAAAAGTGTGTTTGACCAAAACATTTTAAGTAGGCGTTGTTTCAAAAAGGGCTTCCAGGGCTTTTTACATAAATAAAAAAAATTTATTTATGTAAAAATCTAGCTTCTTATCTTCTGAGTATTTAAATAGATTCATAACTTCCAAAGTGCTAAGTGCTAAGGCTAGCTCTTTAACTCAGTAGAATACCAAATAGAGCAGCAAGAAATTCAGCCAGTCTCTCAGTTGACTGGAGTAGATCCTGAAGTATGTACTAATTCAAAAAATAGACTTTGAATCCATGGAACAATGAATTCAGTATCGCTTTACATCGAAAATAGATTCTGAATCGAATTGTGACCTCAAGAATTGAAATCAAATCGAATCGTGAGACACCAAAAGATTCCCAGCCCTTGAATATGCAATATTTACTTCTAAAGGGTATCTTAATTGATAACAGGGTTGTTTAAGCTGATCTCTATGCACTTGTTATGTTATGAGACACACATTGCACACATAATGATGCAAAAAGACAGACACTTTTAATTTGACCACCAGCAGGTTTTTAACTAAATTTGATTGCAAAAACATTCTAAATGTAAATCTGATTCTGAAATCAAGGAGGGTTCAGGTTGTCTGCTTGTGACTGGTCTGTAAGTGCTTCTTCGGTGATTTATAAGGGGGTAATGACAAATGTGGTGCCACTAACCATTGTAGCTGATGATTATACTAAAAACAGTCAAGTGTTGCTTAAAAGGAGAAGGGAGATAGGAGCATTGCTAATAATTGACTATTTCTCATTTTAAATCCATAGTTTACACATTTACATGTAAAATCTTATGTTATTCTTTTATCCACTATATTATTTATTATATCCAAATATTAATAAAAAGTACAAATCACATCAGGCAGTAGTAGTGTAAGCACAGAAAGACACAAATGAAGTCAATAGGCAGGAAATTATCTTAAAAAACAGAGAGGGTTTCTCCTCTCAGGAGAGTTTTACCTGCAGACACTGACTGGAGATATAAAGCCCCTACAGCAACCCACAAAAAGGGTACCTTATTTTTTTATTTCAGTATCACTGTGCTTACATTATTTGTGTTTGGATATCAGAGGATTTATTTCTTTGCTCTAAATCATTCACAGCCAAGCGAGTTTTTCCGCTTCCTTCTGCTAATTTCCTCTTTTATACTCTCTTTTGTTTTGACGTAGCAGCACCATTTTATTAAGCAATAAAATGAATGCCCTTTTTTAACTCGCCATAGATAATGAGATCAACTTTTTACATGTCAATTTAACTGAAAACAAGTTTAAAAAAAAAAGTCAGATAAAGCTTGAAATATTTAAGAAAACAGCAAAACAACCAACCATCCATTCCTTTGAGTTTACTTTAATCATATAACTATTTTTCCAAACAGAAAGTTTGACATTAACTTTCCTCCAAATAGAGCCTATTTGGCAATTTGAATCATTTTCAAACGCTCTTGAGGCTTTAAAATTACAATCTCTGTAAATGCTTATAAATATATTATAGGTCAAGCAGTATAGCAAATACTTAAATTATTAACAAAACAGAGACTTCACCCTTAAACTTTAGATTTCCTTTAAGTTGTAAGTGGCAGGAAGAACAACAGACATCTTAACACCAGTATTATATGCTAAAGGAATGCACAATAAAAACACCGAAATTCAGCCAGAGGCTGACAGTATGGGCGTAGGTGTTGAGGAATATTTCTAATGCCTGCCAAGTTCATGTTTATGTAAGAGCCAGCACAGCACAGGGTTAAATACAGGATTAGATATATGTTACCTAACCTAACCATTTTTGTTTGTGACCTCAGCCAGCTCTGAAGTTCAGCTATAAAAATCAGCATGTGCTTTTTCAGTGACAAAAAGTTTCAATTATTTTATTTCTGTCTATCTCTGTGTTTGTGTGAATGCTTGTGTGCATTTGAATTTGTATGCTTGTGTGTGTGTGTGTGTGTGTGTGTGTGTGTGTGTGTGTGTGTGTGTGTGTGTGTGTGTTTGTGTGAATGCGTGTGTGCGTTTGAATTTGCACACTTGGGTGTGCACGTGTTTGTGTGAATGCATTTGAATTTGTACACTTCTGTGTTTGTGTTTGTGTGTGTGTGTATGTATGTGTGTGTGTGTGTGTGTGTGTGTGTGTGTGTGTGTGTGTGTGTGTGTGTGTGTGTGTGTGTGTGTGTTTGTTTATCATCTATTAATTGACAGGCCTGAAGACCATTGTGGGTGCGCTGATCCAGTCTGTGAAGAAGCTGTCGGATGTGATGATCCTGACGGTCTTCTGTCTCAGCGTCTTCGCTCTGATTGGCCTACAGCTCTTTATGGGGAACCTGCGGAATAAGTGTGTATTCTGGCCAATCAACGTAACGCAGTGGATACTTTCAAATGGCAACAGGAGTTTAGACTGGGATGAGTACATCATGAATGACAGTGAGTGATGACCTTTACACTCAGCTGCACATTTCATACGTGAAATACAACAGAAACTGCATCTTTGTAATTATTTTGTCTATATGTTTTTGCATGTTTTTACACATATTGTCCCAGTGACTAATGCATCTGACTGTTGTCTTTTTTTTCTTAGCTAATTTCTACTTCCTCCCAAATCAGCTTGATGCTCTACTGTGTGGAAATAGTTCTGACTCAGGGTAAGTTAGTGCCCCCCCCCCCACACACACACACACACTATTCCAAATTTGATGGACAGACTTGCTTGCTTTAAAAGAAATAAGGTAAGGTAAGGTAATATATACTGGACCATAGAACGTCCATCTTGTTTGCACATTTAATCAAAAGGATCCAAGAGCCATTAAACCATTTATTGAGTCAGGCAGGAGTCAGATCAATGAATAGAGAAATTGATGATTTTTTTTTTTGGAACACTTAAAGGGAATACTTCACCCATTTGCATTAAGCTTTGTATCATTAGAAACCTGGTAGTATTTTTGAATGGTCGTGCATCCCGTCCTCATTTTCCCCTGAGACGGGAAAGCTCCTAAAAAGGAGCAAAAACTGTCATTTTGCGTCATCGGAGGCTGCTCTGGTTAGAGGGGGTGAAACTACATCGCTAGTTCCTCATGTTTTCAACGGGGGGGGGGGGACCCACTGAAGCTACAGACCTATTACATTTCAGTGGGTGGGACCTCACTCCCAGAATCGAAACTCAACATCCGCCATCTTACTTGGAAGCTATGCTAACAGGCTCTGTGGAGAAAGTTGAGAAGAACGAAAGTATGATGAAAGTATGTTTCAACATCAAACTGATATGGATGAAGGGGATTTTGAAGGTCTTGTGCTCGTATCGGATGTACGTGGCTATCTCTACGAGCCGCAATATGGCACAAGACCTGCCTGTTGGCGGTGCTGAAGACAAGGAGCCCGGGCCGGCTCGAGCTGGGGCGGACTGGTGGTGTCGGTGCTCTCACTGTTTGCAAGAAATCTTGGAATCATTTGAGGAAACGGCCGTATGTGTTTTAGAGAATGTAAATGTAAATAGAGCACCCTAGCTTCAGTTGGAGTGGCCTATGGTGCTGTGCATTCTGGGAGTTGTTGTCTTTCTTCCACATGAGTCAAAAATACACTTTCTGCCTTTTCTCAAGAAGGCATCAACTTCAAAATGTATTGTTTATTACTGTTCACATTTCCACTACATATATGACCCAATGTCAATACAGATTCATGTTTCAACGGGTGAAGTGTCCCTTTAATATACCATGACTCTCATAACTTTGATGCTGAGTCATTCTTCTGTTTTCTTTTCAGACGTTGTCCAGAGGGCTTTACATGTATGAAAGCTGGAAGGAACCCGAACTATGGTTACACAAGCTTTGACAGCTTTGGATGGGCTTTCCTCACCCTCTTCCGACTTATGACTCAAGACTTTTGGGAAAATCTCTACATGCTGGTAAAGAAAGCATTGTTGTTTTAATTCCTCCGTCTCTTCTCTGTTGTGTCAAATTGGCTCATTAATGTCCACATGAAGTTAAAAGCAGGGTCGTCTATTCTGTTAAGGTATGACCAGTGGGTGTGGTATTTGACCCTTGAAAACACCATTTAGAGAGCTGTATTAGAGCCTCTACTCATCCTTTTACCTCAGTGAATCAGCAAAAGTGCATCAGCAGCTCCTCCCTCAGTTCATTTGCCCTCAGAATGAAATGAAAGGAAGGACAGCTGATCAGATAAACTGGAGGTAGGAGTGTGTGACGAGCCACCAGAATCCAATCTGTCCATCATGCAGGAATAAAAAGAAATCTTGAATTCTGAAATATTTCATTTACATTTTCACAGAAACAAAGTGAATTCCATTGTGTTATATGACCTTGTACAAGGATCACTCTCTCATTTCTGTCTCTCTTAGGCCCTGTTTACACGACAATCATTTCATCCAAAAATGTCAATCTTTTGTTGCGTTTTGGCTGTTCATCTACACAATGGCGGTGTTACCGGCGACTGAAGTTTTTAAAAATGGGTTCTGGAGTGCAAAGTTTTGAAAACGGCATCAAGCAATCACCTTGCAGACTGCTAAAATGCCGTTCCTTCTTAAAACCAGATGTGCATTACGCTTCAAGTCAATTGCAATGCTCGAGTACATGGACGACTCCAACAATGAGGACCCAAGAGTTCTGTTTGTGCTGCTCACTTACATTCGATATTTTATTGAAATTGACTCTCTTTGTAGTTTAGGGTTACTTGGAATACCAACCCCACCTCATTGTGCGTCCACATTAATGTTATCTGGTTTTGTATGTTTACACCTCACCGCTCTGTGGAAGGAATGGTATATGCACATGCATGTGCTGTTTCTTTACAAAGTCACTGAAAATTAGCATTTCTTCATTTATATCTTACTAATTGAACAATATGTCTGTTAAAAACAATTAATTTGGGTTTTTCTTTTGGATAGACTTTTTTGAAGTTCTTTTCACATCCCAGGCAATCATTAAATGAAATGCTTTGAGAAAAACCTCTTGTGGTAGGACCATTGCTAGACCACTCTGTTAGATCATTTCATTCAGACTAATGTAATGAATGCCTGCCTCTCTACCAGGGGCAGGACTAGATTTTCTCGACCTTGGTGTCCTGCCTCTGACAAGGCAAATAACCAATCATTGTTTAGGAGTTTGAATGAAATCAAATGAGACCATCAGCGACAACATGGTGTATTTCTTTATTATTATTATTATTATTATTAATGCCTGAAACCACTGTCACATGGGTGGCGTTTAATGAATTGAATCACAGCAAGCTTCAGAAACAGCACGTTTTATAGTTTTCACTGCAAACATCCTCAATGAGTGATACACTTGGTGGCTTGCAGGATTAGGGTGCCAGTTTAGCTCAGTCAGTAGAGCAGGTGCTGCATGTATGGAGGCTACTTTCCTTGTTACACTAGTTCCAAAACATGTAGAGCACAAGATCAGGAAAGAGTTAAAAGTTAACACTTTGTCCACGGAGGTCGCACAAAACTGAAAGTTCTAAGAGGAGCTTGAAGTTTGGCAGAGCACTTTCTATGTTTGGGGAAGCAGCTTAAACATGTCTGATTACATTTTTTTTCAAAGTGACTTTCCACAGTTTTAAGTCACCCTATTTTTGTTCTCATTGCTTTTTGTGTGTTTTTCTGCCAGACTCTGCGTGCTGCAGGAAAGACCTACATGATTTTCTTCGTGCTAGTCATCTTCGTTGGTTCTTTCTATCTGGTGAATCTCATCTTGGCTGTGGTGGCCATGGCCTATGAGGAGCAGAACCAGGCCACCATTGAGGAGGCGGAGCAGAAAGAGGCAGAATTCAAAGCCATGCTGGAGCAGATCAAGAGGCAGCAGGAGGAAACACAGGTTGGTCTCGTTCCGTCTCAAAAACATACACTTCTAACCATTTTTAATAATTTATGGTTATCATGTGTCTTGCTTTTTTTTTTTCTAGGCTGCTGCCATGGCGACTTCTGCAGGTACAGTTTCTGAGGCTGCATTAGAGGACGAAGGAGGAGGGCACCTGTCCCGCAGCTCCTCTGAGGTCTCTAAACTGAGCTCAAAGAGTGCCAAGGAACGCCGCAATCGCAAGAAGAAATGGCGTCAGAAAGAGCAGGAGAAAGAAAAAGGAGATAGTGAAAAGGTTGTTAAGTCTGAGTCAGACGATGGCAGCAAGAAAAGTACAATACGTTTCCCAGGAAGCCGGCTGGGGAGGAAGACATCAATCATGAACCAGGTAAAGTTAGACAGGAACATCTAACAGCATAGGAAGTCCTGTGTTTGATTAAGCATGTGCAAATACAAATAGTGATATTTCTGGACACATTATTGGTGACGTTCTAATTAGTGGTGTTACAAGTCTTTCTCAATGATACGGCTCCCTCAAGGGGACCAGAAGGTCTCTTTTTTTCTTGAGCTGGATCTTATCTTGAGGCTCTTCTTTCTTATCCAGGAGGGCCTTTTACACCTGTCTCTTGATGTAAGGCCTTGCCAGGGATGTGGCTGCTGTAGTCAGGTTTATGGAGGTTATTCTTTGAGAAGATGTTGGCTGTTACCAGCTCCAATGGTTATAGTGATGGTTCTCCTACTTGAGATGGTCATCTAGATCTGTTATTGGTGGTCATTGTGCCAGCAGAATTGCCCTTCTTCCCTGGAGAAGCAGCTCAAGAAGATTTCCCTCTTTCCAAGCATAGCATACATCAACATTTGGGTTACACTTCTTTGCCCAGTAGTGAAAATTTCATAGATTTTAAACTACAATAAACATAGACAGATCCCCCAACGGGCGCTGACATCTTTCACCTGTGATGTTGTGTGGACACAGAGTCAAGGCAGGTTAATTACCCAAAAAAGGGTAAAGATCCCTCAGGTTTGTTCTGTCCTCAGCAAGCAGATTCATGTTTCAGTTTGGGAGCAGTCATTCATGTAAAGTTCAAATACTCTTGTGTTAGGGTTTGCTACATCTCCCCTTCCTTTCCTTTTCTACTCTGCTCATCTGGTGCGCATATCTGTAAACAGAGCCGTCAGTCATGGTTTTATACCCTTTTCATATAGCATCAAATAACTCATTCAAGCTAATCTCCTCACAAATGTGTCACATCAGTGTGAACTGGAGGACCTTTTGAGGTGTTGAGCCAAAATGCATTCACATTCTCAAGTGTCATGTGACTCCTCTGGTAGGTGTTCCCTGTTTTTCAAGTATCTAGTCTCGACCCTCCTGTGGTTTGGTCCATTTGAGTGGTGTTCTTGATACTTCCCAAGTTCTTGCAAACCTTGCCAAATTGCATTCATTGTTCATCCAGAGAGATTTCTCTCTCTCTCCTGTCCACATTTTTCTTCTTGTGCATGTAGATCAAATGGTCATACCATTCCTCCTTGGTTTTTTTCCTCTGGCTGTCACTGTCATAGGTTTCAACCAGCCATTCCTTGCCATCACTGCACAATCTCTCTAAAACATCTTTTCCCGCTTCTCCATTCTTGAGCAACAGCCATTTTGGGTGTCCTCTTGCCTCGTCACTAGTATTGTGTATGGCTCTTTCATACTTTTTAGCTTGTTTAGAATAGAGATGGACCTTCACTTTGAGAAAACTTGCTCTCCAACTGCAATTCTTTCTGACTCACTGACCACTTGGTCATGAGTTGATGCTACAAATGGTCTTCCTTGGGACTGTTTGCTTCTGCAAGATGGTTGGTTTTGTGGCTTTTGATAAAGAAACAATGGCAATCAAATTCACATCATAAAATGAATACATTAATTAGTAGGTTTGTACGTGGTTAGTGTTTTGTGTGTAATCAAATTGAGCTTTCACACAGAACTGTTCCTACAACCTGGGATTATACATAGCTGTTTATAATAGTGTTGTGACTCATTTTGTATTAAACAAGGTTTAGAAAATAGCTGTGACAGCATGGTACAGGAGGTTTATGTAAGTATGTGACATCAAAGCTAATGAACAGTTTGGGTGTGGGCCATTTTGACAAATTATAGTTTTAATATTTGTATTCCTCAAAAGCAAGAAACATGGTGTTCAACCTCTTTTCTCCATCCGTATGAAGTAATTCATTTATTTTTCTTCTGGTCCTTTGGTTTATTCTTCTCAGCTATGTGCGTAACTTGTTATTTTCACCTTTTTTTACACATCAACCAAGTCCAGCTGTTTTTTTAATGTCTGCCCCTCTCTCCCTTTCTGCATCTGTCTCTCAATCCCCAGTCACTACTCAGCATCCCGGGCTCTCCCTTCATGTCGCGCCACAACAGCCGGAGCAGCATCTTCAGCCTTAAAGGCCGCTCCAAGGACATGGGCTCAGAGAACGAGTTTGCAGATGACGAGCACAGTACAGTAGAGGAGAGTGAAGACCGCCGAGGCTCCCTTTTTATCCCTTACCGCCGCAACAGTTACAGTGGCTACAGCCAGGGCTCATCCCGCATCCACCCGCTGGCACCCCACTCTGGAGGGAAGAGGAACAGCACAGTGGACTGCAATGGCGTGGTGTCTCTCATCGGCCCTGGGCCCGGCAGACGGCTTCTGCCTGAGGTGAAAATAGATAAGGCAGCCACTGATGACAGTGTAAGGACGTCCATGGGACACCAATACAGTTTAGGCATGATGGTGGTGGCCCCGGTCTCTGCAGCTTCTCCTTTACCACCTCTTCCCCTTTGGCTCTTGTTCTAGCTCCCTTTCCTTCCCTGAATATTTAGAGTCTGTCTTTTTATTTCAGCCTACCACTGCCACTGACAGTTTTGCCCTAATCTTATAACCATTTTCAGCTGGTAATTTTTTTTACAGCTCTAAAGTACTAATACACTAAAAATAACAGTTTCCATAAACCAACAGCCTCTCAAGAACCACCATTACCGTAAAATCCGGTGTATAAGACACACTTTTAATACCTTCTTTTTCATCTTAAATGCTGGCTGCGTCTTATACACCGGTGTGACCAACATACCAGTATAATATGCTTACACAAGCGCCATATTTACTTCGGGTGCAGCAGCCACTATCACTGACGCGATTAAAAACACATCCCCATTCCTTGTGTATTGAAAGCTGATTGCAGGCTGTGCTGGGGAAGACGGCCACACAGACCAGTCTGTGCGACATCTTGTCTTCCTCACTAGGTCATGCAATCATCATGCAATGACAGAAAGCGGTGGTAAATTGCTATGTTAAAGTTCAAGAGTGACCAGCGGAGCCGGGCAGAGAGGTCGCAAGCTACGGGTCTGTGCTTCACAACTTTCACTGCAGGCTGAGAGCTCAACTACCGTAGCAAAACTCCACAAAGTGAAAACAGAAGGAACTAAAAGAGCGACACAGCTGCACAGAAACTGCACGTTGTAGACTTCACTGAACACAATAGAAATTGTCACACAGGAAGGCAGTTTAAAGTTTTTAGTTGAGAGCCTTCAAAAACAGAGTGCGTCTTATATACCGGTGCAATTTATATTCCAGATTTTACGGTATATATTAACTGATTGTTATCTCACGAAGGACAAATGATATCAGCCTCCCTTTGTTCACCTAACCATTTCATAACCAGTCTTAAACATATCAGTCATTTAGAATCAAACATGACTATCAAAACTATTTACTGGGGGAAAAAATTCCCTTCCTTTTAATTCTTTCCTTTTTAAAGGCTCCCCACATCCAGGCCCACCGATTCACTTCCGCCTTCCATTTCTATCACTTCCACAGTTTATTGTACTACCTCTCTCTCTCCTCCAGTCATAATTTATCCTCTGCTCCTGAGCCACTGGATGGTGCAAGAACAAATCTCAAACTTCTTTTATTTAACAATATTTCTCCTCATTCAAGGTAGCATGGTAGCCTCCTCTTTTATTCTCAACCAATATACCTGCTTTTGTCTTTGACCTCTCTTAATATGTCTGAATCCCCCTCTGTTCGTGACATGCATGCGATTGCATGCAGCTTAATGCTGTTGAATCAGGGATTGTAGATATTCAGTGCACAATAAACAACGGAGGGCTTAGAGAGTATACTGTAAATTCTCAAATAAAATCCAGTAACATAATGCCCACATACTATAATACAAAAGGAAATGGGAAAAATTTGAACAAAAGTCGTGGCTCACATACCTGTTCAAGAAAGGAACATGTTCTCCCCTCACTTCTGTTTATCACGGCAACTATTTGAGAATTTACTGTACTAATTTTAAGTGTGCCACGGGATATTTTTAGTTTGAACAGATCTGGTTATTTTGGGGAGTCATACATTGCATCACAGTAGATTTTTGTCTTAAGATCAGACGGTCGTCCTACAGTGTTATGAAACCCGGATGAGACTAAAGAGCATGATTTCAAAATGATGTTTGTTGCTCTGCAGTCATGCTAGTGCTGTCTCTGACTTGTATTACTCCTTTCTCTGAGTACAGACTACTGACGTGGACATTAAGAAGAAGCACTCCGGCTCGCTCATGGTATCTGTGGATCAGCTCAACTCCTTCAAAGGAAAGGACCGGGCCAACAGTCAGATGAGCGTGGTCACCAACACTCTGTTAGAGGGTACAGACAATGCACATTCCTCTTGACTCCATTTAACCCAACACTATAGGATAAGTGTATTTACGTGGAACAAACATGTCTAATGAGCCTTGCATTTACACACTTGAGTTAAATATGTTTTCTTTTTATGTAAATGCTGCCTGTGAATGTAAATGTGTCTGCACGCGTTTGTTTTGTGCTTGTCAGGAACTCGATGGTAGAAAAAGTACAGTTTCAAAATACTGTTTTGCATTTGTAGCGTTGTTGTTTTTCCGACCGTTTTTGTTTTCCACATCCCTTGGTGCAGAACTGGAGGAGTCTCAGAGAAAGTGTCCTCCCTGCTGGTACAAGTTTTCCAACACGTTTCTCATCTGGGAGTGCTGTCCCATGTGGCTGAAGATCAAACACATAGTCTACTGTATTGTCATGGACCCGTTTGTTGACCTGGCCATCACTATCTGCATTGTCCTCAACACCCTCTTCATGGCCATGGAGCACTACCCAATGACCGAACAATTTGAGGGGGTCCTGACGACTGGCAACCTGGTAAGAAACTGCGGCTCTTTTTACCTTTCTCATACCGCTAGTATTTATCTGTGTAACATTTTATGCCTGCATGTACTACATTATCTCTACCGAAGCTTTCCAAGTTCAGTTTGCCCCACCTACATAACCTCAAACCGATACATCAATGCATCATTTGGTATGTGCACTTAAGAATACACACGGCCAACTGAATATGGGACTCTGATGGGGTCTCATTAAAGATTTAGTTCCATTTAATGCAGCCGGCCAGCCTGCTCCCCAAACTCCCCCACCCCCACTCAGGTCACTCTTTTGCTTTTGCTGCACCCTGCTTACCTTGGCTCTACTGAACTCTGTCGGACTCACTCTCTTTCTTTACACAAACACATGCAGACACACACAAAAGTGCAAGACTGGTTAGGCCTAGTACATATTAACGAAATGTGCAGCGGGCGTTTTGACTTGACTTGTGTTCTGCACTTGCTGTCCGTTCTTAACATTGCACAGCTGTCTGAGGGCAGCAGTATTGGCTTACAACCAATATTAAGACAGGAAATGAGGTCATATGGATTGGCGTCCTTTCAGGAATAGAACAGGAACTTAAGTTAGAGGAATCAGTCTAATGGACGGTGCAGCATGAATCATTGGGTGTTGCACTGCAGCACTGATTGGGCACAAGATAAGCTGTTGGGTGGACAATAGGGTAACAGTCAGAAAACTACAGCGCCCTACAAAGCTGACACATGGGAACTGTATGACCTTGCCCTGTCAGAAGGGTCCTCAATCTAAGCCAATCCATTTTTAATCAGCACCACATCAAATAAAATGCAATGTAAGCTAAGCCGTTTTTCCCGCTGCACTCAGTACCCCTACTAGAATAAGAAGCAAAATCGAGCTTTGAAGTGACATTGTGACATCGATTCAGGACATTAAAGAGAACTTTCAGATATTTCATTATTTCTGTCTCAGAGGCGGGCGGTGGTTGTATTTAGATTTTACAAAGTAACAGTCTAATGAAACAAAAATATGATCATGATACTGAAGGTTCCCTTTGAGCAACTAGCAGAGTGCTTTTTTGATTTGGTGTAATTCTGATTGTCTTTCGAGCTAAGGAGGGACTTTTCATATGTATTGATTAGCGTTTACAGTTGTCCATAATAATAAATGTGAGAACTTTCAAAGCTAACTCCCAAACTGCACACTCATAGACTCACAGACTTTGAGGCATATTCCTGGTCAGTGAAGGAATAAGGCGTGTCCCTAAGGATTTACACAGTTGAACCTGATTCGTCAGATTTTGCCTATGGTCGACTGACAGTCAAAAGTTTTGTAGTCGTTTTTTTTGCGCTCATTGTTCAGTTTTCTCATTCGCGTTTATCCACATCATTAAACTTTTTTAATCTTTTAGACTCAGATTATCAATTTATTCTTGGATAGTTTGTTAAAAATAAATAATTACTAAATAATCACAGGCAACTTGGAAAAAATGTAAGTTTAATTCCCAAAGTGCAGGATAAGTAATCGAGATTTACTTGATGGTTTTCAGAGAATGACAGACTCTTCAATAAAACATGGAATACCTCAATAAACACATTTTTTGTTTCCTTTTTATCGAGAAACTTGCATCAAAGAGGACATATTATACTACTTTTCCACCTTTTCAAACAGTCCCCTGTGGTCTAAATGAAACATCTGTGCTGTGCTTAGGTCAAAATAAAACATGAATCAAGCACAGGAGGAGGTTTGTGACCCTATATAAACCAGCTCTCTCAGAACGCTCCGTTCTCTGAATGCGATGAGCCCCACCCCCCAAGTTTTCCCGGTAGACATCACTTTTCTGTAGCGAGAATAAAGATGGCAGACCTACGCAAAAGTTTTGTTCTAGGCTGGTTCGAGGTGGAGTCCATGGGTGGACATATCAGGGGAGGGGATTATTTTTTTTTACCAGAATCCAGCTTGTGGCATCACAAACTGAATTTTTTTTGGAAACAGAGCACTTTTCTCTGTGTTGTAAGACTTATACAGACTACAAACAAAGGACTGGATGGGTTTATTTCACATTTTGTGGGTCGGTAGAAACTCAAGTTACCCAAATATATGTTCAAAAACACTGTAAAAGTGGATTTTTCATAATATGTCCCCTTTAAAGTAAAAATCAGTGCACATCTCATGTCACTTAAAAAACTTAAGCATCTATTCTAATGTCTGTGGAAATTTTACCAGTAGACAAGTAGCTGACATATTTGAACACAACTTGAATTACACTTAAGTCGTTTAATACTAACGTGGCAAGTGGACATTTAGTCCATTTACCATTCCATAAGATAAATTGTGTTTTGCGTCTACTTAAAAAAAGGCAGCAACAAAAACAACAACAACAACTGAACTTTGTATAATAATCTTTTTCCAGGTCTTCACTGGTATCTTTGCCGCTGAGATGTTTGCAAAGCTGGTTGCCATGGATCCCTACTACTACTTCCAGGAAGGCTGGAACTGCTTTGATGGCTTCATTGTGACTCTGAGTTTAGTTGAGCTGGGACTGTCTGATGTAGAGGGTCTGTCAGTGCTCAGGTCATTCCGATTGGTAAGTAGATTGTGTCTGCATTTGTTTACCCCCTTTTGCCCTCATGTCCAGGTTGTGAGGCAGAGTAGATATTCTCAAGATACATATTTATCTTTTAACAGTCCCATTTTGTGTCATGTAGAGGTCCCTTTATTATAAACAACTCAGAAAGTACAGAAATAAGGATGGGTTTGTAGCTTTAAAAAGGTCTTTAAGTAATCAACAATCATAATAGTGTGTATTTGATTAGACTGTAAACCCTCTAATTGTCTGTGTTATGTTCTTCATCAAACCAAATAGCAGACAGCTCTCAGTCAATCAGTTAAATGAATTTAAACTATGAGTATTTTGAAATGTAACCACTGATCATTGTCCCTAATATAGATAACTATGAAATAATCCTCTTTTTTTTCTTCTATTGTAGTTGAGAGTGTTCAAACTGGCCAAATCCTGGCCCACCCTGAACATGCTGATCAAGATTATCGGTAATTCGGTTGGAGCTCTGGGTAATCTGACTCTTGTGCTGGCCATCATTGTCTTCATCTTTGCCGTGGTGGGAATGCAGCTGTTTGGCAAAAGCTACAAGGACTGTGTGTGTAAAATTGCCCAGGACTGTGTGCTGCCTCGCTGGCACATGCATGACTTCTTCCACTCCTTCCTGATCGTGTTCAGAGTGTTGTGCGGGGAGTGGATTGAGACCATGTGGGACTGTATGGAGGTGGCGGGACAGACCATGTGCCTCACGGTCTTCATGATGGTCATGGTCATTGGAAACCTGGTGGTAAGACTAAGACACCGATAACATTCTAGATGCTATTGGAAACTAGCAGTAGCCTGCTGTGGTTGACCACTTGTGAACCATCCATTTAGTGCTTTTGTGGTGTTTTTTTTGTGAGGTGCTGAACCTGTTCCTGGCCTTGCTGCTGAGCTCATTCAGTGCTGATAACCTGGCAGCCACTGATGATGATGGTGAACCCAACAACCTCCAGCTGGCAGTCGCCCGCATTAAGATAGGGATTGCCTGGTTCAAGGTTAACATGCGGCTGTTGGTAGCCACAGTGCTCAAGAAGGTATCATATAATTCCACATCTATATGCAATGATACTTCTTGTTTGTTATATATATTTGACAATAACAGTTATGTACGGTATGAATGCATATTTCAGACACTTTTATGATGACCTTCTTTTTACCTTTTTTTTTTTTATATTATTTTGTCACCCCGACATGCAGCCTATAGAGGATGAACAGAAGCCTCTGGACGAAATGTACGAAAAGAAGCTGAACTGCATTGCAAACCACACAGTGGACATCAACCGTGAGCTGGACTATGCTAAAAATGGCAATGGAACTACCAGTGGTATTGGGAGCAGTGTGGGAAAGTATATGATTGATGAGGATTACATGTCCTTCATCCACAACCCCAACCTCACCGTATGTGTTCCTATCGCTGTTGGCGAGTCGGACTTTGAAAACCTCAACACGGAAGATTTCAGCAGTGAATCGGATGTGGAGAACAGTAAAGATGTGAGTAAGAGGGAGTGGTCGGAGAGGGAGATGAAAGAGAGATGCTGAGCGAGTGGCTTGATTAGTGTGGGTACATGAATGATTGATTGAGGAAGATTATTTGCTTATTTTGGCTTAAGAATCTTCAGAGGAGAACTTGAAGAAGTCCAGGATATTTTGTGTATCTTTAAAAGCCATATTTAGAAAATGATATATTAAACCTTTTGATTGTGACTCTCAGAACAGTAACATGATATAGTTATGCTTCCCCAAAAATGACTTGATGACTTGAGAAATGATCGCATAAGATACAAGGTGATGTAAGAAGGCTTTGTGCACATGTGTGAAGTGTGTTTGTTTGTGCCCTTGCAGCATATTTTGATGCATTAAGCAGAACGGGCTTGAGCTGCAGCACTGAAGACAGAGTTTATTTGACATTTTAGAAAATCCATTTAGACATGAGAGCTGTAACAATGAGTCTGAGTGCTGACTCTCAAGGGACTGATACAAAGGAAGTCCTGACCAGGCAACAGACAGACAAACATGCCGTCAACTGTAAAGTACTAATGAGTGAGAAGGATAAGTCAGACCCAAAGCTTGTGGAGAAGTTGTGATTTATGGGTCACCTTGACCTGGTTTGTAGTAGGAAGAGAGGAGATAATGCAGCAGCATCACTACTGTACCTGCCTGCACCAGGTTTCTATTCCACTGGGCTCCCTCCACCAACCACACACCAATCCTGGATCCCTGCACCACTGTCAGCCACAGGGTACCCTGCAGGGAGCGGACACAGACAAAGCTGCTGACAGCCAATCAGAGGAGCAGGAATCCACCCGGCTGTTTGGTAGAAAGAGAGAGGAAAGAGAGAGAGAGAGAGAGAGCAGAGAGGAATGTGAAGCGGCCTTTGCTGACAACATGATTATAAAGTGCAACATCATTCTCTAGTGAATTGAATCCAAGCGGCAACCTCCGGTCTTAAAAATTAAGCCAAGTGCAAAATCCTGCAGTTCATCGAGTGTCCGCTAGAGGCTGGCTGCAGGAACACCGGAGGTCACATACACATGACTGGAAAAAAAGCCGTTTTTACAGCATGCATCAACGCATAGCTGACATGATTGACAGGTGGGTGCAATGTAATGGTTCATCAAGAGGCTTAAACACCGCCTCAGCTTCGGCTCTAAGCCTGTAGTTAGGTTGACTGAAAGCTAGGCTTAGACAGCATTTCCAACATGGTAGCAGCAGCTGCCGATGAGCCTTTGGAGCACCCTACAGTAACAGAGGGCTGACGTCACTCAGACTTTATCCATTAATATTTACAGTCTATGATTGAAAAGTCAGAGTGTTTCTGCTTGTGTGTGTGTGTGTGTGTGTGTGTGTGTGTGTGTGTGTGTGTGTGTGTGTGTGTGTGTGTGTGTGTGTGTGTGTGTGTGTGTGTGTGTGTGTGTGTGTGTGTGTGTGTAGTTAATTGCAATAAGGCTGCTGTTCTGCTGGTGTTAGACTAGGTTCGCCCCGCCTCACCTTGACCCATTGTAAAGATACGACTTTACAATGTAAAGATGTATTTGTACAGGTGAACTTTAGAAAGACATTTAGAGAAAGCTTTTTCATTGTGCAAAATTATGATGACATATTTTTTATCTATACCTAAAAAAGGTAAATTATAACCCTAAAATAAATAAATAAACAATAGCTGACTACAGTAATAAAGGAGTTTAATTACCTCCTTGTGAATCTTCCAACAGCACTGCAGAGTAGGTTGGGGATGTAGCTGCACAACACGGCTACAACATGTTTACCTTAAGTAATAAATCATGTCATGCATATAAACCCAAAGGAGAATTAATGTTATGGCTGTACTGGTGCTGTGCTGTCTCCACATGCTTCAGCCTCTCACTGCTGGGCTGAAAGTCAAGAGGGAGAACTGATCTGTTTGCTGCTCTGTTTGTCCTAGCTGGATGACACCAGTTCGTCTGAGGGCAGCACGATAGACATAAAGCCTGATGTGGAGGAAGTAGCAGTGGTGGAGGTCGTGGAGGAGTACGTTGACCCTGATGCCTGCTGGACAGATGGTAGGCGGTGTTTACAGTTTTTTCACTATTGCATAAACACACTTCCTGAAAGCAGGACCCTCTTTAATGAACACAAAGACAATGAGGAAACAACAAGTCTTTATTCTCAGTACTGACCTGAAGATTACATGTACCATGACCTGTATGACAGAACCTTCACAGACCAGATAATACAGTATGCAGTATTGTAATGACTGTAATACTTTTCATTTTAGTGTTAAAGCAATAATAAAAGCAGTTATTTCTTCCTACTCCTTTTAGAGGAGTAATATCTATGTATTTGCTTTGTTTTGATAATGTTAGCTGAATATAATGTTTAAGTTCACTTTCGTATTGTCTATTGCTTTTGTCAGTTATTTATTTTAATTAACTGGGCTTCTTTTTATTCAACACGTTTAAAATAAAGATATTATTTCATCAGTCAAAATTTGGCACGCAAGAAGCGAAACATCAGCTCAGATTTGCAAAACTACTGTACACGCAGGACTGGATCACTCGGGACGATACTTCCCCCAATGATTGGCCAGTGAGGACGTCACTCGTGATTTCCGTGTGATCTGATTGGTTCAAGGTGTCTTCACATGAGCATTCTGAGTTCATGCGATTGCTAATTGAGTGTGATGTTTCGGTGCTAGTGTTTAGAAATGAGCGCACACAGGCTGTCCGTTTTGAATGATGTGTCTTAAATTAGGAGAAGTTTGTTGGGTGTGTCCCGAAAATGTGCGTTTAATTGTGCAAATCTGATCTGACATGTTGCTCCTTGTGTGTTGAGTTTCCATAACTGTGAATCGCTTTTAACTTCAGAGTGTTGGCAATCATAAAAAAAAAATGTAATAACTGAATTTAAAACCGATAACAACGAACATTCATGAATGTTAACATCATGCTTACACTAGTTAAAGCCCCTGTGATGCATTTAGGTGGTACTATGCATCTGTCTCCTTGTATTTTAGCATATGTGTTTGTAATTGTCATGCAGAGTGTGTGGCCAAATACAAGTGCTGCGATGTTCCCATCACTCATGGCTGGGGGAAAAACTGGTGGTTCCTGAGGAAGACGTGCTACCTGATTGTAGAACACAACTGGTTTGAAACCCTCATCATCTTCATGATCCTGCTCAGCAGTGGAGCCTTGGTAAGAGCACAGTATGGATGTTTGCACTTTTTTGATTTAGACCCATAAATACTCTGATTCTGCTACTTCTGGTTATAATTCTATAGAACTTTCTAAACAAAGGTGTCCAGTTATTTCCCAGAATAGCATAATACATGTAAGGAAAACCACGTGAACACAGAGTGAAACATTATTTCACATCCCTTTAGAGAAAGAGAATCTCATAAGGATAGCCGCACATGAAATTCATCTCTTGGTTTTCCTCTGCAACCACTCTTGATATTATTGTTGCTAATGGACAGCAAAGTGCTGTAATGCACCAACCTTTCAATCCGCAGAATCCAGCTTAGGTTTGCAGCTTTGTGGAAGGGGAGGCCTGTGGCTAACTCCAAACATGATTGCTGAAGAAAGCACACAGCCTACAGAGAATAGTAAAGATGAGGGAATGATCAGTTGACTTTAACTTGGCGACGCGTGTCCATTCCAATTAGTTTTCCTATACGTCGTACAAAGACTATTCACAAAAAAAGGTAAACAAAGCCTACACACTGCCGTATTAAATATTACACAAGAAAGGGCGTTATTGGATAATAAAACTTATTCACATATTTATCAGTGAATTGAAGAAAGCACCTTGGTATATGTTATAGTTGACTTTTTTTGGAGTATTGCAGAAATCAAACATTTGGTAAAACACTGTAACATGTCTTACCACACAGTTTTAAAGGATCACAGGTATTGAGCTGCATCTTAAAAAGTTTGTCCTCTTCCCTAGTGCCATTGTCAGGAACAAACATACAGTATAGGAAGGACTGGCACACAAAGAACAAAAGTACAGTATATTTTCGAGTACAGATCGAAAATATTATCACAGTTTTCTCTTTTGCGACATGTGTAATGTTCAAATGACGAATGTTGAGAGAGATTAGTGATGCACTTGTCCACATGATGACTCTGTTGTTCTTTAGGCCTTTGAGGATGTTTACATTGAGCAGAGGAAGACGGTCCGTGTCATTCTGGAGTATGCTGATCGTGTTTTCACCTACATCTTCATCCTGGAGATGTTGCTGAAATGGGTGGCTTATGGCTTTGTCAAGTACTTCACTAATGCCTGGTGCTGGTTGGACTTCTTCATTGTGGATGTAAGTATATTTGCAAACCAATTCTCATTTTCCTTTGTGCAGCAATGTTACTTACACCAGTAGATTTATGAAGATGCCTCATCGGTCAACTCAAACTGAAGCCCATGCATGAACATTTAAAGAGTCTTTCCTTTATTCTAAAAACAACTTTGTATCTCTGTAATTTCCAAAGCCTCTTTTTTCACCTGACAAAGCAATGAAAGTCAGTTAGCTTGGTTAACACTTGCATATAGGAAAGGTTGGAGACATTTGAGCCCACAAAATAGATACCATATGCAGAGGTGGACAGTAACAAAGTACATTTACTTGAGTACTGTGTTTAAGTAAATGTTTTGAGTATCTCAAAGTATATAGCACACACTTGCTTTTATAGGTAACAGGAGTAGCAGCTTGAAAAAGGCTTCTCTAACATTGTGATTTGAAAAGCTTTGCTGCTGAACTTTTTGACCACATTCACAGTCAGCAAAATCCTGAAATGTAAATCTCTTTTGTTATGAAGTCAGTATAGCGTAATAAAACTAGTCTTTATGGAAAGACTAACTGAAAAAATGTAACTATGCTCCTGACACTGAGTGAAAAGACCACTGAACTGTGGTATGTTTAAGAGCTCTTTGTCTCTCTGGACTGCTTTATCATTCAGTGTGTATCTTCCTGATGATCACTATTACACATCTGGTTTATTTGTTCCTGTCATTTGTGCATGAAGTGTTATTTCTTGAATGCTATTTATAGGTCTGAATTTTAAAAGGAAAGTATATGTTACATCATTTGCACAAAGCTCCCATAAAACTGAGCACTGCAAGCAAGCAAAGTGACAGAAAACTCAACGTGTGAAAGATGACATGCAGTGAGAGAGGCAGACGATATGGCAGACTAATCAATGATTTGATGAACAAGTCATGATGCAGTGACCTCTTACATGTCCCTATCATTACATACAGCTTGTTATTTGGCTGTCCAGCTTAAACTAATAGATATTGCCTTTTCTGATTTGTGTCATCTGTGAAACTTTACAATAAAATCTAGTGCAGCAAATATGTAGTTTTTTGTTTGAAACATTGTAGAACTTTTCACAAGCTGCTAATAATTGAAGGTTTCATTGGTGTCCAGCAGCCTTGCCTGTTCAGTCATACCCTTAATGTGATGTAAAGGACATTGAGATAGAACAACATCAGCATACATGAATTATTCTTGCAGGCTAAGGCTTTATCTGTTAAGATGACAGCTTTATTTAATAGGCACAGTAACTTGATGTCTAATTCACTGCTGTAATTCTGAAGTATTCACTACTTTTCAGTGAGCTACACATTTTAAAATCTGAACGTTGTCACTTAATAATGACTTTAAAGGTCACATATTATGCAAAATACACTTTACCATGTTTTTCTAACGCTCAACAGGCAGTAACGCCTCTGTCAGGTGGTTGACACTCCCACAGCTAGGTGTTTTTTCTGCCCTCTGAGACTGCCTTCTCACAGAAAACACTGCGATTTTGTGCAAGAAAGAACAAGCCACCCAAGCTCTTCTGGTGGGGCGTGGTCAAACACAGCTTACTTGCATTTAAAGCACACCGAAACAGCCTGTTCTGAGCAGGGCTGATATGAGGGGTTTATAGGCATGATCAAATACAGGATCAGAGTAGATTTTTGACTTATTTAAACTGGTTAAAAAAGGAGTATAATATGTGACCTTTAAATATTGTGCTATTAGAATAGGGCTGTGTTTATAAAAAGTTCTGAACTTTATCCCCAAAATCTGGAGAGAAAAGAGTCTGGTAAGTGGCAATTATAAACAGCATAATTGACCTTTGAGTTGAACCACTAGACAGTAGATTCAAATCAAGACACTATGCAACAAGTAAAACAGTAAAAAAAAAATGTATGGCTACCGACACTTACACATTCCTCATACTAATTAAGAAGCTACATTGAACAACTTAAAGAGCATCCACATTTTCTTACATATTATTTCCCTGTACAGTATTGTAAACTATTTGAAATACAGCTTCTGGCTTTTTCTCTTCACTCAGAAATAAATCAGAACTGACTTTATTTTTTTGTCTAAAGTCTAACATGTAATTGACATGTTTTATGTTGTGCTGAGTCAGCTATGGGTTTGTAAATCTTCCGTTATCCCTTGACCACTGTCCTTAACTGTGTGGAGCCAATCTTCCCAATATTCCCAGCATGTAGTAATATAAAATGTGTTTTTTTTGTTGTGTTTTCTGAACTTGTCTTTGGGTCTGTGCCACTATCCACACTTGTGCTATCTGGGGATAGTATAGTGTCTACTGTGTGTTATTGGTGACTCCCACATTGTCCCCAACCTTGTTTTTTCCGGTACACAATGGATCGAAGGTTGAATGTTTCTTGATTTTATTTAATTTTCAAATAATGCACCTGAAGGTAGAATTAACCATGCAGGGGCGTCGGATGGCCTCGCCCTAGCGCTTATGCTACGCGCCCCATGTACAAGGATATGATCCTCGTTACAGCGGCCGTGGGTTTGAAGACGACCATGGTCCTTCGCTCCATGTCATCACCCACTCTCTTCTCTCAACATTTCCTGTCTCTCTTCAGCTGTCTCATAAAGGCAAAAAGACCCAAATATAACTTAAAATAAAAAAGGATTATCCTTGCAGTATTTCAGTCTGATTCAGACTGAACTAAGAGTAATAATACAATGCATAATTCAATGTAATAAAGTTGCATAGAAGCAGGAAAGGTCAGGTCACAAAATACCATACAATAATAAATGTTTCCTACATGCTCACATTTTTATATGTTTCTCAAAAGTATTGATGATTAATAAGCCTATATCAATATCAAGCACATCCCAAACTTAAACTTTTCTTGATGTGTGATTATTGTTTGTCTTAAATTAATGTTATAGGCACATTTCTAACAACAACTGGACCAATGTTCAACAGAAAATCAAAAGCTTATGGTAACGCTAACTTTTCTTCCCTCCATTATTCATATTATCTGTGGTATTCATTTGAGACGATAATTTGCCTTGCAAAAAGAAAGCTTTGAACTGAATTTGACTCAAATATACTTAGAATGTCTTTTGATGTGACTGAATCTTCCTCATCTTATGCCCTTTTTGTCCATATCAACCACAGACACTAAAATGTCAATGAAAAAGCAAACCTATGACAGGAAAGCTCGTGAATCCTTGGAAATTGAAAAGGTTAATCCTGTTGGTTTGTGAATGCGCCCAGCAGAATTGACAACTGTCCGGTAGACTTCAGTGTTTCTTGAGACCAAATCAAAACTTTGACTTTCTGGAACCTTTGTAGGGATGTGCATGTCTGAAAACATCTGGATTCATCCATAGGGGTCCTTAAAGTCTAAAGTTTCATGGAAAATCTGGACATTAGTTTTTCAGTGATTTTAATAAACCAAATATATTAGCCATGGCCAACATGCTACTCAAAAGTCTGAATAGTCACATAAATCAAAAGGAATTATTGTCTTGTGAAATGTATATATCAATAGATACCACTTCTAAGATTTTCCATGATCCTGCTCTGGATCCAGTTGTGTGTGACCCTGACCCCAGTTAAAACGTCATCCTCAGACCCTGGCAATAGAAAGGCAAAATATTTTTTTTGCCCAATTGTGCGTGTGTATTTGAAATTTCAGCAGATGTAGTAGTGCACTCAGAAAAGCAATAGAACTTGAAATTGTCCACGTCGTACCTGTGTAATTGGGTTCCTCTTCTGAAATAGTATTGAAGGCAGCATCTTATTTCCCCGATGTATTGTTGGAAGCCTCATTTATGGATGTTCTCGGGTTATTGGTGCTTCTCAGTCCCCTGACAAATTCTCAAACGCACACAATAATTATGCAGATGTTGGCCTATGTGTTGACTTTTCCATGCCAAATCTTCACCCTAATATCAACCTTTCCTCTCTCTCACAGCAGGGACCTCTAACTTTGTCTCTCTTTAAGCTAAGAGAGATGCTGTGCAGCAGTCGACAGGGCCCGAGGGGTCGGTGTGTGAGGGTGCAGGGTAAGGTTTATGTGCTATGTTGGGACTCCTACTTTCACAGGTTATCCTCTCTCTTCTAACCCTGAAAGTTGTCCTCAACCTTCTGCGTTTTTCTCTCCCTTCTTTAAGTGCAATGCTCTCTGGTGTGGAAACTGTACTGTTGTGTACTGTGTACTGTGTGTATATTATTGTGTCACATTGAGTTAGTGTTTGTGAATACATCTCTCCTCTAATTTTTTCCCTTTGTTTGACTCTTTATCTTCTCTCCCTCTCACTGTGTCAACCACAAGTTTCTTTCCAGGTGTGCTCACTGTGCTGTTAAGCTGGTTTTCACGCCAGACTGGCTTGCCAAACTAAACCAAACACAAACAGAAGCAAACAAATACAAAAAGAGAAAAAGAAAACTTGTGTCATGTGCACTTTATTGACCTTTGTCATTTGTAATCACCCCTGTTTAACCATATGTTACCGAGATTTACATACACTAATACAACAATACCTGTGCGGAAACACATCTGTATATAACCATATAGCCAGTATATACAGGGCCCACCTTTCTCTTGATATCCCCTCTAACTTTGTGGGTCCTCTCTTCCTTTGCCTCTGTCTGTCCCTCTCCTTCTGTCCCTATCTGTGTAGGTGTCTATAGTCAGCCTTATAGCTAATGCATTGGGCTACTCCGATCTAGGCCCAATTAAATCACTCAGGACACTGAGGGCCTTGAGACCCCTCAGGGCCCTGTCACGTTTTGAAGGGATGAGGGTAAGACCCAAGTTACCAGGCAGCTGGTCCTTCTGCATGACGATTAAATATAAGCACCGAAGCATGCTGGAGATGGCAATATAGCAAATTTCAAAATGATCTCTTAAGAGAGTTTTAGAGGTAAAGCTTTTTTTCAGTGAGAAGCTTTTATGCATGGATGCAGATCATCTCAGATGGTCAAAATACATCTGATTTGATTGATCATATTTTCATTTCATATTTTATAAATTTAGTGCTAGAAGACATTTATTTTGCAGTGACTTTTTTAACAACAAAAAAATCAGCTAAAGAAATCAGTCCCATGCTTTATGAAACACTTAAAACACAACAGGGATTTTAAACTGGAGCAATGCCACACTTTATAATAAAAAGCTACGTCTGAAACATTCAGTCCCAGCTGAGAGAACAACTAGAGGTTTGTATGAGCCATCACACAAAACCTTTTTATACTCAATCAAAATGCTGGTTATGCAAGCGAAATCATAAGATCTAAACTGACAGAAAAATTGATCTAAATTTTGTGCATACTGTAAACTGTCTGTACACTTGATAGTATGTGTACAGCTTGGATCTCTATTCATTCTGATCCAGCAGGGTGCTGTTCTGAGCTTACCCTGTTGAAAGACAGATTCTCTTATTTGGCTCTGTGGTAATTATTGGAATGTGTGATGGTTTGATCAGCCTCTCGTTGTTGCTGGGCAGAACAAAAGCGAATCTTGTTGGTGTCTATGCTCAGCATCCTCTGACTGTTGCGCTGCCTCTAGTGTTCTGATCCTATCACAGTTTGGCTTTGGCATTGTCACACTGGAAGAACGACAAACTTCTGGTTGCATACCCCCTTTACCCCTCGCCATCCTCGCTCATCACTCCTCAGTGAATGTCATTACCATGATTGTCATGATCACCATTTTGCAGTAGATGCTTTATATAAGCCTATCATGTGAATGCATTGTCTCTTTACTATGAGGCAGCTTGTTAAAATGAGAAGAAAAAACCTAGAGAGTTTTGACATAATGCAGTTTGTTGTTTTGGTTTATTTGGCTTTTTGTTACCATGGCACCTGTGTTTAGAAATGCACATTCTTAAGAAGCTTAAAGCTTTCCGTCCCCCATATAACCACACTGCTGCTGTGCAACTGAAATATTTGGCAATATCAAAAGTATATATTTTACTTGATAGAGTATTTGATTACCTTGGTAAACAATAGTTTTGGGGGTGCAACAATATACTCTGATACAAAGGTTGTCATAGCTGAAAATGGATTTCAATATCATCAGCTATAAATGAATGGCATATGTACTTTCAAGTTATATATATTAACACCAAATTAGCAGAGGTTTAAACTGTAACATTCATATTGATAAAGCTATATTCTTAAAGAATGTCAGTGTCTTATTCCAGATATCTTATGTAATGATGATTAAATCATGAAAAACGGTAAACAAAGCTGGAAATCTTCCAAAAAGTACTCTTATGGTCCATGAGCCAAATGTCATCAAGACTAAAACTATCTTATTGGGAAACTTTTTTGTTTAAAAGAAACATTATTACATCTAGCCACTATATTAAGCATTGTGCTGAACACAGAGCTTAAAATATTGTCACACCTTCCTAGTTTTTTTCTTTGTAATCATCCTGTGCCAGAAATCAGGAAACACACCTTGAGCTTTAATGGGGAGAGGGAATGTGCATTTCAATCTTAAGTGTGTGTTGATGTTCTTCTGAATGAACAACACAATGCACTTGGTGTGTGAATGCTAAGTTACAGCGGCTCCGTTTCCTTGCTGTTCTCCTCAGGTTGTGGTGAACGCCTTGGTGGGTGCGATCCCCTCCATCATGAATGTGTTGCTGGTGTGTCTCATCTTCTGGCTCATCTTCAGCATCATGGGAGTCAACCTGTTTGCCGGAAAGTATTACTACTGTTACAATGAGACTTCTGAGGAAAGTTTCCTTAAATATGTGGTCAACAACAAATCGCAGTGTTTTGATCTCATTAATCAAAACTTTACTGAAGTCAGATGGAAAAATGTCAAGATTAATTTTGACAATGTGGGTTCGGGATACCTGGCTCTTCTACAAGTGGTGAGCAACATTTTCTGTCACGTCTCTCTCTCCTCTGAAATTAAGTGTGTAACTTATTTTCTAACACAATGTGTCTGTTTGGTTAGGCAACATTCAAAGGCTGGATGGACATCATGTATGCTGCGATAGATTCCAGAAAGGTGAGCTTTATTTCAGTTCAAGTCTTACTTTGAGATTGATGTGCAGTTTTGATCGACTTTTAACTTCTTACCCCCAATTTTCCAGGTGGGAGACCAGCCGGTCTATGAAGACAACTTATATATGTACATCTACTTTGTCATCTTCATCATCTTTGGATCGTTCTTCACCTTGAATCTCTTCATTGGTGTCATCATTGATAACTTCAACCAACAAAAGAAAAAGATAAGATTGATGTTCCTTACTTTCATGTTCTCTAAACAAGTTGCTTCATGTATGATTTAGTTTTGGAAAAAATCTAATTTTAAAAAGGAGGTAGATGATGAATATTTTACAGCTTTTATTTCTGTGTATTAAATATGAAGCTACTGCAAGCATCCAGGTAGCTTAGCTTAGCAACAAAACCAGCGAGAGTTAATGTCAGTGTTAGTTTCATGGGTGGATTTTGTAAGTCTCAGTATAATCAAGCAGGCTATATAGCTTTATATTTACATTACATATGAGAGTTATGAGTGGTCTTACTGTTGGCAAGGCAGAAATCATTTATATAAGAAAGTGTTTCCTAAAAGCTTATAATCTTGACAATTAAATAAACAAACCCAATGTTTGGTATTAGAGGTCTAAATAATGCAGATTGTAATTAAATTGTTTTTGGTCCTGTACTTTGGAGGTCAGGATATCTTCATGACAGAAGAACAGAAGAAATACTACAATGCCATGAAGAAACTAGGGTCAAAGAAGCCACAGAAGCCAATTCCAAGGCCTCAGGTTAATGTTGTTTAGAACTCTATCTTCACCACCAAATATGTTTGTTATTTTTACTGTACCTTAGGGTTAATAAATGACTCCAAATACCTTCTCCCTTTCCCTCTCTTTCTCCTCAGAACAAATTCCAGGGCATGGTGTTTGACTTTGTGACGCAGCAGGTGTTTGACATCTCCATCATGATCCTCATCTGCCTCAACATGGTCACCATGATGGTGGAGACGGACGATCAGTCAAAGGAGACGGAGGAAGTGCTGTACTGGGTCAACTTCTTCTTCATTGTGGTCTTCACTTGCGAGTTTGTATTGAAGCTCTTTGCACTGCGTCACTACTACTTCACCAATGGATGGAACATCTTTGATGTGGTTGTGGTCATCCTTTCCATTGTGGGCAAGTATTCAAAGCAAAGTATTCACATGGCCTAACTGGGAGTAACTTAGATATTCTTAGATAATCTTAAACTATGCAATGTTATTTCATCAGATATCCACTAAAAAGTATTTTTCTGCCACCAATATACAATGTATTTGCCACAGCATTGATAAATTACATTTGAAACTGAAAATAGGTATTGGAAATGAAAAACCTCTTTACAAAAATAAACCATTTTTTATGACCAATAAATAAAGTACAATGCACAGCAAGAATTGTATGAGTTAGAGAAAACTGGAAGTAGGGTTCAAGAAACACAAAAAAAGGCTTTAAACTATATTCTGCTTTTATGCTAATTTTTGAAATCCATGAACACGTTTAAACAAAAGCATTATCCTCCATTAAATGCAGGGTTGGTAATTTTCTCCATATAAACTTTTTAAGATTTTGGTTGGAATTGTCTTTAGGTCCTGACAAAAATGAATAACTCAGGTGCTCTGAAAAAGGAACAAAGAAAATCTGTCATCTGTAGCAGACATTGGTTAAAGATTTTACAGGCTTACCACTGCCACAAGGTACCAATGTGCTGAACCAATCACGCCTTCCTGTCTCTCTGCTCGATCTTTACCCTTGCGTGCACTAGCCCACACTCAAAGTGTGTCACAGATGACGGATTTTATACTGAGTTTACCATTATGAGTAGTAAAATACTCAAAAAAAACAAACATGTATTATGATAAAAGTTAGTGTTTATTTACCGCTGAATGAGACATTGTTTCTAAACAATGCAAGCGTTGAGCTGAGGTGCGCTTCTGGAGCAATAGTGTTAATATGCGTAAGTAAGGGGCGTGGCTTTTGAGGGAGCACAGAGGGGAGGGGGTGGGTGTAGATGGAGCACTGAGGGAATGCTACTTTCAAAATCCTGCTAGATTTTGAAAATTACCAACCCTACCTTTAATCTCAGCAATCAGTTTACCTGACTGCAATTTATTAACCATTCAAATATACTTGACATGAAATTATTTATTATTTCCTCTAAAACTGTTGATATTCTATTTCTTTGCCTGGTTTCTTACATTCTGGTCATACTTGTAGGCAGAGTTGTCTAAAGTGTATTTCATAAGATATTATGTGGTCAGTATATACGGTACTACATTTTTAAACCAAACATGTTATGTCCCTTTTTGTTTCTTCTACTTCAGGAATGTTCCTGGCTGACTTGATCGAGAAGTATTTTGTGTCTCCGACGCTCTTCAGGGTGATCCGTTTGGCTCGTATCGGCAGAATCTTGCGTCTCATCAAAGGGGCCAAGGGAATCAGAACTCTACTGTTTGCCCTGATGATGTCACTTCCTGCCTTGTTCAACATCGGCTTACTGCTTTTCCTGGTTATGTTCATTTTCTCCATCTTTGGCATGTCCAACTTTGGCTATGTAAAACATGGGGCTGGAATTGATGATATGTACAACTTCGAGACCTTCGGTAACAGCATGATCATCCTCTTTATGATCACAACGTCAGCTGGCTGGGACGGCCTGCTGTTGCCAATCCTGAACTACCCTCCAGACTGTGACCCCTTACTGGAGAATAGTGGAACCCCAAACACAGGAAACTGCGGCAACCCGTCAGTGGGCATCTTCTTCTTTGTCATGTACATTATCATTTCTTTCCTTATTGTGGTTAACATGTACATTGCCATCATCCTGGAGAACTTCAGTGTGGCCACAGAGGAAAGCGCCGACCCACTCAGTGAGGACGACTTTGAGACCTTTTATGAGATTTGGGAGAAGTTTGACCCTGATGCCTCACAGTTCATCACCTATTCCAAGCTTTCTGACTTTGCTGATGCACTTGAACACCCACTCCGAGTCCCCAAGCCCAACACCATTGAACTGATTGCCATGGACATGCCTATGGTTAGTGGCGACCGCATCCACTGCCTGGACATTCTGTTTGCATTCACTAAGCGTGTACTGGGAGACAGTGGCGAGTTGGACATGTTGAGACAACAAATGGAGGAGCGTTTTGTGGCAGCGAATCCCTCCAAGGTTTCTTACGAGCCAATCACCACCACTTTGAGGCGCAAACAGGAGGAAGTGTCAGTCAGAGTCATTCAAAGGGCCTATCGTTCTTACCTGGCCAGGCGGGGTTTTGTCTGTAAGCGCAAACCAGCCCATAACAAAGTGGAGAATGGTGGGAACAATCAGGAACAGGAGAAGAAGGAGGGCACTCCCTCAACTGCCTCCCTGCCTTCCTATGACAGTGTAACCAAACCTGACAAGGAGAAAGAGGATGACAACAACGAGGACAAGGGAGGAAGGAAAGAGAAAGGAAGAAACCAAAAAGACATCAGGGAATCTAAATGTTAGAGCGTTGGAATACTAATCACAGTAATAACAATAAAAAATATAATAATGTAACTTCAAGCAAGGCGAGAGGAAACTCACCCACACAGATGTACAGATTATTTCATTTGCAAGTCAGAAAAAAATAGTATTCAATAATTTTGTTTACAGACTTCATTCTTATATTGATGCAGAGGGATGCAGCTTGGTCTGTTACAGCTTGAAGACTCTTGAACTTCAGTCAAACCAAACATAATCAGCATACTGTGTGACTTTGTTTTATCTAGACTACTGATCTTCACAAAAGGGAATGAAAAACAGACAAGGTGTGTGTCTGCTGAGAGGCAGATTGCTCACTTAACATTGGTCTACAGATAAAATGAGTAACTCTACACCAAGAGCCAGAATCAAAGCAAGGATTTTGCACCTGGATGCAAATAATGGATTCCTATGGAAGACTGTGTTGTAAGAGAAAAACAAGGATGCCGCTTGATGCTGAAGAATTTTTCTCTTAGTGCAGCAAATGAGTGTTTCTGAGTCATTTAGTGCTGAAATTTATAGAGGAGCAAAATGACACACTCACTCTATAAGAGCAAACAGAAGGATGACTGGTGAGTGTAAGACACAAGTGACAGAGCGTTGGAAATACTTCTGTTTTATTAAAGCTAGAAAATGTTCATTTGAGCAGCAAAAATGCAAACAGAAGAAAAAAAAACAACACAATATTCAACATTTTGCCCATGTCACTTAACTCTTCTAGTCATATTATCTTTGTTATACCCACATCAAATGCTTTTTTTTTTACATGGGCTTTCACACCAATTGGTTAAGGGTCTGTTTATTATGGGGTCAACTCGGGCCAAGGGCTTACATTTACTCAGAAAGATTTCCAAACAAATACATAAATAATTGTGCTTGTTCAATGCATAGAAATGACTTGCATGATGGCATGTTTTGATCAGAAATCTTGCATGAATTATCATAGTCCACAAGACACTAATACTCAGAGCACAACAGTGGCTCGACTGTAAGATTGAGAAGATTTGAAAGCTCAGTTCAGAGTAATATGTTTAACAAAGATAAGTGATGTTGGGGTTGATCATGTGAAAAAAAGGTTCTGAATTTGTATCTCATTACACAACACATTTCAAGTGAATATATGTTTGAATAGTTGCCTCTACAGACAGAAGAATGCAATATGAGGGTAAATGATACCACTGTAGTGGATCCGTGGGTAAAAATCCAAACAATGATATGCTGCTGAGGAGATTTTGAGTGTGGAAGATATGGAAACGGATGGCTGTGTGTTTCATGGGACTGACATGTTTTTTCATTTGAACTGAAATGTTTTAAAACACGTAAAACTTTAATTCTAGAAAGCTTATATTTATAATTTGTATGCACCTATGTATCTTCCATACCATCTGCCTTTAGTTTTGTGTGAGCGGGCATTTGGGAGTCCTACTGTCGGTTCTAAGTGGTTTGTGGGGATTTCACAGGTTTGGCAAACTCCCTCTTACTTCTGATGTTTCTCTGTGGGTGGTTAGAGCTTTCTGAAAAGGGCTGAGAAGTCTTTTATTATTTCGTTTACATCATTTAATGTTATGTAGCTTCTCTACATGTGTGTATGTGTTTTTTTAATTCCCTGACGTAATATTTATATTTTGATTGTTGATTAGTCTTACTTTAAGCACTTTTAATAAGCCACATCGAAGATGATGTCGAGGGAACAGGTCTTGTGCTGGAACACATACTTTCGGGATTAAATATTATCCTCTTTTAATGAGAAACAGAAAATTATGAATGGGGGACAGAAACATTGTGTGTGGAGAAGCCAAAGAGATCTGCCTTGTTATCCCTTGTTGCCCTTTGTCCATGGAGTGGGATTGGGTGAAGTATGCCCTGCCCATTCAATTTTTTCGCTGTCATTACTCGACAGAGAGACCCTAGAAATGTATGCAATGCTTGAAAAATTCATCCCTTTTCTCAGGAGATATTATAGATGTACTATTATGAGCTCTGCAACAAAATGCAAGTGAATGTGATGGGAGTATTTATGAAATCACGTTTTAATCTTTTATGTTTTATGCCATGTTGATGGACAATGATCTCGGCTTGCTGCCCTATTTTGGCGGCCGCCTGGTCCGGAGCCAGTGTGGCACCTTCTGCTTACGACGCTTAGATTTATAGGGCTAGAAGCATCTCAGTGAAACAACTACATTTCGCTCGCTTGTATTGGCAGCGTTTCTATTGATAGAGGATTACATTTGTGGTTAAGTCATTTCAGTAAACACACTAGTAATGTTCACCCTGATAGCAATCAGACACAGGAAACACTGTGAGGAGATGTCATGAGAGTAAATTGGGATGTTTTGGTTTGAGCAGCAAACATAACTTTGTGGCGGCTCAGTTTGACAGGCCCGTTTTTTCAGTGTTTTACAACAGGTGCTCTGAGCCTCTCATTTGCCAGTTTTCTTCATCTTGCGCTACTGCATAACAAATACCAAATAACCAACAGAGCACTTGATGCATCCTTCTGGTACTATGAGCCTAAGCACCACAACACAGCTTTTGCACTTCCTGTTGTGCAGTGATGTCACTTACTATTAATGAATAACTCCCTCATCAGTTCTCAAAGTTTTATGGTCCAGCTGCTGCATGAGATCTCCAAAATCAGTGTGGGTGTTAACTTGAACCAAATAAAACTCTGAATGATAAGAATAAAAGCTACTGCCGTCCATTTTCTCCAGGATCACCATGGAAATACAAATGTGTATAATAGGAAGAAACCTAAAAATAGACACACATTCAGTAAAAGAAAAAAAACGGAAAAAGAAGGAAATAACCACAGTTCAGGCTATGTTCTATATGGCACAAGCTGAAAAAGCTAAGAATGGACTTTTTAAGACACTATAAATAATGTAATATATTAATTTCTTTTAACGGCATGTGTAGTTTTCTGTAAATACAGGATTACTTAAAAAAAACTACAGCTATTAATCTAACACTAAATATTAATAACCTTAATAGAATGGCTTCCAGCTGACACCCTTTGTCACACTTGTTAGGCTGTGACACCTTTGTTAGATGAAGTAGATTTTTTTGAGTCACTTTTCACAAAAAAAGAGGGAAGTAAGCTAAAAGAATCTATATTAAAAGCAGATATTGTATTTAAAAGTGTATAGGTCAATACATACATATACAGATCTATATTACATATATTACATATATATATATATATATTCTATCATATATATATATTTATATATATGTATATATAGAGAGAGAGAGAGTCTCCTGTCCAGTCCTTGCATTGAGGGAAACCAGAACCACAGAGTGTAACTGATAACGCTTCTTTCTTTGTGTGGTACGTTCAGAGAAAAACCAAAACACTGCAAACTTCTGCATATTGGGTACCAGCGTACAATGCATGGTGTTGTACTGGCTGCTTGCTGAGAATTGTGGAGCCTGCCTTGGTGAGAGGATTGCACTACCAGCATACCCTTTTATACATGTGTGAAAATGTCTTGCCCCATAGATTCATATCATGTGCAAACAAAAATACACAATCACAGACAGACAAATACACATGCACACACTCACAGCCTTATGTAGGTGACTTCCGGCTTATCAGTGTGCCCCAGTAAGAGCCACCGCTCACTCTTTGTGTAATTTTGCTTGTTTCAGCTCTAACCCTCCTCCATGTCTCCCCCCCCCCCCCCCCTCAAAAACACACTGCTGCAGTTTGGAGTTGACCTTTAATTTGGCTGTCACTTTCACTATAAATAACTACTGATTTAAGGGTTAGCTGTCTTAACTGTCTATGTGTTTGTTTATGGTGCAATATCTCTTAACGGCACGTGCCTTTTTTAGCTTCCTATTTAGTCTGTCAATAAAAACCTGCAACAAGGATCTCAAAAACACTAGGGAGTTTTACAAAACGGAGCACGAAAGAAATTGTGTACTGAGTTCAAAATTAACTTGTAAACTGAAAACACACCACCTAGATTAGACTGTCTGGACTAACATCTTGTAAAGTCATGTAGTACAAGTGCTCTCTCTGTGTGTTCTGCTTACTGGTTCATGGGCGAGTAAGAGAACAGCTTGCCTTTTGTTTTAACACGTTTGTTCATTTTCAAATGTTGGTTTAACGATCAGTATATGAGGCCATTTCTTTTGTAGCATGACTGAGATAAATTTCATTTTCTTTCCTGAAAATAGGCTAACTGAAAAAAAATCCTTTTGACTGTCATTTTCTCTTGGCACTAATGCAGTCGGAGGGAGGATGTGTGTTGCACAACCACATGGGACAATTTAATGAGAACCAGTGAAAGAATATCATCATTTGAGCATGAATCTATTTCCAAACAATAAAGCAGCCTTCCAGTTACACCTCTGGCTGGTGTCGTCTTTATCATACAGTACATGTTCCACCATGTCTGGCAATGGATGTCTCCCCCCTCCCCTTAAAATACAAATGGTTCAGCCTTCGAGCCGTGTGCACTATGACACTGGAGATATTTTTGTTTGTGTGTGTTTCTTAGGTAATAATCAATGGGACTGCTTGTATAAGTTGCATAAAATGGCAGAGAAAATGTTCAAAGCCACACAGGACAGTGAGACTACTGTCTGTTGAAAACACGATGAAAATAATAACCCAAAATTACCTAAATACAATGTTTAAATAGTATTTGAATACATTAATGCTCTGAATGGGTGTGTCATGGTGCAACAACACTGAAATGGTTGTAAAAGCAGGTGTGTGTTTGCGTGTGTGCATGCATGTTTGTGTTTCTTTCCTGCCTCCCCCCCTCCCGTGTGAGTGTGTGTGAGTAAGGTGGCGCACTGAAAGAGGGAAGGAGAGGGGAGGAGGAGGAGGAGGAGGAGGGGGGGGGGATTAAGCAGAGACAGCACTGCAGTGCAGATAGATGAATGCAGTGGCCTGGGCTGAGTCAGCAGCATGTTCCCAATAGGCTCAGACTGTACAGTGCTCTGTGTAGCACCTCCTTACCCACAGCAAGGAAGCAGAGGGAGAGCCAGCTACAGCAAGAAGATGAAAAATAAAGGAGAACAATGAAAGGAGGTGCACATACAAAAAAAGCTAGTCTGCTGCTATGCCTTTTTTCTTCACCTCCTCCCTGCAGTGCTGCATGTTGGGATTGCATCACTGATTTCGTATAGTTTGATGCTGTATCTTGCATTTATCGACAGAAAAGAGGGATGATTTAATATTGATACATAGCTATTTAGTTATAATGGATGATTTTCGACAATTTAAACAGTGTAGGAAAAAAACCCTTGTGAGGCTATCTTTATGGACATTGACAAATGGTCTATGCTACATTATTTATTTCCTTTGTTACCTGTTTGTTTCTGTCCTCGCTTCAGTTCTGGTTTGGTTTCAGAGGTGGGACATGGATTAAGAAAGACGTCGGTTAGATATGTCAGGCTGTGGTGGGTCAATTTGGTTTGAAGGAGAGGGGTGAGACTGGAGGACAGATAATAGTGTGAAAGGGGTATTACAGAGACATGGAGATTTTATGTCTTTAAGGAATCAATGACATGTTGACTACAATACTACCCCTAATATTGGGTAAGATTGTGGTTTACAGTTTTTCTTTGTCTTAGTCAAGTAGGTTCTTCCATCTATATGTTAAGTGGGTTTGGATGGGTAGATCAAATAAATCAAATTCACTCAAAGATTAACCAGTCAACAGAGGAGAAGGGCCTGACATTGCATCATTATTTCAATAGCTTTTGGAGCAGCACCTTATATCTTTTTGACATTTTATATTTTGCCAATAGAGGCAAGGAATGATTTGGATTTAATTTGGACAAAATGGATTAACAACATGTGACAGAGATATGCCTCGTTTCCCCTTTTGGTCAAGAGTGCCTGCAGAGGTCACATCCTTCCGCTTTTGTTTATTACTGTAGAGTAGACCCTCGAACAGAAGCTCTTCAAATGGCTTTCTGCAACTATCTTACACCCTCTAGTGGGATCTGGAGGAAACAACTCTAGACCACTGTGTCACTTCATCAGGTTAAAAAGACTGTTCAGATGGTATGAATGACTCATTGGTGTGGTGGTTAAAAAATAAACTGGACATAATCTTCCAGCAGATTTATCCTAGGTTAGAAGGGTGTAGATATTGCAGCATATCAGCAGCATGAGAAACAAAAGGGGCTTCGAATTAGACAACATCCAACATGTATTTCTCTTTCCATCATTAGTGTGTATTATTTCAGTGTATTGTGTAACAAGATGTTCAGAGCCAGAGTAAGTGACATCATCAAAATGGTCAGATTGCAAACTCGCATTCCCTTTTTTTATTTTGTGTAATGACATTGTTCTTATGAAATAAAAGAAATTGAAACTCAGTTGAGCATCAAATAAAGTATTGGTTTATATTATATGCTGTATTACAATCTTAATCTTCAATGTTAGTTTGTAGCCTGACTACTGACAACATGGAGTAGCCTATTAGCCTATTAGAAGAATAGGTAAAGACACTAAACAATTGGTAAAGGTAGGCCTACAGAACTTGATTACATTTATTGAAATCATTAACTGAACGAATTGTAAACGCAGTTACGTTATCGTTTAGCAAACTTTAAAAAATAATAACAAATCACAGTGAATTAATAAGAAAAAACATTTATACTGGTTAGCCTGAAAGACAAATTTGAGGGCCGACAGCCGCCACATTTTTAAAACCGCACGCCATCTTGACAAAGGTTTAGACTGCTGGCTTGCTGTTGGTGTGTTAGTATTAAGTTCCTTTACAAGACCTTTGTCTGAATGGATTTAAAACTTAAAGACGATAATAGTTACACTCACAGTTCACCCTCTGCTGGTCTGTTCCTGAGGACACCGCCGTCCCCTAGTCCCCAGGTAGCGTACTTGACGTCACTGAGTTGTCAAACACAGGTGTTCCTGGTTGTAGTTTAAGGTAACATCCATAGCTCCCCTGTATGCGGTAGGTTTGCTAACAATTGTGAAGTGTTGCTTACAAAACTAGTTAAAAGTGAGTGGGATAAATGAGAAGTGGGTTTTAAACGCATGAAAGCATTCTTAACCTTACCCCATGTTTGGTGAACCAAAGGCGAAAATGAAAGTTAAGGTAATTTTTTTAATTATTATTTTCTTTTATAATTTTTATTTTATATGAGGAAATGTTTGGTTTCAACTGAAACTACCCACAGAAAGCACTGCCAGCTGTTTAAAGGTAACCTTCATGAGGTCATCCAACTCTCCATAGCCTATTGATTGCTTTCATACTGAAGGGCTTAGGCTGCACTTGCATACAAGTGTTTTGAGGCAGGCTACTTGTAATGTAGTATTCACACAAGATACATTTGAATTTAGTTCACAACACTTATATTTGGTTTTACCAGTCGTGGCTTTTACTTTATTTAAAATACACAAAGTATGTGTCGTATTTGATTTATATTGTGCTTTAATGAAGTCATTTACCAGTTGTATCTTAAGTATAAAATCATGTGTACCTGTACACATTAATGCAGAAGTTATAATTTGCCAATATTGTGAAAGAAAACGGTATAAAAAAACAAAAGAGTGATAGGAGTTGTTCAGTCAGGGTATAGGCCTACATCTTTCTAACTGAACTTTTAAATATCTTTCAGTTTCTGTTTTGATGGGTATCAATACATCAGTCGCATTCGTGAACAAATGCTACTGTATTATTTTACAGCCTTTGTTGTCCCAGCCACCTCAGTGCAGGAAACACTGAAGAAGATCCTCAGCCTGAAGGAGGAGCCACCTGCAGTACGGAATCTTCTCTTGGTAAGATCCTGAAATGTGAACTGGGCGACTTAAAAATTAAAATGGCCATTAAGGTTGTGTAATGCAAAGCGTACAATACATATTTTTTCGTAACTAAAAGTTACCAAGTTATCAATTGTGCTATTCCTTTATATCCTTAAACCATACAAACACCTAAAGTACAAACTGCCTACATATAAATATCAAGAGACCGTTTGGAGAGAAAAGACACTTTTAAAAGAGAACCTTAACCAAACATTGAAATGTAGAGAAGAAAATTGGAAAAAGGGAACCAATAACAGCATGGTGAAAGTGAAAAGACACAAACTGATCCTGAAAGCTCTTTGTCTTCTGCCTGCAACATATTTCGTCATGATCTTGATGTCAGTTGCATCAGGATAATCAGGTAAATTCAATTACCATGGGGAAGCTGGCATGATTCTTCTGCTTGGTTTATTTTTCGTCAAGTCTTACCTCAGAAGACCAGCCTACCTGTCTGACAGGAAAAGTCTCCCACTGTGAGGTGCATATGTGAACAGTCAGGTCAGGAGAGTATCTGGAGCAGTCCTGCTGAAATGATCTAGATATTTTCAGGAGTGCATATGTTAAAATGGCTTAAGTATCATATCTCTAGGAATGGTCCAGGCGCCACAACTTCAGGTTGGTTAACCTCCTGTAGGGGTCAGAGGGGGACGACCCCTGCTCGATTCTCGAGAATTGGATTCCGGCGACACTGGGCATCACAACACTAAGCTCTGAAGTTATTCCAGAAGGAGTCCATGGTGTCGACCCAAGACGGGAACTCACTGCACCCCTGAGAACAATGAAGATTCTGAACGGCATGGGTAAGGTGGCTGTGTTAAGAGCAGTCAAAGCCAAAAAACAAGTTCTCTACAAGGATAAACCAGAACGTTTCTACCCACACTTGACGGCAGGAGTGCACAAAAAGCAGAAGAAATACAAGTGTGAAACAGAAGCTTTGTGACATCAAACATGGCATACTCATTCCTGCCAGACCGCTGGTTACCTACAATGACAAACACAAACTTTACGTACAACGTCAGATAATTTTATCAAATTTAAGGGACTAAAAGATTAGAATACTACTACGCCATGGTGTATTGATAATGATTTAGGCATTTGTTATATTAAGTTATGTAATGATGAAATTAGGATTCTGGCATGGTTACAGGTCTGTTCTATGTGAAATACATACAAGTCTGCTTTTATTGTCATTGTTATTGTATTATTAGTGTAGTAGCTGTTTGTCTAAAAATACAAATAAATAAAACTCATCAAACATAAACCAAAGGCCACTGATGCGCCATGGAGATGTGGTGCACACAGGCAAAAGAAGTACATTCAAAATGTGTGTGTTTCTGATGATTTGGTAAATGATGACTGGTAAAAAAAAAAACATAGGCCCACCCAGGTGCATGCTGGACCTCTACCTGCCTTCTTACCTATATAAGCCAGAGTGTGACCCACAAAAAACCACAACTATATATATGTGTGTGTGTGTGTGTGTGTGTGTGTGTGTGTGTGTGTGTGTGTGTGTGTGTGTGTGTGTGTGTGTGTGTGTGTGTGTGTGTGTGTGTGTGTGTGTAAAACTAAATGTACTCAACAAATAACTAGCAAAAGAAAATGTTATTTTTTATTTATTGAGTTTTTGACTTGTCTTTTTGGGTACATCAATGCCTTAAGGTGTAACAAACTCATAATTATAATAATGTATTTCCAGTGCATTAGAGATTAAATTTGCTTCTTGGGATTGTAGGGGGTAGCAAACACTTAAAAAGGGTTATGCAGCAGGTTATGGGAAGGTTTTAAAAAGTATTATTATTTCAAAACAAGAAACCAACCTTTCATTAGATGACGACATCAGGATTAGGAGGAGGTGGCTAGGTAGCGTACTACTCAGGCAAGAGGAGTCATGACTCTCATCCACAACTCTATTCCTTTAGCCTCAATATTATGAAGGTAATTGATGATAAGGTGAGAGCTTATATTTCAAGGCACACTTGACATAATTACTTAAACTGGTTAACATCTATGCGTCAAATTACGATGACCCCAAATTCAATTTGTTTTTTAATTTATCATCCCTGAAAAATCAATACAAAATAGCAGGAGATTCCATTCATACATTGGACTTCCATTAAAGATATATCATTGTATATAGAAAGGACCAATGATAAAGCAGATAAATAATGCATCCATTTATTCAGGGGCTTCATTCACGTGATGAATGGAGAGACAGACACCTCAAAGTTTTATTCTATTAATGTCTTTCTAATACGCAAAATGGGTGTGTTGTGGGACAACAAGGGTTTCACAATGTACAGAGAATTATTCCATATGGGGGAGTGGACATACTTGTTTGAACTACTTGATCGGGTTGGGCTTGGAGAAAATTTAAGCAAATGGATGAAACTTTCACATTAAAGAACTAATGCTGATATAGTCACTAAAAGCAATTTATCCAATCCATTAAAATCAATAGAGGTTGCAGACAAGGTTGCCCACTATCACCTCTCTTATTTACAATCGCAATCGATTTCAGGCATATTTGAAGGTCAATTTTAACATCCCATAGCTGCGTATGCGTATTATGTGATCTTTTTTCTCATACATCTGGATACTGGGTACGGACAGCCTAGCGGTTTGGTCGTGCCCCATGTTTGGAGGCTGTAGTCCCTCAAGCCAGCAGCCCTGGTTCAAGCCCGGCCTGTCGCTCCTTTCCCACATGTCATTCCCCCATTCTCTCTCACTTTTAAACAAATCTTCTAAAAAAAGATTCTGGATATATCTTTTTCATCCCTTATGGATCTTACTAAAATGTTTGGCATTATCTCCCAATATTCCAGACCTATATAATAGATGTAGGAAAGACAAAGGAACATTCTTCCATTATATATTGAAATTTAAAAAAAAAGGAATTTTGGGAGGAAGTTGGATGCGTAATGCAGGATGTCATTCCAAATAAAAGTAGAACCAAAGGTTTTTGTTTCAAGAATCTAACCAAAAAGGACAATTTTCTAATAGCTACTGTACACAGATGTTGAATGTAGTTTGTTTCTCTCTTAACACTGATGCTAATACTGTTGAAAAATTTAGTATTTGGCAAATTCTTTATTATTATGATTATTTACTCTTTTATTACTTTCTTTTCCCCCTAGTTTTTTTCTTGTAAATGTAATTTGTTTTTTACTAATTGTTTAACAAATGCTTTATGCACATTGCTATGTGTTTAAAATGTATGTTGACAGCGTTTCAATACTTATTTAACTATTGTTTCTGTAAATATTTAATTTAGCTTTAAATGTACTTTAAAACTATTTTTAATTTCATACAATGTATAAAATTCAATAAACATATTTACATACAAAAACACATGTTTATATTTGTATATTTTTAACCAATGAAACCATAGTTTAATTTGTATTTGCGGTCTGGAAGCCATTTTCCCAGTGTTTTGTATAATGAGTACCTTCTCTTTAGGGCCCTGTAGGTGTCACTGTAACCTTTATATTAGGCTCCTGCTCAGCTGCTTCAGCTACTGTAGCTGTTAAGAATTGAGAAAGTAGTTTGACAGGCATTGACACAGAACATTATGTGCATTTCACAGGTCAGATAGATGACCTTAAAAATACTCTTTCGATTTAACATGTTTATCTTGAGATGTTGATGCTTTTCTTTAATCATGTGGTTTCAAAATCTGCAAAAGAAAAAAGAACCTGATAGTTGCTCACAATGACAACTAAACCTGAGTCTGGGGGGCGCTTGTGGCGCAGTGGTTGTTGTGTGCGCCCCATGTATGGAGGCTGTAGTCCTCAAAGTGGGCAGCCCAGGTTCGGGTCCCACTTGTGGCTACTTTCCTGCATGTCATTCCCCACTCTCCCTCTCTCCCTGATTTCCAACTCTATCCACTGTCCTATCTCTACATAAAAGGCACAAAAAGCCCCAAAAAAATCTTTAAAAAAAGAAATTAAACCTGAGTCTGAGCTGATGTTCAAAAATACTGAACATACAAATGTTGGCAAAAATACAAATATACTATAAGTTTAGAATGGCAGGTTTGTAGGACTGTGGATCTGTGGCATGTTATAGCTGTTAATGTCAGGAATGTACTTTGAGTTGATTTAAGATGCAGCATCATAATATTTAAGACTAGTTGTTTTTATGAAAACAGAGTTGAGCAGAGAGTCTTTGTTGTGAAAAACTCAAATGTCACAGCAGGGTTAATTTATTCAGGATGGAAGGACAAGAGTTTTAGACATCTGTCACACGCCAGCGCATGCCCTCCGCCCTCAAGACAATAAAGCTGTGGAAGGGGGTGGTGTCTAATGGAAGAGGGTCAGGATCTTCTTCATTCTTCCTTTCCTTTTATTTTATGCTTTCTTGAGCTTGTTATCTGATCTTTACAAGACACAAATGGCCCTGTGGATTCTGACCAGTTGTATCTCCTTGGAATAAAATCTAAAAACAACTAAATGATGCAAACCAAAATAGAAATAAAGTGAGGAATTTCTCTTTTCCATTATTTCTAAATCATTTGCCGTAAAGTTATTTTAAAATAGATTGTCTACCTTAACTTAAGTATTTAAACTGACAACAGCAATATAAAGTTGGACCTGGTTATTCAGTTTATAAGGAGAAAATATTGAGAGGGGAACAAATGTTAGGTTCTCGTCAAGGTATATTTTAGTAAAGGAATTGGACACTCAAACCTTTTTTTGTTTCAAACACAAAAACACAAGGCACGTTTTGTTTTTGGTGTGATATCTTCATTTCCATGACACAACAACCCTTTAGTGAGGTAGACTATTACAGGTCAAGAATTAGAAACATTGCTCCTTAAACCAGCATGTAAAATGACATGAAATAAATATTTCCATGTACGATGTCAAAATGAGGTAGAAATGGTTACAGAGAATGTACAAGAAACGAGAAAAGTACAACTGAAGTACAGAAATAACACTGACATGCCATTTTCCATCTGTTGGACACCTTCAACTCCACCTAATTTAATGAATCGGAGTAACACCAAGAAAAAGCAAACACTTTCCTTTCTTGCAGTACATCTGGTTAAAGTAGAGCACATTCTTTGTGCACGCTGAAGAGCATTCAATTGTTGTAGATAAGCGCTTACATACTTAAAAAGTCTGGGGGTAAAAATACATTCTTATTGTATTAACTCCTACTCATTATCTGTATGTGCTCTTCAGCATCAGCATAAAGGTGTTTTTTTCCATACTCAGCAACATTCTGAGTATGTTTAATTATATGAATGTGCTTATATTTATTTATAAGGAGGCATCAATAAAATTGTTAATCATAGAATTTCAGAAATCTGAAGCTGCATTTCAGTCTAAATCTGACTACTAAAGGGGACGTGCTCCCTGGGCAAGTTTTTAGGCAAGTTTTATTATTATTATTTGTTTAATTCCCCAAAGGGATAATTTGCTCAAATGTGTCAGTATGGCAAAACTAAGAAGGGATGGCATATAAGTCACTCAAAGTTACAACTCAGTAGAAGGTTTAGAGTTGTAGCTCTTCATGTTTTCTGACAGTGCACATACTTGTTTGAACTTCTTCCTCCTTCATGATGCCAATACATGTTGGAGTTCATTTCAAGATTATAGACTGGTGCCACTGGGTCAGGAGGATTCAAAATACTGATATGAAAGATGGAAGTTGGATTATTAAGACATTTACTAAACAAACTTAGAACAGAGCAAAAACTGCAGTTTGTGTATATTTTGATATGTCACGTCAAAAATTGTATATCAGGAGTGCTTTGTTTGACAGTTTGTCCACAAAACCGTTTCCCCACTAACTACTCTAACACTTAACATGTCATTCATTCTTCACCGAAACCTATAAGTGAATTACATCTATACATGAAGAAAATAGGTTTCATATATCTAAAACATCATTGATGTACATTATGGCATGTATTGTCCTTTTAAAAAAAATATCTGAATTACATTCAACATTTCAGGCCTTAGTACAAAAACCTCAAGTTTAAGTCCCCAGAGCGAAGAAGCAGTGTGTGTGTATGTGTTCATATGTGTGTGCGTGTGTGGTTGCTTGCATGTGTACATGTTTATGTATGTCTTTTGTTTGTATTGAAGGCCTTTTAAGTTCTTTGTTTCCCTGAAGTGTTCAGAGTGTGTCTTGCTCTTAATAAAGCCATGGCTCCATATTTATCTTGCTCCATAAAGCTCCCTAAAAACACCCTAAGGTAATAACATACATTCTTTTTATCATTCTGAGGTAACAATATTCTTCCTGAGTATTCAATAACACTATAACTATTTATCTCACTTTTAGAGGCAAATGAAAATTGAATGCATAAAAAACAAGAAAAGAACAAGTAAAACCTATCAGACAAGCAAGCATATCTTCATAAAACTTAATCCTCCACTGCAACCTGCTTGCTTCTCAGTCTGGTTTGTGCATCCAACAGAAGCAACAATCTTGCCAACCCTATTGTTTGCTCTGAGTGAGTATTATCAGTATGAAGAGTAAAGCATTTTAACTTTCTTTTTGGTTGTTTTGTAGACTTGTGTAGTCACTATTTCTTGTAATACGTTGATTAGAAAAGACAAGACAAAGGCTTGACCAGCAACACTATTGCAAATTCTTCAGAAAAGATACCTGCTTGTGTGTGGAGTATAGCAGAAGCCTATGTAAACAACATTTGTCAAAACACTTTAAAGGGTTGCTTCAAAGATGCTGTGTAAAAATGTTACTTGATTAGCAGCTTAGTATGTGTAAACTGGACGAAAAGGTTGTTCATCCATAAAAAAAAAAGCAAAAACCGTGATAGAATTGGATAGAGAACATGAAACAAGGGGGGTAAAGGAAAATGAATATAAAGCACAGAGTTAAGGCAGAGGGAAAATGTTGGATAAGCAGGAAATGTATCATTCCCAAAGGCCAAGTATTGCACGAAGCCTAGGAATCAGCTGTGAAAAGTAGCAGTGATTGTTCTGGAGGAGTGGCAGTCGCACATTGTCAGTTATTGCTCTACTTACTTTTTGGTCAGTAATGATTTTTGTAGATATGCATATTGCAGTCAAGGGCCTTTGACACACACATTGGCTACAATTAATTACACCAACCTCCAAACCAGCTACAGTATGTTGCAGTGCGTCTGCCAAAGTAGCCAGAAGGAAATAAATAGGATCCTGAGATTGGCATTCATCCATTTTGACATTTTTAACACTGTATCTGTACAGAATGCCTTAACCTCATCCCTAAGATTTACCCTAACCTTCCAGGGCATAATGCTCCCGTGAATCTTTGGAAAAACAACAATAATGATCATGTTAAAAATGCACAAGAAAGCTCTCTAGTGCCTCTGATGCTCAGAAGTAAAATTAAACCTTGCATTGACAAATCTTTTTCCCCTTAGGTTTGTCTTGGATAAGACCCTGATTGGTTTAAAAGAGTGAGAGAATTCTCGCGGATGCTGGTCAGGGTTGTCAGTGACCTCCACTCGGGTCCTCAGATCGTGTGTGAGATGCAGGTATCTTCATAGGCATTCTCTGTTGCTGAGAAAAGTTGTGCTCCCCTGACACACTCTCTCCTGCTAGGCCAGACGGTGGGCTGTAATCCCTCGCCCCACCATAAGGGGGTGACATCAGGGGCTTTCCAGGTTTGTAGGACTGTGGATCTGTGGCAGGGCTGCTCATATCGAAACCATTGCTGTTCCCATTACCGTGACTTTTGCTATGACTATTTCCATGGCCATTGCTATACTTTCTATAGCGTGATCCCTCCACCTCTGCTCCCTCCTGTCCTTCCTCTGCCATCTCAAAGGCCTTGCGTTTCAGTGGCACCCCAGCTTCAGAGCTTCCTCCAAGACTGTGAGATGGGTAGCTATAACTGCCCCCCACCATGGTAGGCCTTGGGGCCAGAGGCGTGGGTGCACTAATCCCAGGGGGCAGGTAAGAGGCACTGGGATGGCTGTATCCTGAGGATAGGGTAGCTTGTGGGTAGCACCCTGGAGGGTAGTTGTATACAGGACTGCTAGCGCTGTAGCTGGGCACTAAAGTGGGTGTGGCCTGCAAAGAGTGCAGAGGGCCAGGGGGAAGTGCTGCACTTGGCTGAGGGCAGTATCCTGAGGACAGGTATGTGGTGTTGTAGGCAGGAGGGTATTCCTGAGATGACGGGGTACTGCAGGAGCCAGCACCACTGTAGCCCTGCTCAGTGGCCAAGTTACTACTTACTACTGTAACACTTCCTGTGGCCGGGATGCCAACAGATGCAGTGCCCACCTTGTTGCCAGTCAATGCTTCCAGTCCAGGGTAACACTCCATGCCCTGACCCAGAGCCCATGGCTCAGATTCAGTTTTCAAGAATGTCCCAGGCTCAGAGTAAGCCCCTGCAGCAGGGCGATCATAGGACAACTCCAAGCCTGAGTACTTCTCAGCATATCGTTTGAGCAGAGAAGAAGCAGTTAGGGCTGATATGTCATCACTAGCCCATGGATAACCACCAGGGGCAAAGCTGCGGCGACCAGCTGTAGAATAGGGCTCGTGTTTATGGGCAGACGGTGGCGAGGTGGTAGAGGTGACATCTAGGTGCTGCTCAGGCCACTGAGATAAGGGGGCAGCATGCTCCGGAGACCAGTGCATCTTCAACAGACCTGAAAAAAACAAGACCAGAGTTGAATTAGTCCAACCAATAATAATATTGGGTTTCAATTTTTTTATACAGAAATACATATTTATCATTGGACAATAAAGATCGGTCCAACTAATTTAAGGAGTTTTGCCTCCCAAATCTTAAAGGCAAGCCAAGAGTTTGCCCTTTTATGAATATCTGCCCTCATAATCACCTTGGCTAACTGACCCTTTAACAGAACCATGTCAATACTTACTCTGTGCTATTTAACACACTCTCATCTAAGCAGGAGACCACAGTTCTAATCTTTATGTGAAGCTGGCAACATAGCCTCCAGCCTGGTCTCCACGGCGATAAGCCTCTATCAGCCTACGCACTGCTTTCTGCCTTTGCTTCTCTCACATTGGGGCCATTGTTGCCTCTCTGTGACTCTCAGTCCACAGAGCAACCCCCACCGAGCGTGTGATCTAATATCGCCTAAACCTCAGGGGTCTGTTGAATAGGGAGGGGTTAGTGTGTAGAGGATGATCAGTAGTTTTTCATCACATTTCAAAAAGACCTTTACCAGTACATCTATGCACACTGTATCAAGTTTACAGATTGGTTGAATGTTTAAAAAAAGACTGGTTTTCATGTGCCATGCACATTTACAGAAACAAAGTCATCCTCTAGTTTAGTGGTTGTTGGCTTTGATTGGCTTTTGCAGGCCTTGTCTTTTTGAACAGGCATTAGGCTGACATTCCAGGCATTTCAGAGTATTATTAAACTGTCCTGACCCCAAGCCTAGGCCAGAGAGGCTTCCCTACAACAGCAGTGGACAGAGGAAGAAGCCAACAATTCATATTCACAAACAGAAGTAAACAATAAATTGTTATGCCATACGGTTCTTGAAATAGTACAAAATTGGCAACATATTACAGCAAATATCATGCTTTGTTGAGTGTATTTGAGCATGAATGTTTTATATATGCTTTACATTCATTATGGAGGTTATCCAATTCAGCAATAGTGAAGAAGGCCATGTAGCATAGGTGATAGTTTTTCCATAATCTGCTTACAAATACTTTTCAAACCATGGCAAGTCTAGGTACTGTACAGAACAGACCTGTTTTTAACATTCATAAGGATATAAATGAAGGTGTTTGTGATTTTTTCCAGTATCTCACTCAAAACATCATCACTTGCATGACTTGTCTGAAACTGTATACATGTTGACTTCGCCTTGTCACATGTCCACTAAAACCACCAGATGGGTCTCAAACAGTCCACATGTTGATCCCCAAATTAAATGATCCTTCAACCCAATAATCCCACTCATCCAGTCCAGGGATTGCAGTGCTCTTGTCCAGCATAAACTCCACCTAGGGTCAGAGAAACCCCCTTTACTTCTGGGGATCCTGACTGGTTTTGTACACAGTCATGGCACAGAAAAAGTAAAGATTTCGAGTGCGTTGTTTCAAAGCAGAGGTGTAGATGCAAGGGCAGCAGATTACAGCAAAGACAAAAACAGAGTGCAGTTATTCTGGGAGAGCGATGAACAACATAAATAGTGCAACTAACATGATGAAGCACATAAATGGAACTACACTGCAAAGCTTGAGACACCAAAACATATTAATAACATATGCTGAGAAGCAGATTTGAGCCCACGCTTGCCCAAACAGGAGCAAGAGCCAAAGAGATTACTACGTGCATTGGTGTTTTCAGGATTTTGGCTGATGGTTCACACCTTAGAGCAAGTTGTTATGACCCAACTTCATAAAGCCTTTTATAAATTGAGACAAAGTTAAGTAAATCAAGTGTCTTCTAAAAGCTACCAGTGCTCCACTTTCTTGTATTCTAAACAAAAGTTTAAAAAGGTTGTTTTGTAAGATATTTTCGGAGTCACCTTTTATAAAGTCAAAATATGCATTATTTTGAAAAACATACTACTTAAATGTATTAGGAAAATAAGGATAAGGGATATTTTACAGTTTTTATTGTCAGAGAAATTAAATGAAACATATATTATATATTATAAATTGACTTCAATCACATGTCTTTATAAAAATGACACCTTGAGAAGGATGAATGATGCTGAACTTGAGAGGTAATGTCAGGGAGCAGATTTTTTAGCTGCACCTGCATACAAAAATACCTGTATTCAGAGATTTAAAAAAATATGAATCTCATCAAATTTAAGCATATTTGAATAGGATTGCATAACAACTGAGGCATATTTCCTCATTTGCTTTACACAGGGACTGTTTTCTTGTCTACAGCTTATACCAGCTGAAACCCTCGTGCATGATGACATTCAAATTACAGAGACCAGATTGCTTCCAAACACCAAATATCCTGCCAAATGCCTAATGAATCTGCACTTCCTTCAAAAGTATTTCTGCAGAGGTTACTGTCAGTGTAAATAATATAACTGTTGCAAGGAGTTCACTGGGGACAGAGTAATTCATGATTTCCTGTTTTAACTTCCTCCTTTGTAGTTTTAGGATGAATAAAAACATTTTTGACATTACATGAGAAAAGCACCAGGTTACAGAGCTATTAACGTCGCAACAACTTCATTCAATTTAATCTGGCATCAGGCATAAAATACACATGCACGGTTCTTCAGTTTCATACTCACTGGTCATGTTGATTGCAGGCATGACCCATTCGTTTGATGCGTTCCATTAATCAACTCCTTCTGCCCTGTCTTTACCAAATGGTCATTAATTTATCAGACATAGTCAACCTCATTAATCTGCTGTGCCTGGAATACGCCTTAGAATTCAGTGGAAGAAAGTAAAAAAAACACAGCAAAAAACAAGGATCCCTGAGATCGGACCGATTGATGAGCCAACTGGAGGGTCGGCATGTATTAACGACCAGACTGTGGAAACCAGACTAATGAAGGATTAGATCATAGGGGGCTTATAGGAGTGTCAGTGCTTGGTCACAATCTGACCATCATGGACAAGACCTAAAGAAGAATAACCTCTGGGGAGCTTACTTCTTATCCTTGCAGTAAGCTTGAAACTTACAGCAAAGCATTACTCTGTGGTCATGTCCCATATATGTTTCCTCTTTGATGATTAAACGTATTGCAGCAACAATTCAAATATCCAGGAAGTTAATAAATGACATTTTGCATTTGCAGATTACCAATGTTGTGCATGTGGTTATTTGCACATTACTTTCACTTTAGCAAAAGTTTAAATTCACCTTTCCTGCACAGTAACAGTTAGACTTTGCCCTGATTTTACAGATATCGCTAAAATTAATTTATATTCATATGACTTCCTTTCTTTCTTAGGAACTTTATTGGTGTTATAAATGACAACTGAAAAGTCAAAAGTTGTTTATACTCCTTAAAACAGTTTAAAATGTCATTAAAAGAAAGTATGCCTAAAAATGTACATATATAGTAATAAATTGGGTCACTAAGACTTGCTCAAGAATTTGTTACTCCGCTTGTGTTTTTACATTGTAAGATTTAAAAAAAAAAATGTTTTGCCTCCCAGTTTGAGTGAATTTCAACTTCAGATTAAAATGTCTTATTGCTCACGAGTGCTGTAGCATCAGACATCTGTGCTAAAGAGGGCGCAGGTTTTAGGCATTAGAAGGGATGAGCGAAGGAGCCCCTTACGTTAATCTAGCACCTCATGTTGGCTTGGGGCTTGGAAACACCCATCCATTCTTTGCCATGCTTGGCTTACCAAGAGACAAAGATGAGTACTAAGCCGGCTTGGTGCTATGACAGCTTCCCTTAATCATTGTGATCATCATACTGATGACCATCATTTGTGTTTCCTCTTAGTCCTGCAGGAGTTTGGACACTGACACATAAAATAAATACTAAGCTCTTAGGGTTGGAAACTTGAGAAATAAGCTTTACTCTTTTGGAACAGTCTTTATATATCAACAATTGAGCATAAAAAAATGTTATTACTTCTCCTATGGTTTGCCTGAATCACATCAAGATGTTTGACATTTTACAGAGAGTCGGTCCTCTTCCTGGATTTTTATGTTTTGTGTTCTTCTGGTGACTCGGGACGTTTCTGGGTGAGGAGCAGGTAGATTTCCCCCAGCCAATGAAATTAACAGTTGAGTTTGGGAGTGGATACAATTGAGCCATTGGATGCAAACCGGCGAATATGACAGACACTGTCTTAGCGGCAAAGAAGGGAAAATATCATCAATTGGCTTCTTTTTTTCAACACCTCAGGTTGCCACTTGCTCAGAATATGTTGTCTTTCTGGTTGAATTTAAGAGAGCATTCTTGCTACTCACACTCAAGAACTATCTTCGGATTTTCCAGTTATACACTTCCTGAAGGCTTGATATGAGTCACAAAGGTTTTAGTCCTAAATGGGGTATGGTCAAAGAATTTCTAACCAATCCCGCAACATAACACAAGTCTCTGATGTTTTTGCATGGGCTAATTGTTTAAATTTAACCAAAATGTTTTTCATCATTAGTTGAGTCCTAAACTCCCTTCCAATCAGATAATAATTGACCTGGTCTGTATCTGGCAGAAATTCATCATAATAAATCACATCATAATACAGTAAGTAAAATTGCAGTCATGTTTTCATCTAAATTATGCTGACTATGAAACCGCACTTCTTGTAAACAAAGTGTCATGTACTCGGTTGAGCCTGGAGCAATATGAGTGCAGGTCATCGGGGGACGGGGGACACTCATGCTTCAGCACGGTACAGCGCTACTGAGCCCTGTCTGAATGCACCCGAACAAAATTGATGCATCTAGGCACTTTTTGGTGGCAGCAGGCTTATTGAGTCTGTTCTTTGGTTGGTCTGAATTTTACGTAACAATCATGATTCATGAAAAAAAAAACGTAGAAACCCATCAAGAGGAAATCAACTATAATACAGATGTATACATCTTTTGGAAATTATGAAATAGAGAGAAGAAAATTGTCCACAGCTCAAACCCTTCACTATGTTGTCTGCAATTGGTCGTAACTGCTCAGATACTGTTAGTCCTGTCCCAACTCTGTTAAAGCAAAGCTTGAATACTTTTGCATTATAAAAATATTATTTATATTATATAAAGTTTTGGGTAGATAACAGTGCCAGTTGTAGTAGTATTATGTGTGCTACAGTGGATAATAATTAATCAATTTGCTTGCAATATTGAGAAGAACAAGAAGAGGAGAAAAGAAATGAACATGTCATGAGGCAAACAAGCAGAACTAGTTTAGAAGGACGAGCTTACATCAGTAGAAAAAACAATCTTCTCTAGTATATTCAGTTTTGTAGTTTAATAGGCAGAAGCAAAAAAACACCTCGGTCAGGCACAGTTTAGCTACCATGAAACATAAAGTTGTAGGCAATAATTTGCCTCAGAACAAGCAAGTAAAGTTGTTTTCATATAAATTCAGCACTTCGTACAAAGAATTAGACCCTGGCTTTGCCCAGACTTGCCCAACATAAAACACAAAGCCAGAGATTGTCTCTTAAAAGACACATTCTCAACTACTGGAAGTGTTGCATTTGGTTAAGGCGAGGAATGGCGCCTTGGTTAGTGGGAGGAGGATCAAGGACTCATCAAGAGTTATGACCCTTGTTTTTGATCATATACCCTACACACTTTAAATGAACAACTGAAAAGCAATATACAGATAAGAAAAAATGAGAAGGACGAACTCTGTGGCGAGTTGTCAACATGTTCAACCTTGTTGGTGCCCTGGACAATGACCTGCTCCTTTCACACATCTTGTCAATTTGACATTTAAGAAACTTCCAAATAGGTTACGTCTTTGTTTCAGTACATGAAGCAGGGAATATGGTGCGTTTAAAGAGAAGACTGATCTGTCTAATAATTGCATTCGTTTATTGTAACTCTTCCAGCTCTCTTTTTAGCTGGTAACATTTTGCATCAGTGCTCAAACTGTAACTTCCTGTTTAGCGTTATCATCCATAAGCCACACAGCAAACTCTTGAAATTAACATTCATGATTAATTTTCAAGGAACAAGCGAGTCATGGGGTTTTTTTCTTTGAATTGAGGCTCCTTCAACTTGTGGTCCACTGCATGGTCAGTATGAGTAATTAGGGGTTAATTAGATGAAAGTACGAGTGGGGGAAGGGGCTGACTGGAATGGGATTTGGAGGTTGTGGAGAATCAGAGGTGGCTGGCTGGATGGGGAGTGGATTCAAAATTTGCCCCTCTGTAGCTGAAAGGTCCTCTGTGCTTTTAGTGCACTCACAATAAACAAAGACTTAAATTTCCTGAGGATGGAAAGACACTCAGAAACACCATACACCTCAAGATGCACATACCAAGGCACTCATATATTGTGCTTTCAGTGTGGCTCTTAGCTTCAGCTGGCCAACAGGCAGAAGATCTATTCGATGAGTCAGGCTGCTGGAATGCCAGGAATCTAACCTGAGATCTATTTACAAAGCACATATCCTCTCCACTGGCTCAACACACACTGTCCACTCCCATGCCAAAGCAAGCAGAGAGAACATGCTTACTTGCAGTGCTGATAAATGGCTGGATCAGCTGTTTGCCGATGACCAGGTGATTTATTTTAGTTCAAACTAATTCACACCCCTTCTTTAAGAATCAATACAGAGCTCATCGGAGGAGAAATGGGATATAATTGTGGCAAAGCACGAACGTCGAACTTCGATTGTCAATGGTCTTCTCACACACATTACCCAGCTACCTTTGTCAAGAGTTAATATGGGCTAGCTTGTTATGTAAGACATGACTATAGTCCCAAAACACTCAGCATAAAGCCAGTAGTAAGAAGGATCTGCTGAGGAGAGAACCCTCCCTCTACCTTCCTCTTTCCCCTTCCCCCTTTTCTCCAGGCTTGCACAGTCCACCAAACCACTGCTGTCAGCCAATCAACTACTTTACCATATCTCATACAGGTTTTACATGTCTCTAACCTCAAGTCATTTCCACCAACAAATCACATGACATTTAAAGCCAGATTATGCCTTTTCCCGCTAAAATACACATCCACAATTGCACTGATTTAGCCAGTGAAAAATCAGTTTCCTCTAATCAATTTGTATCCTCCTTTTCTTTTATCTCTTCAGTAATTTATATCTTTCACTCTGTTTTTGCCTTTAACTTCTTCTGTCCTTGAGCCCCCCTGGGTTTTTGTAAGGCAGGACCATGTGTCCGAGCCTGTGTGGTCAGTTTTTCCCCTCCCCCAATCCTTTAGCTTGAGCACACACACACACACACACACACACACACACACACACACACACACACACACACATGTGGCAGAGGCTGGACTGGCCCCTCTTTGCTTATTGTGTCCACTCATATATCAGGCTGCAGCTGACCAGTCCCTCCTCACGTCCTCCCCATCTGCCCTTCACTTTGCTCTTTCTGTGTCTCTGCTCATTTTACCAGCAGAAGCACGTCTTTACTACAACACCTAATGAGGAGCTAACGTGCGCTCCGGTTTACTTAACAAGCTTTCATGACTTCTATGGAGAACTAATGTGTGTGAGAGTGTGTGTGGAGGCGGAGGGCAATGTTTATTTGTCCCTCTATGCAGGACTAATGAGAAGCTCTTGACACCAGGTTACTAATGATCTGGCTTTATTCACACAATAACTTCACCCTGGTAACTGGTAGCTAAAACAGGGCTAAAACTGCTCATTACTCTATTGATGGCACACCATCATCATTGTGGAAAGAGCCCTTAATGGGCTGTGAGGGATTGGGATTGTATCTTTGCATGTTTTTCAAGCATAGAATCCTGTGCAGTCAAAGTTTCTGTGGAAAGACTTCTATTGTGACAATGCCAGTCCTTCTGAGGGAGGAATGTGACATTCATACGTTACAAAAAGCTCCTAAGAAGTCCCTCCTTCTCACAAAATGAGTTTTCTGTTTTGCACAGTTTATCCCAAATGTCAGTCCAGCTCTTAAGAATCTAAAACCCAAAATGTGAATCCCTGTTGCATTATTCCGATCAGGTTAGCGTTGTAATCCTGTTAAAGCTCAGTCTAATCAATAGCCCAGTCAATCAATATGAGCATATTCATCAGCCTGGATAGCAACCTCTTGTGATTAGCAAGCCAGGACTATACTGTGATGTGTCACTGGGATTTATGGGATTTCATTTGCTTTTGCGTTCTAAAGTGACACAAAACAAATATATATATATCGGTCAATTGTTATAAAAATTGTAACAAAATGACAGCAGAACCTTTTATACTTGAGATAAGGGTTAATCTGAACTGTTTCAATGACCTCTTGCATAGACAAATTGGTGTTTTGATACTAGATACCATAATAACACTTTTACATTGAAACACAAGTTATTTTCTACCTTTAATAAGGATAAAGTTAAGCTACCCAAAATATGAAGACAGGATGTTGTTTGCATTGTTTAAAGTTCAAATCGAACTTGTGTCACTATTTAATACTAAAGGCTTCACTATATGTTCATTCTGCCTCTTGGAAAACCCAGACATCGGTGTCTTGGCTGCTCTCTCTTAAAACAAATTGTTTCTAAATTCACATGGAGGGGCTGAAAAAAAGTGACTGAACACTTTCTGTGAAATTCCTCAATGCAAAGTTTGGAGACTCAGCTGGCAAAGCCATTAACATATCTGCGTTCTCTAAATTACTTCTCTGAGACTCCCCCAGCCCCTTTTTTCCCCCCTCAACTGAGCCAGATGACACAATATCTGGACAAAAAGAGGAGCCATATGAAGAAATGGTGAAGGAAAATACTATATACATTTGTAAAAATGTAAAGACTTACTGTAAGGGGTGACAGGACTGAGCATTCTGCAGCCCTGGCCCCAAGGTGAAGAGGAGAGGACCAGGTCCACTTGGTGCTAGTGAGGGCCCAGCTGCATGCTGCGGGGCCTCCCTGGGCTGCTGGCTCGGCTAGTGACGGGCCTCCTGCACCCCTCCATGGTTCATTTCACAGTTCAACACTGGTACAGCACACTGCCACCTGAAGAGTACACAGAATAAGAGCCAAAACACATTAAGAAAGGAGAAAGTGTATTATTGTCTAACTTAATGCCTTCATGCAGATTTAGATTCCAGGACATGTTTTGAGTAGTAAATGTAAATTGTAGAGGTTATTAAGAATGTCCTGACTTGACTGCATTTTGAACATATTAAATTGAATATTTTAAAAACATGTTTTAGAAAGGAAACAACTGATATTGATTGATTCTTACCTACTTGTCTGTTTATGTTTTGCTCATACACGTGCACATGTTGAGACTAAACGATTAACACAGAATTCAAATGTTAAATGCCCTGACAGAGGGGGCTTTCACCCTCTGACCACAAAACCGCACAGCCAGCGGAGAGAAGTTTCTAATTATTTCAAGCCCCCCATGTATCAACACTTTACCTACAAGCCACAACAGCATGAGGACCTTTGTACCCTCTGCAAAGCAAGGACACTACCCTGTCTAACGTAATACACAAGGACAAAATTAAGAGTGTAGAATTGGTGCAAAGTGTGTCACCTGGGTTGACACATAGAGGACAGACTAATGAGACTGCCATACAGGATTATTAAAAAATAAGCATTTACATAAAAAGCTAGTCAAAACCAAATCACAGCATGAGAACAGAGGAGTTAAAATGACAGGAATGCGCAAGAAGCAGCAGAAACATCATCAACTCCTAAAGCTGACAAAAAAGAAATCAGTTTCAACAAGTGAGTAAATGTTTTACTGACCTGATCATGCCTGAATTTAGTCGATGAGAGTTTCAATTTGGAAAATAATCCACATCCCAAAAAAAGGAAGGATATCAGGAGCCAGAATAAATCTGTATGTGCGCTTGTGTGTGTGTGTGTGCTCTCTTCTGGGACCCTATCCTTCTCTCCTACACTCCCTCGCTCGCCCTCCAGCTCCCTTCTCCCTCCCCCATCTCTTGCTCTCCCTTCAACCAGTGACAAGAGCAGAACATACATCCCCTCCCCCCACCCACGCCACCCCTCCCCCTCCTTCTCCCTCTCTTTTGTTAAAACTATTTCAGCAGGAAGGGAGAGAGGGAAAAAGTGACCAATCATGCCGTGTCAGAGTAAAGCCTGTTTCCCCCCTCTGTGTGTGTGCGTGTGTCCATGAATTTCTGTTTGTGTGCATGTGTGCATGATCTTATTTGCATGTGTGTATAAGTGTGTTCTTTTTCATTTTAGACTTTCACAGATAAGCATGCACGACACATGCTACTGAAAAATAGTAAATTTTCTTCTTCACTGATCACATGAGAAGTTCAGTTATTGTCAATGACTTCTATTGATCTGGTACATTGATCTGAGTAGTGTTTGGAGGGTGGGGTTGAGTCAACCATGTCAATATTACCTAATTCCTATAGTACACCATCCCCCCCCCTTTACACATACACAAACCATACGGGACACATGCATGGAGAAAATGACCTCCACATTGGCCTCAAATCTTTGACTAAAGAAGTGGTTGTTATTTCTTCCCAGTGTATTTTATAAATCAGGTATCCAAAGTGCACACATTATTTTATATCATTATCTGTCCAGGGGCTAAAATAACTCTTGCACTATGGTCCTAAGGGGTTTTTGCTTAAACTCGGTCCCTCATAGAAACACAGCTGTGGTTCTGCATTTAGAGTTATGGGAGTGGGAGGGACAAGCTGGTCCACTCCTCATGTTACTCTGCTGTAAACACTCAAGTCCCTGCAGGACTTGCACTCCTTTTGCCTTTGCTGCATCCAACACCAATATCTTTAACACACACGAGCCCTATAAATATTGCCAGTTCAAGGCTGTATATTCACGCCCCTGTTGCATAGGTAAGATGGGATCAGCGGAGCCAGCGGGGAGAAGTGTGTTTGTGTGTGTGGATGGCTTTCATGTCGGTGTGTGTATGTGTATGTGGAGCTCCTGCTGGTTGTTCAACCCCTGTGCTGCTGCGCATTGCTGTAACGATGTAACGCAATGTAAAATCGCTTGCCCTTTTCATGCAATTCTACAACAGCGCCTTAACAAAGCTCTGCCATCATTACAATTTAAGAGATTTATTCTGCAGTGTAATCATTTAGGTGTCTTAGTCCGTAAATTCATTTTCTGTTTTCCAATATTTTTATTGTTTTCAAATGTTATACAACAATACAATACCAGACAATAAATGATATAGAACAATGCCCAACAAGGGCAACACTATCATTGCACATCTTCTTTGTTTACTAAGCGCGAGGGACATACGCACACACACACACACACACACGCACGCACGCACGCACGCACGCACGCACACACACACACACACACACACACACGCACACACATACACACACACAGCGCTGTTCATGTATCACCCCAGTAATGCCTCTGCTACTTCCTTCACGGGCAGTACAGAGGGGGATCACTTTGTCTCTCAACAATGCCTCCGCAACATTCATATTGAAGACCTTGAAACAGCAGTCTGAATTGGACTACTAATTCACCCTTTTCAGATCGCAATTCCGCAACTGCGCCGTAAAAGAGCCGTCTTTGTAGTTTCATATGGATTCCACAACACCATGATATTGTTGTCCCATACTTTGATTTGGCATTATGCTTCTCTGTGAAATGTATATATGAGGAGAGACACCAAACGGCTGTAAATATCATGCATTGAACTGGCAGTCTGACTTGGGCTACTGCTGGTCGACTAAAGGGTCAAAAACCAATTAAAGAATCTTTGGGAGCATGAAAAACGCTTCACGATTTCAGTCGGACTAAAATGTTGACATGCATTTTAAAAATCCTAAAAGACTATTGCTGACGGACACTTTGTGCTAACACAGTGGCATGGAGAATCTCAACACTTTCTGCAGATACAAGGGGGCAGCTGGAGAGGGACATGACATGGTGCAAGTTGTTGTTGGGATAAGTTGGTGGATCTTCCAACTGGCCCAATTGTTGGGCTGCTGTTGGTGTGGTCTTTATTGGCTCTACATACATTTTAGAACCAGCTCTTTCTGACAAGAATGTCATGAGATTGAGAGATGAACATTTAAATGACTTTTAGAATAATCCTAAATGGGTTCACTCCAGCATACACATATTTTCTGGACTCAATGCAGTGCCAGTTTTTTGGATCTTGGAGATGATTTGATACAGTGATATGAGGACACAGAAAATATGTGATTCACTTTCCGATTGAATTGAGGATACAGAAAATAAAATAATTTATTTAAAAAAATAGAAATGTTTTCTTGGAGTAAATAGAGGAGATGTGACAGGCTGATGTGAGAAGTAACTCTCGTCCACTTGGATTTAGTAGCTCAGATTTAAAAAACAGGTTGGAGAGGTGTGAGTGGTGTTTCAAAACGTGGTTTCTCAAAGCCAAACTATAACTTTCGACTATAATCACATAGCTATGATTATAAAGTGAAGTTTTCATTCAAACAAGTTCTAGTTTATGAACTCAAGCCTCCTTGTTAAAGCAACCTTAAAGTAGGCTACTGGGCCACTTGAATTTTGGAGTTAGCAAAAAACCATGCTAATGTTTGCGAGTATTTTTCTGACTTAAATTGCTGCCAATAATAGCAGTGGAGGTGAAGGCATGATACAAGACCTTCCATCAGGTGACTCAGAGGACTAATGGCGTGTGCAACGCTCAGCTCTTTCTACCTTACCTGCTTTGCTGACAAACACTGAAAAAAAAAAAGCCAGGCTGTTGTTTTGCAGGCAAGGAAACAATACATCTAAACAATCCCGAATGTGCTGCAGGGGCTGTTCTTTTCACCACGGATAAGGTGGGCTGTTTGATACATTCTCACTGCCGAGTCAAAGACCCCAGATGTGGTCTCTTGTTACATCAGGAACACCTCCATATGTAGCATGTGTGGCTCTAACCAGGTCACTGGGACAAGCGAAGGGACAAAAGGGCAGAGCGAGTGCTTATGACAGTAGCACAGAAAGGTGTGGCTATCAGCAGATTAGAGGACAAGGTTACTGACAGGGACGGATCCCTTTTGAACTGAAATACTGGATACAATAAAAATGCACACATAAAGACAGATTTTTCCCATGCATACATACACACATGACGGCTATGCTGGAAATTGGACCCTTTGGCCCCGTGGGTGGGATAGGTCACATGATAGCACCCCAGAGAAGCTCAGCTGTTTGCCACTCTAATTTTGTCTCAAGCAGCTGAGCACCGGCCCATTGCTTCACGGAAATGTCCCAGTAATGATAATAGTGTGTGTGTGTGTGTGTGTGTGTGTGTGTGTGTGTGTGTGTGTGTGTGTGTGTGTGTGTGTGTGTGTTAGTTAAAAGAAAGATTGGGGGGAATCCTGAATATAGGTTCAGACTAGATATACTGTATATATCGCCTATATAAAGAGAGAGAGCGAGAGTGAGAGAGAGAGAGAGAGAGAAAAACAGGAACAGGAAATCTATGGAAAAAGAACAGGAAATGTGTGTATTGTCTCCCACAGGCCGGCTGAGGGCTGGTCTTGTATTGAATGTAAAATTCTGATGATTTTTTTTTAGAGCTCTTATCAACAATGCGCTTTTGAGGGCCATGAATGAAGGTCAGCAAAAACACGATTTATTCTATGTTGATGCGAAACCTCCTTTAGTTTAAACCTATAAACACAACAATGATAATTGCTTGTTTCAAAATTGAAACCCTGTATTTTAAATTTGTAATTTTAAAATCACCTACTCGTCTCCCTGCTCCTTTCCGAACATGGATTGGGATAAAATTGAGTAAAAACTTTGTGTGTTTTGACGTGCAGAACAAAAAAAATAAAAATAATAATATATATATATAAAAGCCGTTTTGTAAATGTCAGGGCCGGGCAACTTAAACTTTTAGGCCAGTAATATCAGACAGTGTTTAATCATGCCAGGTCCTACTCCAAAGTTGGGATGCAAAAAAAAAATACGTTGAAGAAGCTCATCAAATCCCGAAGGCAATGTGAAATGAAAAACTAAAATAATAATGGCCTGTAGAGACAAAGCCTGATTAATCTTAAATGCTCTACCAAAGAGCTTTATTGTTGTCCCCTCCCCCCAAAACAATAATAATTTCATAGTTGCAGTGTTTACTTTTCATTCTTATAGTCATCTATTGCCTTGATACACCTCCTTCAGAAAGGAAGGAGGATGGATAAGCCAAATTAACATTAAAAGTTATCACTCAAAGATTTCCAATCACAGCACTACAGCAAAGGCCTTAACTGCACCTGAAGCCTTAAGTGGTGAGTAATATTCTGTAATTTACTAAATCAGTCAAGGCTAACACCAAGCGTTGCCATTCTTCTCAGTAAAACTACAGAAAAACAGAAATTGAGGATTTTGATTCACATTGTATCAACAACAGTCAGTTGAGACAAGGAAGCTGACTGCATGTCCGCGCACATACAAACGCTCTCACACTCTCACACACATCACTGCACTTCACACACACACATGCAGGGTAGTGCTCTATGTTAGAGTGGCTTATTGTTCTCTGGTATAGAGAACACAATATCCAAGTCTAGTAATAGAGGTTAGATTAATTGCTGACAAATCTGTATTCAGCAGTTCCCTTTCTCCCCGCTTGACAGATTTATGACAGAGATTGATGGGGGGGAGGAACGAGCAGAGGGCTGCCACTGTTTAGTGAGAACAGAGAACCACCGCTCAGAGGTAACGGAAACAAGTAAAAGAAGAAACAGAATTGTTTATATATCTTACAGACAACACTCACATTTGTATTTAAGCTTGTAAAATCATGAGACTTCAGAGTTAAATTTAAGAGAAAATATTTCTGCAGAACACAAGGAGTAGAAACATAGACCAGGCCTTCTTTACAGCAGACATTTAAAATAGCCCTTTTCATACTAAATTAACAAAAAAAGTGCTGTAAATAAGCCTAGCCGTCATTACGTCTTTGTACATTCATATTTCCACAACGGCGAAAATATTGGTGTCACGACACTTTAAATCTAAGATCACTGAAGTATTGCATCAGTAACTGAATAACAGAGTTGTGTAATTTGAGATCATAATAGGTGGTACTATACGGATAATCTATAACGTAATAATAAATTAAAATATGTCTTTATATGCATCAATATTATTACTTTATCATTAAAAGCCCCATGAAAGGAAAAATACATTATCTCTGTTTTGATCCAGCATTCCGTGTTAAATGTTCATTTATCTGCCACATATATTTCATTAAATCATCATCTGAGTATTTTTACATCAGGATAACTGTATTTTCCTGTAAAACGTTTCAAATGGCTGATGACTCATTCTGCACTCAGGGGCATTTACTAATTTTTGGACCAATAGAAAATCTTTTTAGAAGCTGGTGATCCAATATAATACATCCCAGTGTTATGTCCCACTTTCTGTATTGTGATTGGTTCTATCCCGTTTCAGTTGATAATACTGTAACACATAATAATACGTCACATCACGGCTGTAAGATCCTCTCAAAGTTCCATTTCAATTTGGACTTTGAATACTTTCAGGCACCTAATGCTTATGAAGTTTTTGTTTTGGTGATTAAGAGACCATTACCTATTTCTTTGCTCCCTAAAGTAGTCATCTTCAGTTGTCACTAAAAAGCTAGAAGAAAGTGTTACTGATTTTCTGCGCCATTAATCTGCTCTTCAAGTTCTCATCTCACAGACTAACTCAAGAACCCAACATTGGATCAGCTCAGATACTGGATGTTAAATTAAAGACATTGCAGATGACTGGGAATTCACTAATACCCAACATTGACTGCCAACAATTAAGCATTTTGCGTCAGTGCAGGAAAAAAAACATACAGTCCAGCCTGGAAACCAGCTCCATTGGGCTCCTCGGCTTTCCTTCACAAAAAACACAGGACTTTCACATGAGCACAAAGGATTTCTTTGACTGCTTAAGTCTAAGAAAAGAGACAATAGGGCTCAGCTGGTTGGTCCTGTGCTGACCATGCGCCATTGTGGACCCACACGATGATAATAATCAATGCAATGCACAAACAGAAAGCAGATATTGAATAAAGATGTTGACAACATTTAAAACCCTTTGTAGGGAAATACACTAAGCTAAGTAATTCCAATAATAAACCATCATCCATTCCACTCCACCTCACCCCTGCTTAAACCACAGCCTGTCAGCTTTTTTAATCAGGATTATTTGGGAATCAGTATCACCCTCAAGCCACAAATTCACCCATATACACAGGACACAGGGCACAGAGCATCTTTAACCTCACAGGCTACCTCTTTGCTGTCAGGATGACCTCTGAGCATGCTGTGTTCTCACCTGTGTTCTTGTTATACAAGACAATAGGGGACAGTCGGGGGGAAATGGAAAGATTCCAAGTGGTTGGAAAGAAAGGTTTGAACATCTCCTGTTGGTAATCCTCAGGATACTGTGCTAGGATTATTTGTTTATGTTTCTTAAAATGTGAAAAAAAATCATGTGTAAATACAACAGTCTTGAATTTAAATTAATATAAGAAGGAATGTCCAAGTAGGGAGAATCCAATTGAGAGGATTGGGACTATGCTGCCCTCTAGAGGACCAACTCATTAAATACATTAAATCCTTATTTTAAACATGTGAACATTACCTCTTGGTAACAAAAAAGAAAGACTCAATAACTGTTATAGAAAATGTAATTTCAGCTGCATGTTTTTATTTTTCCATAATCAAAAATTAAATGACATATATAAAACATGTAGATTTACTTAAAATGTATCATTCATGGTGAAAGAAACAAGGCATCACTTTTTCTATGGCTCCAAGACTTGAAGATTGAGGGTACTGTAGTATGGGTGCTCTTTTCCCTGAAAGTCTTCTGCTTTCTGACATCGCAGTCTTTCATCCGCCTCCTCTTTTGTTGTATTGTCTTTGAAACAGACACAAGCTTTTTTCCTCAAATTAATTTGAAGGAAACAATTTGTATGGTTTTCACTTTTACGCACATAGAAATGAAGAACAGATTCTAACAGCCTGTTACTCATTATTGGCTTAACAACGACTGTTATTTGGGCACATGTGATGTGGTCTAACATGAAAAATGACCAGCACTACAGGAAGAAGGTATGTATTCTATGACAGGCACATACATATAGCACGATTATTTATACTCACATCCATTAAAATGTGTGACTCTTCTTGGCCACATGTATATGTAGTCACCTACAATTTACTGTATGCTTACCATAAATTCACATTTACATGAATGAGTTCAAATCAAGTTTAAGACACATGATGGTCATATATAGAACTCAGTTACTAAATATTTATCTTCTACAGTCATAGAGCTCTGGATGGTTAAAAGCATTTTGAGTAGTTTTTCTTTATACAGCATTTTTGCACTCAATCAAGAGATTTTGAATACATATTTACACAATGAATAATATTTAGTCATGCCAGTAATTCAAAGTTTCAGGTCTTCAGACACAAAAAGACTATTCACATTCAAAAGTCTGACCATCGAATCAGTAGTACATGACAGCAAATACAGTGTACAAAACGTTTGTACGCGTTTCTAAGAAGATATTACTGTATGAGATGTTCGAGTGGTACATCACTGTACTTGTACACTTTGCTTAAAAGTCATTTAACAGATGACAGGGACTGTTGAGGACGTAGCCTTGAAAGTATTTATAAATCAAGTTTTGAATTCAAATTTAACTGGACCCCAAAAAAGGTTTTTTAATCAAGATATTTAACACAACTTCAGCATTCTTTACATAGATCATGTTATATGGATTCATTTATCAATTTAGATTAGCCTGAGAGTGAACATACATCTTCAAGATGGCCCTCCAGATTATCTCTGTTCACTGTCTTTGCAGTTACTGAACAATTGAGATGAGGTGAGATGTTCATTTGACAGAAACCCTAAATTCAGATGAAATCAAACCTTGGAACAAAGCAGAATAGCATTATTACAGCTTCAGCACTTCCCCACATGAGTATGACATCAGAGAGCAATGGCTGCTATGTGAATATGGTCAGTTGTGTGTATGTTAGAGTCTTTACATTTCCCTTGAGGATTAATAAAGTGTATATATTAAAACATAGATTTATGAGTAGATTCAAGGCTCTTCCATCAAGGACAAAGGATGTAACAATGATGGTTTATGAAACATGGTCTCCTTCCGGAGGTCATCGCTCTCTTTCTAATAACCTCTGAAGGAGTTGTTTTCCATAAATTCATCCTTTTATTTCTCATGTGCATTTTTTAATTCCAACATAACTTATCTCGTTTTGTACAGTAGACTATTTACAGAAAGCAAAGAGAACTTTTTTATTTTATTTTATCTAAAAATATTTTCATAAATAATTAATAAATAATACATTTTTAAATTATTAATTTCGTAATAGATCTCATGAAAATAAAATATTTCACAAACTCTTTATCTACAGAAAGTGCAACTACAAATAAAATATTAGTGAGGAAAAATCTTGCACACCATCATGTCTCATTCCTTTGGCTCCCCAAACCTTAAGGTGACCCTCATGTCTGAGACATAAAAAGGATCATCCAATTTAGGTTAATTTATGACAACTGCCACATGCAAGTCTTACAATAGAAAATGAACTTAAGAACATTACAGTACAATCTTGTTTATCCTAACTGACATGTCCCCCGAATCAACTAAATTAATGTGTGGCTATGTCTTTTTTTGCTAGATGTGTGTTGTTATTATTATTATTATTATTATTATTATTATTATTAATAATAAAATGTCCTTATTGGCACAAACAGTGTTTTTTATGCTTTCACTTAGGGATCAACAAAAAGATTGTACTGGTACAAAGTTATCCTGATAAATAAAAAGAAGCTGTACGTTAAAAAGGATTTGCTTTTTGGTTAAATTATTGCTGAAAGTAAGCCCCCCCATAAACTAATAGCCATTATTTTCCTAATCGTCAAATGGACACACAAATGCCCATCTCACCCGCAATGTAACACACACACTCACAGCGCTTTTCTGCTCTGCTCTCCCCTGACCTAACATCTTCCAAAGTGCCTTACAAGAGCGTTCATGAACTTGTCTGAGGTAAAGAAATAAGACACTATCAATTGACAAGGGCTCTGTGGAACAATCTCCCTTCTACACAATCATTAGCACAAACATCCAATAATGGAAAAGATTGCATTTTAAATTTTTTGTGCCACTGCTGTGGGTCTTCTCACATTTTCATTTTACATCACCACGCAAAACTGACACCAAGTTTGATGCTCCCACAAGAGGAGAAGTCTATGTTTAACTGAACCTGCAATGTACTTCTACAATCTACTAACTTATTGACCATTTCATCACTATTAGAAAAAATAAACAGTCATGACATGTTAAATAAAAAGACACACTAGTAGATTTAAGGATCAATGACAGAAAAACTATTCAGATAAATAAAAAGGACCTGTGTTGTTTTTTAAAAGGAGGATTTCCACTCCCATCAGTGTACAGTGTAGGCAGGAAACCTTCATGTTGTGTCTGATGCAAAGGTGAAGAGGTGGAGTGTTGAGGTTTTAAATAGTTATTTAATTCTGCATATGCTCTCCTATCCTGATGAGGACCCAAGTCTGTCAATGGATCATACATTTATCAGTTTTATTCACAGTAGACCTTACTAAAAAGGTTAATTTTGTTGAAAAGCTGAAATAGTATTATTAACCATATTCTGAGTTTTACCTTTGGGTTACAATGTTTTAGATTTGAAGTCAGTTCTATATTTAGCTGCCTACTGATTTACTGCTTCTGAAATACACCTGATTTAGGCCTGTGCAGAACAGCTGCAGGCAAAGGGAGCGATTAGCCGGTTAAGCTAATGGAGTATCTAGCCACAATAAAGACAGAAACATCCTCCATGTATCGGTAGAGACCAAAGGCAGAGCTAAATGGGGGGTAGATTTTAAGCTTACATTCATTAGGAGGTAACAGACAATTATTGTTATGTGGCCCCAGATCTTCTTGATGTGTTAAGAAAAGTTACTGTTTCATGTAAAGGAAAAATCTCTCCTCGTGCATTTGAACAGTTGGACAAACTTAGAGAAGAATCTATTTGTGCAGTTCACCAAAATGTAACAGTGCCAAAAGCTACATCCTCCGAAAGTTAAATCAATACCTTCCTTCAGGATCAGAAAACAGTGGCCATTGTAAGCTTTATGATGGAATAATTTTTCCCTGGCCTGTTTTTTTAGAATGTATGATCTTATTATCTGTGCTTGATCAAGTCTATAGCCATGGTAAGCTCTGGCATTAACTTAAGGAATACTAAATAATTTACGATGGACTGTTTCATTGATGTTGGGCAGTAAAGACTGTATTTATAGACCAACAGCAGCTGTGTCCCTGAGAGCTAAAAACAAACCAGCCACACTTTTTGGTTGACACTTTGGGAATAGACCGATGACAGAGTTTGGCAGATTGAGATGTTACCTCCTAATGGTTATTAAATAAATGCAGGGCTTTCAGCTGTGAATCGACAAATGTCCCCATATCTAAGTGAATCACTGTGGCTGCCAGCAGCTGTCACAGTGTCCTCCATTATTTACTGCCAATGTAGGCGGATAAAATCCAGGATCTGTCACTAGATTACATTACCAAAGCCTGTCCCATTGCTCTACACAATTTAACTCAAACTGAGCCATTCAAATACTATTTCATTTTTTACCAGCCACAGGGGAAAGTTTCCCCCTTTGTATCATTCAACCTCACATCTTAGATGGAAAGCCAAAGGCAGTGTACAAGCCAGAACTCATCACCAAAGGCTTTCTGAACGTAGAAGATGAGGACAGTTAAGATGAAGGTTTTCCACTTTTTTACATGGCTATAGTGGTTGGTTTAAAAGGTTGGTGCAATTAGTGTCTGCTCAAAGGGTCAGAATTACGGTCAAGAGTTTTGGTTTTGGGAAGTGAGTCCTCACAAAGATAGAAGAGCATGCAGGTACGTCTTTTGTGTTATCAGTATTATGTGTTGTGTGTAGCTGGTAGAAATCATCAAGACTTTTATCTTAAGCACTGAAGTGGCTGACAGTCAAAGCCTCCAGATCACAGTGTCCCGTGGTCCAGAGCTGCAGTCATGTGACACAGCTGAGCCTGCCAGGCTGTGGATATCCTTTATTCGTCTATGAACTCCATCCCTTCAATCCTGCAGGGTAGCACAAACGAACCCAGAATTAACACAGCACAAATAGTAGTTTGACTGATGCCATTTAGAAATCACCAGCTGCTGCTATTTCAAAGCACAAAAGGAGCAAGCGACCAAAATGTGTGGCAGGAGAATTTCCAGATGGCAGGGGTGGGGGAAAAAAAGAGGGTATGGCCTTGCCTTCTTAGCAGCCACAGGACGAGTGTCCCTTTGATTGGAGGTTAGGGATTTCCACACGGTGGTTTTAGACATTTCATCAGATATATTAATATCAGAGGGGTCACACCTGAGGATCAGGGAGAGGAAAAGGAAGGACACAGAGAAGATAGTTTTGGCAATTTTTTTAGGTGTTAGGGAGAGGGTATCAGTGTGTTAGTATTGACAGGGTGCAAAGCAAATCCCCACAACCAAACAATACAAGTGTAAGCTTTATCAGTAGAGTAAATTCATATATATACATATTACATGTTTAACAATTTTAGGAGCATCTAGTAAATGTGACCAAAAAATATTGAATCTACCTCTGTGGTTGTCATAAATTTTGCCTTGAGTTCCATACTCCTAGCCTCTGATTGGCTAACTGACTGATATGTGTGGAGTAACAAGGAAGTGTTGTTGTGAAGCACATGCAATGTGGCCGACAGTAAAGTGATGCCGAGAAAGTTATCCATCTGCATCCTGCTGTTCTTCTTAAGTAGGGTGCTCTATCCACCACACATCCAACCCTCACGTTACACAAGCATTCAGATAGGCGTCTTTCAGCTCTGATAATCTGATGACCTGTCTGTGTAAGTGTGTCTGTGTTCTAACCTGGGGTCATGTGCTTTTGGAGTCTGAGCTGGCTTGCTGCTCTCCATGGAAATCTGAACAGAAGTTGTATCATCCGTCTTGGCACTGAGCATAACCTGTGATTCCTCAAAGAAAACCCCGCCCGCCACAAACAGATAGAGTAAATTCATGAATGTTTGTTTACTTTCATGTGTGCATTTCAAAATGCCACTCAAGACTACCTCATCTGTCTTTTTGGAGGCATCATCGAGGTTTTTTTTCTTCCACTCAGGCATCAAATCATCCAGGTAACTTAGCTCTCGTTTAGAGAAGCACAAGTCCAACAGCTTGCGGATAAAAACAAGAGCCAACACCTGCAGGACACAAGAGAAAAATAATTGTTTAAGCTGAAGACTAATGAAGAGGGAGGGGGATTTGGTGATGGTCAGCTCACCATCATGGGGAAAACGATAGCAGCAGGGGAAGTCTTGATGACCCAGAGCAGCACCAGACAGGTGAGCTGGGTGACAGTGAACAGGTGCACTTTCCTCAAAGGGACATGACGCAGGTAGATGAAGTCTGGCTGATGCTTGGCTGGCATGCCGAACAACTTTAGACGGTCAAAAAACTGAGGAGATCAAGGTGGGTGGTGGAGAAAGTTAGTGCCAGAGAGGTTAAAGAATGAGAATAGAGCTGGGACACAGATGGTTATAAAGGCAACAGAAAGGAAGTGATTATGAAATACAAATTCAGTTAGATTAACTGTCGGGCCTCATTGAATTAATAACAAATTAATTAGATTAGGAGGGGGCAAAGACGGGACAGCCAAATTAATACCAGGCTGAGATCAAGGGAGCAAGAGAACAGTTTGGCACATTTTATATTTGAATTATTACAAGTTGCCTTATAATATTAAAGTAAAGCTATTGGAAGACTTAAAAACCGTATCTCAGCACATACAAATGTAATTAATTAGGGATGGGTATGATTTTGAGTACTTGTTGTTCGAGTACAAAAATACTAGTTGAATGCCTAAACATAAGGGCAGCTGTGGGTCAGTGGTAGTTGGGTTGGTGAATGAATCAACTAAGTGCAGAGTCAGGTGTGTTTGTGGCTGATTGGCCTTGATTAAAACCAGGTGTGGGGAGCTTATATATACTCCTGGAATTCAGTGCTCTGTGCTGACTCATTATGTCACCTTCAGAGGTAGTGAGAGGTTCTCCCTGTGTTGTCGCTTGTTGTCTGTGTGTACATAAACACAAACCAATAACGTTCTGTGTATTTGTGTCTATTTCTAAAATAACTTGGGGTGCTTGGTAGTTGATATTCCCCAGCCTTTTGTGTTGAGTTTTAAGGCCTCCCTGGCAGCCTTTACTTTCGTGAATTGTTTCTGCGTCTCCTGGACAATTTAGTTTCGAGTCAGCTACTTGGCAGCAGTGGTTTAGTTGATCATTTTCGGTGCATTAGTTAAAGGAGTGTTTTGGCTCTTTACTATTTTCATTGTTCCCTACCCCCCCTCCAATCTATCGCTTGCAATTTTTGTGGTTATCTTTCTTGGATAACTTTAAGACACCCCTGGGTCCGCACCTGTGTCCCACTTTCCCGTTTTCTTGACAGAGTGGAAAAGATCTATTTGGAAAGCGCGACAGAATTGAGGGCTGATTTGCGATGTGTTGGCAAAGTGTCTGTTACTACGGACTCGTGGACAGCTCTCACCACAGTGACTGTATGTTACAGTGACATTCACTTGCCATTTTATTCAGAAGTGAGATTTAAAGACACTATCCTACAGACACAGTACTAATGAGCGGCACACGGCAGCGGACCACCGGGAGGCCCATGTGTGACATATTTACTTTACAGTAAAAATGTATATATTGCAAGTACTCAATCAATCGTTCATAAGCTAATGAGACTACTCATATATTGAAATTACTTTAAAGTCCCATCCCTAATTATTATGTCATCTTGCTAGTTAGTTAATCAGAAATTATTCTTTGCCATAAGGAAATGTTGTAACATTCATGAATGTCTGACTGCATGTTACCTGGATCCCTTTCAATGAAGAGGCTCCCATGTAAAGGAACACACCATACAACACTGGCATAGGAATGAACTAGGAAAAGAAACACACATTAATGAGCTTTAGTCACATGTTCTTTATGTTCTACCCTCACACCTTTGACTAAATGTTCCAGCCAGAGGGTAGCATTATTGCATAGCTTGTCTGACTAACCTGCAGGGCTCCAGTCATGAAAACAGAGCAGCCCATGAGCAAGAAGATGACCAGGCCTGTTAATCTCTGCTCTCTGATGCCCAGAAAGCGTGGCTGTTCTCCAGGTGCCGAGCTTTCTGATTCCAGCTTCAGGCTGTTGACGTGTGAGATGGATAGGACGGTGGCTGCTACGAACCAGGGCAGGCCCATGATGGAGCACACAGCCAGCATCACCCCCACCATCAGCAGGTCGAGATGGTACCCACAACCTTTCTGCACAAGAGAGAGAAGGACTGATAGATACAGAACTAAGCCTAGAGAGGAGGCAAGATTGCAGCGATAGAACTTCATAGATGGTAAATGGACCAAACATATACAGTATAATTCCAGTGGAATTCTGGTCTTTCAACCACTCCAAGAACTTTACAGTATTTTTTAATCATTCACCAATGAATACACACAATTAAATACTGATAGCAAAGGCAGCTTTGCAAGGTGCTCACCGGGGTCAAATCTAATGCCTAATTACACACTCTCATGCACCTGTGTGTAACTGATGGATAACATTCTATGGCTAAGTATCTTCAGTGGTGTCTCTGGACTTTTTTAACTGGGATGGTCCAACTGCTGCACTGAAGGGTTGACAGGAAGCATGTGCGCACACAAACGTCTGTTAAGTATATGTTTACCATTTCAGTTTCCTCTCCTTATCTATTTTTACTGCTAACATGAAGGTATCATACAGGTGTCAAATTCCTGTGTCACCCCTGAAACACCTATGATAACAATGCCTGAGGACAGTTGGACATGCAAACCAGAGGGGCTAGTCGTAGAACCATAAATCTTCAAATTAGTGGAGGATGCTCTTTATCTTCTGAGTTGCAGCCATCTCAAGTGCAACTGTATGATCTGGATTTCAAGATGTAGTCTTACCAGTAGCTTGTGCTCTTTGCGGTTTATGATGACAGCAGTGATCTGTTGGTCCATGAAGATGAGGATGGTGCAGAGAACTGCAGGAATAGCTGCAGCCAGGACCGTCCACCATGGGTTGCGCCCAATTGGACTGATAAGCCAACCTCTATCATCTCTGGTGGGCTGACGGATCAAATCAGAGAGGAGTAAGGTCATGATTCAACCACAACCATCCAGGTCGATTTTGATATAATTTCCTGGAATTACCTGGAATTTGCTGGGAACCTTCAGCTTCTGGGAGGGAACGCCAATTGCATAGTCAAGCAGAACCATGACAGCAATGGTGAGGAACACTGCAAAGTCACTGATCATGGACCGCACCTGGACATGAGAGACAACAATTTAGGTGGTTACTAATGTGGCAGGCCTTTGTTTAGAGAGAAGTCATACTGATTATTTACCTTGGTGGGGAAATAACGACTTGTCTTAAATTGTTTAAGGAAGGCAGACATGAAGAAGGTTGAGAAGAACAAAATGGTGGACCAGAAGAGAACGTCTGGGGTGTAGGGGCCATGGTGGCCACAAGCTGTCCCAATGAACTGGCCTTGCAGACTCACACACTCCTGTAGACATTCACAGAGTGAGATTGAAACATAATGATATCTGATGATCCAAGAGAAAATAGACCAGAAGAGAGTTTTATCTAAAACATCTAACAGGCAAAAATTATCTACAACACACAAAAGATAAAATCACATAATATAAGAATGGAGGCAAGCCTTTGGTGTGCTCAGTGACCCACCAAGCAGTAAAAGTTAATCAGTTGAATGTTCCCTTCAGTGTTTGCAAAGGTGCTTAAGATAGGTTCGCTGCTCCAGGGAAGGTGAGGGGGTTAGTAAACACGTTGGAGCAAATGCAGTGTGTGCTATCATGTGAAAGTTACAATGACATAATGAGTCTGCATGTTCCTGCATATTTACGTTACCTTCACAGTGAGGTTGGCCCAGGGTACGGTAAAGGCTGTGATATTTCTTTGACTCCACAGTTCTAAGGTTTTATTACTGGGATTATCAGGCTCTGTACATCGGCAGCTACAGAGAGAGAGAGGGAGAGAAAGAGGGAGAGAGAGAGAGGAGGTAACACCGAAGAAATATCAGTAGTCGACTATTTAAGGATGAGTTCACAGTCAAATCAGGCCAGACTTAAAGAGAACTGCTTAGAGACTGTTATTTGAATGCTTCAGAAGGAAAAATGGAACAAAGAGATAACAAAGAAAATGTAGATGCTCATAGAAAGTGAATGACTGCTATTCTTTGACATAACTATGAAAAAAATGTCTACGAACAATACAAATTTACTTTAAAAATACCACACAAGTTCAGAGTTTTCTCCTCAAAATAATTATCTGACGGCCCTCAAAGGATTGTTTTCAGACCTTTGCATAGTACCAACTCAACTGGGATTTTTTAGAGGAAAAACAAGAGAAATCATTGTGCCATGTTTTGATTGACGATTGAAAACTTTTATACAGTTGATCCTTTCCTTCTCAGACACTGCAATAACAGGTTTGACTCCAGTTCTTGTTAATGGTTTATAAAGTTTGTCAAGTCTGGATATATCCAATCAGAATTTCCACCACTTAAATAAGTTGTTCCAAAAAATCCTTTCTGGGCCCTGAGTTATTTACATTTTGTATTCATTACACTCTGTTGGTTAACTTTAATTTGCATCTTTCTACTGATGACACCATTCTGTATTGGTTTGCTGACTCTGTAGGACTCCCTGTTGAGCACCTACAACTTTCATTTAATTCTCCTTATAATTAACTTATTAACCTCAAACTAGTAAAGGACTTCACACCAGCGATGCTGTCAGTGTGATCATTTTGTATACTTACTAAGCCAGAGTGAGTTTGTCCAGATCACTGTGTGCATTAAAGGGGTACACTTCTCCAAGATGAATAAGCTTCTCCAAGGCTTCGTAGATAAAGATTAGGCAGATGAGGGCGGCAAAGGCTTCCTCTGTGAACCGTGTGATGTAGCACACCAAAGAGCTAGCATCTGTGGCTACAAGCAGCAAACACAGCAGGGCCGTCCACAGGCCAATGCAAGTCCTCAGCGAGAGATAGGACAGTTGGAAGTCTCTGTGATGAGAGAAGGATACAAAACCAGTTTACAAAACAAATCTGGGGATGGTGATGGTAAAACTACCAGAGTGGTTGTTGCGATACCTACTTGCAGAACTTGAAGAGGATTTTCTCAAAAACAAGCACAGGACCTGTGCTGCCGAGAATGGTGAGAGGTTGCCCAGCAAACAAAGAGTAGGCCACTCCAGTCATAGAAGCACCCAGTAAGGACTCTATGGCACTCTGCAATTATTGAGAGAAGGTCTTGGTTAAGCTTAATTGAGCGATTGCCTCAGTTTGAATGTCTGTCTTTGTGTGTTCATCCTCTTACAATGCGTCCCTCAGTTGCCTCCCCCAGCAGTCCTCCAAACGTGATGACAGGAGACATGCAGGCACAGTAAAGGAAGAGGAAGGAGGCCACACACTGTAGGCTCATGCCATCCTTAAAGTCACTCAGATAGAATGGAGCTTTCCTTTTTATGTCCAGGATCAGACCGCCAAATAACCTGAATACACACACAACAAAAGCAGAGAGATGATGAGGTTGTTTGTTTGAAACGTTAAGGTTATAACATGATCATGTGAACACAAACATTTTGTTTACCTTTTTAAGAATAGGAATATTTGCTTATAAAACATAACTATGATTTATGGTTCACTTTGAGTCATACCTCCATTTGAGTTGAAATTACCTTTTGGGCTTAAGCCAAGTGATAACAATCCCTTCATCTAATTTAAGGCTAAAGCTTGTAAAGCCTTTGCCATTAGAGTCCAACTCTTACATTTCAAAATAAACAACTAAAACTGTTTGATTTTGTGTTATCTCTGTAAAAAAAAGAGAAGGTAAACAACAACAAAAAGAACACAATTACTACCTCTAGTTTTCTAACATCCAATTTTAGAGAACTAATTCAAGCAACCTATCTAATGTGTTTAATGGTGGAAATTTAAAGGTAACTTTTCAAATTGAAGGATAATTAAATGCCTTCTGAGGGCTCCTCTCAAAATCTCTGTTATTGCTATGCTATATTTGGAGAAGTCATGTAAGTCATGTCAGAAGATTTTCCCTCATTCAACCTGTGGAGAAACACAGGACAAAAGATTTCAAGAAATTCACGTCTGACTACAACTAGCAATCCTGGGTTTTCTTATTAGTGTTGTCAGAGTATCTGGCCGTACACTTTAACATCATTGCACTACTGCACAAAATTAAACATCTATTAGACATTAAATATGAAATTATCTTGTGTTGATTGTCTTTTTGGTCATTGTGTTTGTCACTTGATTATCTCACCTCAGCTTCACACAAATCTATTTTCAGATTTTGTGCCTCAAGAAACTGTCAAACATGGTGCAGAGTGTTAAACCCCTCACCAGGCTCTCCCACACATCCTTTGTTGGCACCTAATCCACAGGTAATTTTTACAACAGTATACCCTGATACAAAACACTTTTTGATGGGTGAATTGATTACAGCAACAATCTCAGAAACACCAAGTCTGTGTTGTCTGAACAGGGTTGATATCAAAAGAATACCTTCCAGTTCTCTGCAGCTCTGGCCCGTGGTGCTCAGCATGTAGCTCTTCCTCCACCTGGCAGGCTGTGCCATTAGGGACTCCAGGCATCTTCCTCTTCTCCTGCAGACCCCAAGTGACAATCAGGATCAAACAAAAATCCAAACTTTGCCAATAAAGGCGGTGTTACTCCTATCACTAAATCCAAACTTGCAAGTAAAGTCAAGCTGTGTACCTGAGAGGGGACGCTCTTTGGGGGCTCGATACGGATGGAGGGGTCCCACTCTCCCGGAGGTAAGACCGTCACCTGATCCAGGAACTCGTCTATCCCAGCAAGTAGGTCACTTCTGTCCTTTGCCTTGTACGCTACATCGTGGAAGATCTGATTGAGACAAAAGTGAAGTACAGTGGAAGTGAACTGCCCTCTTTGCAAGAGCCAACATTTCATTTGTTCTGAATCCTGTAGCTAAATTGAGCATTCTTACTTCATCTGTCATGATGGTGGCCATGGAGCGTCCAATCTCGTGGTATTGCTGAGCCTTTCCATCGGGGCCCAGGAGAATGAAGAGGAACCTGAAATATGTCAGAAGAGGATTCAGCCTGTACATAATCCTTGATAACTGAATAAGCAAGATTTGATTTTTTTTTTTTTTTTTTATTTGAACACATTATTTTGTATCAGCAAGGAGAGAAGTGTCTTCTACCTGGTAGGTATGGGGACCTCAGTGAGCCCTGTGAGAAGCACAGCGGGGGAGAGGCGCACAAACGCAACAATGGGCCTCTCCAGGAAGTCCAGTTCTCCCACCAGGACATTAGAGGCCTCAGCCCCCTCTGGAATCTTCTTCATAAAGTGCATGTCCACCTGGTGAGACAAGGCAGAGGTTTGTATCAGTTAAGAAAGCAAATAAATACCTACGTTAGTATTTATTCATCAGGCATATCACTCCATCCTTTCACTTAGAATCAACAGGGAAAATAGAAATGAGGACAGCCTGAAGCCGGACAACTTTTCCTTGACTTATTGAATTAGGGATAATAAAACGTATAGATACTAACTAAAATACCAAGTGCAAACAAATGGCTAAATGTACCCTTTGATCTGTGTCCTATGGGGCTGTAACATTTTGCAGTGATGGTCCTAAGCTGCTGGATACAATTTGATCAGATGTAGTTCTCCTGTTGTTTCCTAGGGGGCACTATGTGACCTATTTGATGTGTTGACAGCTCACCAAACAATGATTACAGATCTTACATAAATAGAACTGATATATGAAGAAATGTCTAACACTGATGACGTTAGATGTGTCACCATGTTCGATGTCGACTCTTCTTTCCTACATTCTCTTGTGGCTTTCTCAGAATACATCCGTACACATTACCTTACTGAGGTCCACCTGGTTGCTGTCCTGTCCGCCTCCATTTTTAGCTGACTCTGTGGCTGGAGGAGGTACGGGAGATGTGGCTGACCCTGCTCAGTAGTAAGGCATGTGTGTTTGAGAGAGACAGAGAGAAAGAGTTACAACATAAAGTATATCGATTGGCAGCCAAAGTGACTTATTTCGTAGCTGAATCTTAAGTTGTCCTATTTCTTTTCTTTTAAAGTTTTATTTTATTCCCTTGTTGTTTTGCTTTCATCATTCTCTATATCTTTTATAAAAAAACTTCATGACAATTCATGCTCATAGGACTTCAATCATAATTTTAGCCAGATGTGCAAAGCCAACATCAAGTCTATTTTCTGCCCTCATTTATTTGTGTCAGCACTTCAGGAAACCACCTGTCAGATGGGTCTCGGACTGTTTGCGTGTTCCCTCTGCAAAGGAGCGTACAATGGGCATCAGGTTCTTCTTCTTCTCGTTTTGGTGGTGGTGTCTCTTCAGAAGAGCTTCGCGCACCTTTACCCTCACACTGTCGTCCAGCTCATGGGACGCCTCCTGGTGGTCCAGCACCATGTCTGCAGCACACAGACAAAGACATACACTTCTCAAATCATTGGAATCAGGCAACTTTTATCAGCTTTTTATCTGTATCTACTGTATGGGTGTTTCCCCCCCTGCTTTGACGGGACCTTTGATGCATTTCTTACAAATAAGCTATGCACATAAAAAAGGAATTTAAAAAAATCTTGATGCTCCAAATATAGAGCCTTTCTTAAAATACCAGATAGAGTGTTTTTTTCCCTTTTAACTGGTAGTTCTAATGTGAAATTCTCTTTAGAAATCTGTCGATATATGAAGGCACAGTGTTGAACAGACCGTGACTGTTGGAAGGGGGAGGTCAATATGTGTCAGACATGTGTGGTCATGTGGGAACAGAGAGGATAATTAACATCTCTCCATCCCTCTCTCGCCTTTCATTTTCATGCTGACTTGCTGAGTCAGAACAGGATCTTTCCTTCTGTCCTTTTCCTCCAGTCAATCAAACTGTAGCACGCACACACACACACACACACACACACACACACACACACACACACACACACACACACACACACACATGCACGCGTGCACACACACACGCGCACAGGCACACACACACACACGCGCGCACACACACACACACACACACACATACACACACACACACACACACACTGCAGTGGCTGAATTTATTCTTAGCACACTTCAAGGCCAGTGCTAATGTGTCAAGCTTAGCAGCAGCATAATCAGGTTAATAAGGACAGTGACAAGAGATCTGCACAAAAGGAGCCTACATTTAAGTCAAAACTCACAATTGGTTAGTCTAACACAGCCCCCCCCTTCTCACATTGAGTTCTTTCTCATTTGAGAGTACAGCCTCCACAAGCTTGTCTCTTGAAGAATGAGGAAGTTACTCATTTAACAAAAACAGTGATATCTTTTTTTAAAGGTGCATGCAGCATCCTTTATAGTACTTATCTCATCATTTGTTCATGTAAACTAAAAGTCCCTGGAACTGTTAATTAAGAAAGATACATTTCAATTAAATTTGAGAGTCATTAGTCAAAATGTCAGACTTTTTAAATCCGCTCTTTGGTTTGATTAGTACATGCTGACTGATTAGGGCATGCTGACTTCCAAAGCACAGTTTGCATCATTAATTTAGCTTTTTGAATTCTACTTAATTATCAGCTTAATGCTTTAAACATTGACATTTGAATCCCTGAATATTTATTGATGTTATGTTTAAATCACTGAATCAAGTAATCTCACCAGAACTATTTGTGCTCCAGAGAAGTGTTCATTTGTTTCAACTGAGTCTTTTTAAAAGAATGCTGTTGATAGCAACATTCCTTTATACTCTTTGGTCTCAGTTTGCCACTCATCCAAAAATAAACGACTAAATAAAGAAGTCTGTCTCTTCTACCGTCTTGTCTGTGGAATTGAGTCCAGGTGCAGCTGGTAAAAGTCACATGGTGAAGAAGAGAGGGAGGCGTGAGGAGCGGTGGAGTGTTGGAGAAGAGGATTGGCTGCAGGCAGCAAGGCTGTTCAGGCTGTAAACTTGAAACACTGACAGTGAGGAGGGCTGATTGAACCCTGAGCCTTGAACCCTGCATATATTTATTTGTGTGTATGAATGTACGAGTCAAATGACCTCAAATAGGTCCCCACTCCTCCCACACACAAAGTAGACAATTCTCTAGATTTCATTTTGACTTGCTCCACAGCAAATCTGACTGTCACACCTCTACACCTATCATGTCTACTGGAACACCATCAGGCCCCACCAAAAATGCTTTTATAATACCAAAACATCCAGTCAGCTTTTTAATGAGGTCTAATGAAACAATCTCTGCTCCTTACTAGCCTCACCTCAAAACAAACTCTGCTCAGGGCAGCAAAGAGAAAATGGCGTAAATCCAGAAAGTCCACTGACCTAAGCGATAATGAGTTACGACTTGCATCATTCTCCTCCAGTTTAAAAACTGCTAAGACCAAATATTATCTAAACAAGATATGTGATGCCACAGATGCACACATTTTTATTTTATTTTAATTTTAAATGTGTCCTCCATCCACCTCCTCCTCCACCCTCCTCACACCAGACATGTTTGCCTTATACTTTACTGATAAGGTTTCTACCATCAATATCCTGAAAACAGCAATTAATAACAACAGCATTCTTTGCCAACTTAAAAAAAAAAAGTGCTATAGATTATTATTATTAATAATTTAGGTGTGCCTTGTCAATATCTCTAAATTGATGAAAGAACGCCACCTTCAATTCAATCTATTAAAGACTGAGCTCCTTGTCATTCCAGCCATGCAACCACAGATTAATATCCAGCTTGGACAACTAAACTCATGCCCACAGAGTCTGCCTGGAACCCAGTTGTCATAATTGATGACCAACTAACCTTTGAGGTCAATGTGGCCTTGATTGTTTGTTTGTGTCAAAATGCCCTATACAACTATAGAAAGATCACATCAGATGTGTGTTATATCACACACTGACAATTGCAACTCCTTAGTGGTAAGTCTTCCTGCACTCACATTCACACTTCTGCAGATGATCCAGAACACAGCAGCACGACTGGTCTTCAACCAACCCAAACAGTTGCTGCTCCAATCTAATTCAAAATCCTGTTGAACACTTACAAAACAGCAATGAAAAGGGCTCTTTAATACCTCAACATCCCTCATCCAGGTCTACAATGCCTTCAGTGTACTAGCTCTGTCAATGAGGGGACCCTCATTCTACCTTCACTACAGCCCAAAGTCTCTAGCTAGACTTTTGTCCTCTGTGGCCCCCCCTGGTGGTGGACTGAGTTACCAAACTCCATTCGCTTGGCAGAGTCCCTTTGTCTCTTCAATAAACAGCTAAAGACCCAGCTCTTTCATGAACACCCATGCACATAATGATATTGATGCTACTGATGATGTTGATGATGATGAAGATGAAGATGATATTAATGATAATATTGAGGATGGTGCTGATATTAATAAGAACAATCATTGATAATGATACTGATATTGAAGCTTTTCATGTTGTTGCTGGTGATGATACACATTTCTACACACCCTTTGCAATCTGCTCTGCCTGTCAGAACTGGTGTTCAATTGGACTTAAAGCTGTTTGTCAGCACTTACTGACGCTGTTTCCTCCTTTCTAGATCCTTACTTGTGTTGTTATTGCTCTCAATTGAACGTCACTTTGGACAAAAAAGTCTGCTTGATGAAAATGTGACATTGTAGCATTGTTTTAACATTTAACTACTGAATACAATTTAGCTGTAGTAAAAGAAAATAACCGTGCAGCCTTATTTAGACACTCACGGACCTGAATGTTCAGTTCTTATCCAGTCGTGTGCCTGCATGCAAAATACAGACGCATAGTTAAGTGCACGGTATTGCAAGAAAAAATGACATGGTGTTAAAATTAGTGGTTTTTAAAGGCCAGTGCAAGGTATGCTAATAAACCCGAACTGATACTTTTCTGAATATACATTTTGCAAATTTGTTTCAACAGAGGTTCAGCTGCATATTCAAGTTAAAAACAACTACTCTGCAACAAAACCATTCAGCTTTATGTCACAGAGCGTCTGCAGCCGTGGCTGAACAGTGAGCATGAAATTCTCCTTGACAATTTGATGCTTGTTTATGTTAACATACAAAGTAATTTTAAGTATCTCTAGACTTTTTCAGGTCAGATAACGTGTCTCTGTTTTGTGTTTTCCTGCATCCAGCATGATGACGATGCTTCCCTTTCCCCCGCCTGTACTGTGTGTGGATGTGTGTGTGTGTCTGTCTCTCTATCTTAGAGCATAAATCACATGTAGCACAAATCCTGTAGGCATCTCATCTGAGAGATAGAGCCTGTTTTATGACTGTAAAATATCTATTCATGAGCAAGAAGTGATGGTAGACAGCAGGCGAGAGCTAGACCAAATATAGTGTGAAACCATATATGTATTTGATAAAGTGACACCAGCCACTAACACATAATATAAAAAAGTAGTTTTTTTTACACATTCTTGTAAAACAAGATCAGAAAAATTGCCTCTTTACTGAGGATAGGTAGCATTGTGGTACTGAAATGTCTTACCTGCGATCTCTTCGATGCTGTCAGCGTGCATATCGAGCAACACGCTGCCGTTGATGAGGCAGCTGCGGAGCTCAAACAGGCTGTGAAGGGAGAGAGTAGCAACATACGGCTTGCTCCACCGCTCCCCGCCATCCTCTACGTCCTCCTCAAACTTCAGCCACCTATGAGGTTAAGAAAGGCAAGACATAAGGGCTGTGATTTTTCAAACCTTTTTTTTTTTAACTTATATTATACTTTTATAATCCTAAGAGAGCTTTAGGGTTTTCTTCAGTTGATTAAGAGTAAATCCTTATCTGACCGCAGTGCAGACACAGAGAGGTGACAATATAATGATAAACAATACAAAGGTACATTACAATATTGATCAGGATGAATCCTACACTGTATAAAGAAGTACTTATTATTATACCAAATACCCAGTTTTGGCCTGTCCTTTGTCATTTATTTAATTGGATTATAGGGATGTAGAACATGGTTCCATCTCTATCAATGCATTGTCAGTACAAAACCACATTTTCTTTATAATATAGACTGGCCTCTGAAATACCAGGTCTACCAGCAAGGGAAATCCAATGAACACAGCTCAAATATCTTTATTTATTTCTGTATTTTATTCCTTTTTTTATACTAGGATTAACAATTAGTCATTTTACAAAATGCAAGGGAAATATGGATCTCTCTATTTCGTAATGCTTTAAACTGTTAAGTTGCGTTTTTGAAGAATAATCTATCACTGAGTACACCTTAGGATTTAAAAATAAAATATGACAGCTACTGCAAAACTAAACAAATTGTCATGTGATCATTAGAAACATGATACACATAATTTTACCGAGCACTTCATATTTATTAAAGATCCTTTTATCATTTACAGAACATCATGTTTCTTTGACATGAGCATGTAAAAGGTAGATAGCAAGATAGCATGATCCACTAAGCTTAATATGGAACCAGCACTTGTGATGGTCCCTTTTTGTAACAGTACAGGAGTAGAGCTGCCGGCTCGTCAGAGGCTTTATTGCCCAGCACGGTTGCAAACGACTCCCAGGAGAGACCCTGACCTGGCTGTTTCCTTCCACTCAGCATCCTTGCCATCCTTCACACAGATCTCATCCAGCTCAGTGAAAAGCTCGTGGGCCACATGTTCAGCGTCTTCCTCTGTGCCCAGAATGAACTGGACCCGCTGGGACGGTGTGTCTGATGAAGGGAGAGGATGTGAGGGAAGAATAAGAGGGAAACTGGTTGACTAAAGCATCACAAAGACGTACTTCACACCATGCTTTGTATTAACAAACCTTTTAATAGTATACTGGCTACATATTCATAAACATCCACATAAAAATCTACCATGGCATATGCAAACACACGCAACACGCTGATGTTCCTGTTCTGTGGTAGCTAATTACCAGGCCAGTCAATTTTAGCCCAGAGCACTGTGTGTGTTTTGTGCAAGGATGTGAGGTGCCCAACAGAATCGATAGGCTTTGCTTTACAACTCTTTGTCTCTATGCTGGGAGGTACATTTTCGACACCAAGCATGACCTTTTTTTTTTCTCTCACACTGTCTGACGTGAATAAACAAAGACACAGTTTCCAATGCAGCAGCCGAAGGAAAGGTTTTTAGTTTGTGTGTTACCATGACTGGAGGCATTTGTTTCAGCTTCCTCGCTTTGTTGTGTCGCATTGCTTCCAGCGCGTCTGTCTCTCTTGCGATGGCGCGAGCCGTGGGCCTTGGAGTGACGGTGGCTCTGCCGGGGCATCCGGACCCCCACAAACAGGGTCCTGTGGCCTGAAAAGAAGCCAGACAAAAAAGTATTTTTACGGAGCAATAGTTTTACACAAGTACATGGTGTCATTATTCACTGGAAAATACACATGTTGACATAATATTAGCCCTTCTGTATTTGGTAAAGCTTTATAGAGTCTTTGTATTAAGCATGAGGCCACCTCTTACAAGAATAAGCCCTAATGAGTTCTTTCAAGATGTTTATTATATATTAAGAAAACTTTTTTTTTTTTAAACATATTATAAATATGTTAATTGTTATATTCAAATGGATTTACAGCTCTTAGAAGTAACTGGTTCTTAGCTACAAAAATCATGTTATCAATAATAACTGCATAGTTAATTGCTAATAAATATATAATCAGGTATAATCTTAAGCCCTGTTTCCACCAAACAGTCCGGTTCAGTTCGGTTTGGTATGGTACGCATTTATTGGTGTTTTCATTGTCAAAAGTTGGGAATGGTAGCAAAAAAGTAGGATGGTAGGGATCGGTTATTTTGGTTATTTTCTGTTGAGGTGCCAAGCGTACCGATCCGGCCATAAAGGGTAGCGCTAGAAACCCTGCAGTCCGTTGATTGGTGAGCATAAGAAACCAAAAATGTGCGCTAAAAACATTCCCTGTGAATGCAGGATTGATTTCTGTTACAGGCGATATATATTATGAAGGACTAGTTTTCATGCACGTTACTGACCTTCTAGTTCCTCTTTCTCATAGTGGATGTTCAGTACTGAGCTGGTCCCTCCCTGGTCCACCACCACCTCCTCATCTGGCCTCTGACAAAACAGACAAACCCACCAAACCCATTATAGTATAATGTGAAATCCATTGCTGTGTACATGAAGCGTATATTAAAAGGCCCTCTTTCCATACAGTTCTTTAGGAAAAGATTAACTTTGTAGACCACCTTCAGCCTCTCAGAAAACTTAAAAGGTCATTGTGTGCAGCAGTTTCCTTTTAAGACAAACAAGTGACGCTGTAACTGAGACACTAAGTGGCCAAACTGGCAAGCACTTTTCAACCACTGGCATCAAATTCCAGACAGGCTATTCTCAGTCTGTCTTACACACACACAAAGGGAGAAGGGCGTGCAGGCACCCACACACACATATCCATTAAAACACACTCATGCCAGGCAAACAGCTGGAGAATGTGCAAGACTTTACTATTGAGGGGTAATCAAATCAAATGAGCAGATTGCCATATCCATCCGCTGTGTTGGCAGACTGATGCAGGATGATTCTATGTTTTAATACCACAGTATATTAAAACACAGGGTAGGGAAGTTGAACAGTACTGACACTGTAGAACACAGACAGTGTGTGCCACTACACTGAAGTTTTCAAAAACTTCAATCGACCTCCCTGATCTGGGGTCACGAATGTAACCGTTGTCACATATAGGATTGTGCATGTACATGATCATGGCATGTGAAAGCTCGCTAAAGCTGTTACAAATCAATAGTTTGAATCTATAACTAAATGCAAGTGCTTGAGGGATGTGAAGCACACACACACACACACACACACACACACACACACACACACACACACACACACACACACATGCAAACACATGCAAACACAGGTATACAATTCCCTACTTCATGGATGTTTCAAACCACTCAATATGTGTATGGTCTGATGTGAATACAGAATTTGATGGTAAAGTAGATGATTTTGAAGAACGTTCATTTGGTAAACTGAAGCCCATCCTCCAAAATGAATAATAGTGAAGACTTCTGAACTTCTTGAAAAATTGAATCAGTCTGAAAATAAACCGAAAGATGTAAGAGAGTTACCCGTGAAACTCAGGGAAGAGCTGTTGTAATTGAGGAAGTTAGTTAGTAATCCAGTTAAATCTTTCCTTGATTTAATTTAGCTAATGTACTTGCAACCACAGTGCAGACCTCCAATCAGCAGAATTGAATAAAATAAAAGTCTCATTTTAGAGGAGACGTTGTTTATTTGCCTTTAGCTCAAAACATTGCAACTGACATACATATTTTGTGTGTCTCTGTGGGGCACATGGAAACGCTATCAAAAGATACAGTAAATATAAGAATAACAGTCCATTCAATATGTCTTCCTTTCAGAGTGGACTGAGGACTAACAGCCTGAGTCAGGCAGTCTTTTACAGTAATTGGAATGTTCAGAATCCAGTGAGGGGCAAACGTAGCACGCACTGCGGACCGGGCTGTGACACAAAGCCCAGAGAAGCAAAAATAATTTCAATTTGTCTTCCTGAAGTGTGACCAGAAGAGTTGAGATTTTTTATTTTATTGGGGTGACATGAACATGTCTTGGCCTGTCAGAGAAGCATGAAAGAGCAGGATCCTCGTTTATTCTGGTGAAAATCAAACAGATTTAAGGAACTCAATATATGCTTATCATCTGTCAATGAGAAGCATTGATCTCTTAATTCACACTACAATTGCTTACCCTGTGTGTGTAGGACTGTGTGTATCACTGTATGGTGTGCATGCTAAATGTGGACAAATCTGTGGTTGTGTGTTTTATCTCTATCTCTGACATATTTTTATTTGCACTCTCAATGAGTAGTTTTATTTTGTTCAATCTTCTGTCTCTTTGCTTTACCCTCCCCATGGAGCTACACACTAAAGCACTAAGCATATTAACACAAGATTGTGATAAGTATAAACTAATTAACATGCAGAGCAGACAGATGAATGTCTTACCTGATAAAAAGCAAGAATTTAAATCCACGTCCTAAAGTTTGTTGTTATATTTTTAAGCCCACAGCTCTTAAAGCAGACAGCCACTTATAATTCAAAACAGCTATGTGATCCCAAGACATCCACTTACTCACAGGGGTGTGTGTGTGTGTGTGTGTGTGTGTGTGTGTGTGTGTGTGTGTGTGTGTGTGTGTGTGCGCCTCCCTGCTTCCAGTCACACCCTCTTCTTGGTATAAGTGCTGTGGGATTTCTTTAATTTTCCATGACTGAGCACTTCTTTGTCCCATGATATTTCTGTCCTCTGAAAGATTTAGGCCAGTTAATTGGGAAGTCATGCTTTGGCTAAACAATGAATGTGACTCTCATGGTTTTATAATGATGTTTATGCAATGGGTAGGTGTGATATGTCATCAGCTAGAAAACTGTGTTGACAAATAGGAAAGGAAGTTGAACACAAACAGAAAAGCCTTACAGTTGCCAGGCATGTCACATTGTCCTCAATTCGTTATCATAAATATCAATAACAGCTGCTTAAAGCAAACTATTAGGTACATACACACACCCACTGGCTGAATTTTTCTCTGCTCTCATACCTATACTTTGATTCACAGAAATACACTTTCACACAGTCTTTCATAGTGTTATCAGTAAGTGCAGCTGTGGCTGTCTCTATGCACTGTGTTGGTTTGGGCTATTGCTGGAGGCTGTTGGGTTCGTTAGAGTTGGAGCTTTATCAAAGACAGACAGTAAGAGAGAATGGATGAGATAGAGAGATAGAGAGAGAGAGAGAGAGAGAGAGAGAGAGAGATGCTAAAAGCTCTTTGTCCTAGAAAGGACAGTACACCATCAGAACATCAATTAGCATGGATCCATTTGATTCACACAGACACACACACAAATATATAAAAACAGAAACAGAAATGGAGAGAAATCCTTATCCTGAGGCTCAGTCAATTACTGTTACCGTAACTACATGACAACAGAAATATCAGGATGTATTTTGTGTGCTTGACCATATCACACAACTGTATGTCCTTGTGACAGCGCCATGTGACTCACAGCCTGTGGTCATCCCGGTCACAGTTCACTTAAAGCACCTTCTTAATGTGAAATTAATGCAGGTATGTGTTTTTTCAACAGGTAATGGTTCCCTGTCAATCCCTCGTGTCACATTAAGTGCTTCAGCTAATTAAAAGCTCACATGGCACTTAAAGTTTTGTTTGCTGCCGCTCACTGTGGTAGAGCACATCTGCGACCCTCAGAGCATGCACGTGAGCGTGATTTTCCACTGACATGGTAAATAATTTGTGTTTTTTGCTGCCTGTTTCTATCTCTTGGCAACCGTCCCCCTTTTTCTTCACTCTTGTCCTCCAGCTCTGTATCAGTCACAGTGCTCAGGAGGGTTTATGACTCGAAAATAATTTCCACACAGATTACCGCCTATGCACCAGAGAGGCAGTCTACAGCGAGGCCCCAAAATGGCTGATGTCCTTGAGGTTTTGTCCTTTGCAAGAATGTGATTTATAACACCGCTTTTGAAATAAATACTGGAGCTTCCTCTTGTTACATGAGAGTTTTTCATTTGGCTGCAAATACCGAGTGTTTGCAGGCATAATATTTGGTTTGGTTCTCTAGATGGTTCCAAATTGATGGTAATGGAAAGGTTTATGATACTCAAGACCATCATATAATAATATGGAATACCATTTCAGCATGTCACAGTTTTGCCATGATTTACTACATTCTTAGCCCTTCTGATGATTGAAAGATGCCTTTCTTATACTGGGCTGGGCCACTATACTTCCGCTATATAAAATCCACAAGTACACAGCTAATATGAGGTTTCAAATCATGTGATATCTTACAAAGTTACAAGTTGAGAACCAGTAACAAAAAAGGAGGATTTTTATTCTGTAAAGACTATCTGTGAGAATCACACTTTATTTCTCTAACTTGGATTACTGAAGCCTCATAAACTCTAGATAAAATTTAGGAGGTGAAATCTACCAAGCAGATGGCCCAGGTACGTATCCAACCTGTGGCTCCTTTCCCACATGTCAATCACCTATCTCTCCATGATTTCTGGCTTTATCCACTGCCCTATCTCTAAATAAAGGCATAAAAAGCCACCCCAAAAAACAGGTGCACTCAGTTCACCCAATTAGTAGTACAAGCGCCCCATGTTAAAAGGCTAGTCATGTCACACTGGGTGCAGGTTTGACTCCAAGCCCTGATGCTATTTGGTACATGTCATGATTCTACCCTTGTAAAATTTTGACTACTTGATTTTGTAATTGATTAACATGAACAAAACCCTCTCTTCAATGCATTTGTCACAAATTCTCATGATAAAGCCTGTAGGCACTCTAGTTTAATGTCACAGCATGTACGGGCCAAAAATAGCGATATGCTTGCACTCTCATATGTCTCATAGCTTAACAAATAATGGATATATTTTCTGGCGGGGCAGTGGTACTCCCAGTACAGAACAGCACAGAAAAGAACAGAACAACAAAACAGAACAGTGCAGAGAAATGTCAAACAGTGTGCTACTTCAGATGATGTTTAACCTCAAATTGATTCAGAAATGGAAAAACACCCTGGTAAAACCTCATCTAATCAACCTGTCAATTACTAGTGGGAGTTTCCCCTGTAAATAGAATCAAGCAAGAGTAATGCCTTTTTTTTAAATCAGGAGAAGATGACAAGGCATGTAACTACAGGACACTTAGTATCCTAACTGTATTTCCAAGATGTTTCAGACAGTGTTTGCTCAACAATTTGTAAATTAGTCTACCCCCACTACAGTTAGGATTCCGTCAGCATTACTCCAGAGAGAATGCAAATTGTTTTTTTAAAGAGCCCATATTCTGCCCTTTTGGGGGTTCGTATATTTAATCTATGTACCTACTAAAGTAAGTTCACAATAGCTAAAGTTAAAAAAAAGTGTCTGTTTTCATGTACTGCTGCTCCATGCACCGGCTGGCTTCTGATTCTCTCTCTAAGGCTCTGAAGTGCCCACGTTCAGAGTCCCCATGTGTGCCAAGTCTGATCTGATTGGTCGGCCTGTCGGCTCTGCCG